AACTGCACAATATTGTCATGGCGAAATTTACAAAACAATAACCGATTTCTTTATTTTTCAAATAATAAGAGAATAAGAGTTGCTTTTAGAGACTTGAAAAAATGTAACGCATCGATTTTTTACCACAAATCCAATACACATCAATTTTTACTAACGCCCCGAGTGGATTTCCTGACCGTTTTTCAAAAATCAAAAACATTTTAGAAATATTGTCCTTGAGATCTTGTTGCTCTGTGAATTTTACCAGGATTGAATAAGAATAAAGCATCTTATTTTTAGGTTGACTAAACTTGACAAAATGTAACGCTTGTCGTTTTTGACGTTATAATGCTGATTGCGCCCTATATTGCCCATTGTATTGTTTTGGTATTTTGACGCCATAATGTTACTCTAATTGTCCCCAGTTTCGTGCGACGTGTATAAACGTTATCGTACAATATGCATCTTCAATTTTGAAACATTTAATTAAACTTTAATTAACTCACGTTACGTTTAAACCAATTACAATCTCAAATTGTGACAGTATTGTATCATTACCAAACAACAAAAAACACATTCCATTTGGTTTTATATTGATACTATTTTCAAATGATGCTCAATAAGAAAAGTCTAAATCTGGGGTCGATAGTGATAATAGGAAGATGAAGATACATAAAGATTCAGGAAATTAATTAGGGCAAGTGCAGCTGCTGTTACCCAAAGGCTGAGCATCGAATCGATCTCTTTCCGGCATAGGCTACTATTGTAGTTTATAAACAACTAATTGCAATTAAAGGTATGCTACACGACGGTCAAATTAAAAAACATAAGTACACAACGTGTATATGCAGGTAGAAAAAATGTACTAGAAATTGATTATGATATTGAAATTGATTATTAAAATGTTAGACGATTGTTTGAACACCAGACGTATCAACAAACCTGATCAAAGATTACTGAATAAGAATCAGACGGGATCAAAACGAGACAAGATCTCATTTGTTAAATGTGACATCTTGGAGACCAAATAAACTAGATGGGCAAAGGAAAACAGATCTTACGTTAGTAGCCCTGAACAGGGGGACAGGGGCTTTTATAATAGAAACAGACTATATAAATGCATGGGAAATTGAGTCACTCGACAGAATGCACTAGAGCAAAAGAATACTTTGGTATAAAGTAAATGAAAGTTCACCAAAATAATGCCTATGATTACACCAAAGGAAAGCCTTTAATTTGTTGGCTGTTGTTGCTGCTATATTTCATCGATGCCAATAGCCAATTACAACAACAAATGGTACAAAAACTATTTCTGATCATTATTGAAATATCGTATGAATATGTTACTTACTCAGTCTTAATAAGCAACACCAAAGCACACAATGAGCATCATACAACAAGAAACATCTTAGACCATAACTGTAACAAGAACAACAAGCCCTAGTATCCCAAAATATTAATCAATCACCTGTACCGATCATTGAAGTTCATCATACATAAATAGAATATTATAGAAACAAAAAATGTACCTTACCATTTAATATCTGCGGATCACCATATACTTTAAATCCTATAGTTTATTCAACGTTGTGTTCAGAACTTCAATAAAGATGCGTAAGTTAAATGGCTCAACAACTATTAAAGAAGGTAGTTACACAATAGTATCCCTTTGATGATCTTAATACTAATACTAAACTACTTTCAAGGTATCTATATACTAAACACTATATTTACTTACACATGTGAAATATTACAAGTAAATAATAAACATGCATTTTTTCAAGTATCTATTTAAGATGATGTCCTGATTAACATAGTTGTGGTTTGTCTAGACTAATTAATTACACATTAAGAACAGTATTGTTGTTTGTTATGTATTATTTTCACGTACTACCCTGGGCTATAAATGGAAGACTTTTTATCAATGCATAATCAAGATTATTCAATATACATGAAGTTGTCCATGAGACTCGTAGTATCTCTTAGTTGTCTAGACAGTCAATTCTCTTCTAGTTTGTCTTGCTTTTTGTGTACCATCATGATAAACACCATAAAAAGTGTAGCAAGGCCAACAGTAAATTATTATCAAGGTAATTGGTCTGAATATGCAAAACGAGAGATTTCAATGGTTATGAGGTGTTATGTGTCTTCTTTTTGCTATATATTTGAATACAATATAGAGAGAATATCCTATGGTGTTTGAGATGTAGCTTTTTGCACTGTCCTAAAACCCAGTTGCTGATAACAAGGCATTAACACGACAAAATGCCACCACCTAGTTGCTCACAATATTATTAGTTCAATCAGAGAGGTATAAAACATATTTCATATTTCTCTGGTTCAATCTCAAGTCAGATTTGAATTTCTGAGAACTTTGAATAATGTTGTAAAAAATTGGTCAATTTGAAGCAAGTTGAAAAAAGACCTTTTTTGAAAATGAGAAGGTCATTAAAGGAAATCTCAAATCTAAAGTCAAATTTGAATTTCTGAGAACTTATAGCTGATCTTGAAAAAATAGTCAATTGAAGCAAGTTGAAAAATACCTTGATAAAGTTCTTGAAGGTCTTATGATTTTGAAAAAGAAAGGATGATTCTCGGTTTGGAGAACAAAGTTCTTCAATCTAAATGAGCATTATCCCTGTTTCAGACAAATTTGATTTTTTTACATAATATAGATTTAAATGTCTTCTTTTGAATAGTCATAATTTAATTTGGGTAATATTTTTAGATTTTTCGCAAAAAAATATTAGCGCAGTACACTGATGAACTTCTTTCCCCAAAATCAAGACTTGTATTTTATTGAATCAGTCTAATTGAGCATTATCCCTGCTTCAGACCAATTTGTTATTTTTACATCTTGTAGATTTAAATGTCCTCTTTTGAATATTCATAGTTTAATTTGGGTAATATTTCTATATTTTTCATGAAACAAATTATTAGCCCAGGAGACTGTTCTCCAAACCGAGAATCGTCCTTTAGTCAATTTGAAGCAAGTTGAAAAAATACATTTTACCCTTTTTACCTTGAGAAAGTCATTGAAGGTCAAACCTCAAGTCAGATTTGAACTTCTGAGAACTTGTAGATGATTTTGGAAAATAAGACCTTTTGACTTTTTGACCTTGAGAAGGTCATTGAAGGTCAAATCTAACCTCAGATTTGAACTTCTGAGATCTTGTAGATGATTTTGAAAAAATTGAAGTCAATGCAAAGGATTTTGGATTATTTGAAAAATATAAAAGGGCTAAAATGTTAAAAGAGCAACTTAGAGATCTGATCTGAAACAATGAATTATTGAATAATGGTATCCATTTTTCTTATACTGTAACTAACAAGAACTTCATTCAGACTACTTAGCCGATTTATAAATTTCAAATTGCAAAATTATGAACTTATAGAGAGTGACATTACAAAGTACCAAGTAACCTGACCTTGATTTGCCTTATAGTCGAGTGATAACTGAGTTATTATATCCTTGTGTGCAGACCTTAATCAAGTACATGAAGAAAGTTCATTTCTACATAGATGTCTGAATTGCGTCTAAATGGATCAGCTAACTCAGCATAAATATACAAGACTGGCAAATCTTCAAGTCCTTCTATTTTTATACATCAATAATCAATGTTCTGAATTGTTTATTAACTAAATAATATCCCCTTTGTTTGCATGTTATGGTAGGGAATAAATTATAAGCAAGAAAATTCAGGGGTAGTTCAATGTACAATCTTTAAAGGGGCTCAACCTCTACTTGCTTCAAAACTAAAATTATCATAACATGGAGCTTATACTATACATTAATTAATTATGATACAAACCTCCTTTTCCATAAATATTCATCTTGAATGTAAATATCAGGATTCATTTCATTTTAAAAATCCTCTAGAAAGTCCAAGGTGCATGCTTTCAGTAAATCTAGGAACTTCTAATGTTACTTACTGGGTGTACAATTTTCAAGTTCTGATTTCAAGGAAATAAATTTTGCATAATAGGTTACTTATAATGTTATCTAAATATTTTTTGTTTCTTTATTAATAATCATAATAAATAAACACATATCGTAGTGTAATTTAGAGATTGTTACAATTCAAATTCGATCAGGAACATTTTAGTTTGCAGATGCAAATAGAGTTTGAACAACTTTAAATAATTCATTCTATCTTGAAAAAGTAGACACAATGCTGTGTACTGAGAATAGAAGATGTTTCACTTATTGAAACAGGGTTAATCCATGGTCATGGTCTAGACATATAGATTAATATGTATTGCGTGCACAAACACATACATAGAAAACAAACATACTGGTATACAACTTATATGTGCACAGACAGAAAAGTAATTTAGTTTCAGTAAATAGGTCTGGTTATTAAAAATAAGTGGAAGGAAAATCTTAGTACTGGTAGCACCATGATTTATGGAGGTACTGTCAACATTTTATACTGAAAAATGTTCGGATTGTGTATGTGTTCAAATTTGAAGTTTTTTTAACATGGTAGTCAATGGAAGAATACAAAATTAGAGACAAGGTGTTCACATTGAGAGGTGTTCTGATTAGAGAGGTGTTTAGATATACAGGTTAAACTGTATTTCAATATAGTTTAATTTCCATCATTTATTCAATTTTTTTGGGGCGGGGGGGGGGGGGGGGTGAATAATAAATTATGTGGAACAAGTCATCATGATATGATATGCCATGGCATTTTTCTAAGAATATCCCATATGGAAAATTAAGTTCAATGTTATGTTAACATTGACCTAATTTACATGAGTATCATAGGCAATATTATACATGCTTTGATTTTTAAGATTATTTGTCAATAATTTTGAAAAAGTGGAAAGTAAAATTAATTGAAAAGGATTGAAAGGCATGAAAGGGAAACATTGGTATACTTTTTCAAAAAAGAAATCGAACATTTTACACCTTTCTTTTCCTTCTCTTTTCTTCTTTTCCACATTAAACAATTGTGTCATATATATTTCTAACATTATAGTGCTTTGCTTCAAGATGCAAGACAAATCGAAAAGTATTGTTTTCAGAATAAATGTGAAATGTTTATTATAAATAATGTGCATAAACTTGTTACAATAAATGTGAATAAATACTTTTTATGTTGTAAAGATGTCGCTTTAGACTCAAGTGTGTCAACGAGAGTGTTTAGCAAAGGATATTTCTCATTACCACATCTCCCTAAGAAGTCATCCAGATCCAATGCCCAGATCATTACTCCACCAAACCTATTACGTTTAACCCATTGGGCCTACAAGCACAACATATGAACATATATTTTGGGATCTCAGATGTGTTTTCTATGTTTAGAATAGGCTTTAGGGAAAGACTGTCCTCAAGATAATTTAAACATTAATAATACCTTTAACATAAGGCTCTCAGGATCATCATAGCCGACCCACTGGTCCTCAAATATAGCAATAGGAACTCTCTGTTCATTGCTCCAGAATCTACTCCCACCTCTCATCAGTAACCTACACACCTAAATAAAACACACATCCATGTATTACACTTAAAGTGACTCAGCCCCTTAATAACTTCCACAAAATAAAATACTGTAGCTTAGCAGTAGCAACCCATTTCTGACAAGTTCTGATGTATGGAGTAAAAAGTTTGTGAGAAAGTATTTTAGGATAAGAGTTAGAAGTTGAGTCACTTTAATATAAACTGTTAAACCTATGTACAGTGAAAATCTATGGAGCCACAAAAAATTTTGGGTTCCATTTTTAAAATGTGTTCACTAGTGACAGAGCTAGAGACACATATTTCACTAGGTGTATGACTAGTGATTCTCTAGCTCTTAGCTATGATTTCACAAGTGATTCCTGGTAGAGATAGAGACATTTTTGGTGGGGGATGAGAAAGCTTTAACTGTAATATATTTTCTTGAAATGATTGAAATATTTATGAATAGAGGAAAACTAAGGTTCCTAATCATACTTCAAAATAGGACAGGAATCCGTCAAGTTTAGTGTATTTTCCTGCTTTCCCAGCTCCATTTACAGGTGACCGCAGTCCAAGACGTTCTTTGCTCTTCAAAGTGAAAGTGCGTCCATATCCGGGCATCCCAACATTTATCTTCTGACGAGGCATACCATTTCTTGCCCAGTGGTTGGCGGCCCAGTTCTGAAACAGCAATAGAAAAAAAATCAAAAATACCATATACAAGTATGCTTTAAATGGGTAAAAATTAAGTCAAAGAGGATATTATACTTCTATGGGCTTCTATAGGCTATGGGCCATTGAACGTTCTGTTCATCCGATGGCACTTCTGCCAAATGAAGATCATAAGTAGCAACCCTTTCCCAACTCCCCCCTCAAAAAGTACTCACCACATTGAGAAGCCTATTCAAGTTGAAATCATACTTAGTTGGGAATAATGGTGCATTGTGCCCTGTTTGATTGCTCCAGTGACCATTGAAGTCATAACTCATCAGGTTTATGAAGTCCATATGTCTGAAATGTAAAATAAGGCATTAACAAGCAAAATATCACCACCTGCCATTTGTTACAGATGCTAACCACTGAATACCAAACACCAATTGCCAAATAAATTGATTTTTAACTCTTTTTCTTTACTTTACAGAGACATATTTTCAGGCTTTTAATTTGAGAGTCACTTATCATTTTGGAGCAACTAAATAGCAAGTAAAGCAGAAGTTGGTCTCACAAAGCATTGAACAACCTATCAAATAACATGTATTTACTAACGGTGCAATTTTCTCTATCTCGTAGCCATTGTCTATGGTATCTTTGCCAGCAGCCACAGCTGCAGTGAGAAGCAGGGGTGTTCGGGCAAACTGGAATGCCTCAGCATTAAACCCTTTCCGTAAATCCTACAAAAATAAGGCACACCATGTACTTATTTCTTTACATACTGCATTGTCTCTCCCTCCCATGAAAATAAGTGTTTATCATGCTTTAAATATTTTTGTACCAATGGTTTTATTACATTTTGAGATGTATTCTTCTCCAAACCACTTTTCTGCGCATTTGAGTTAATTTCTCTATTATTTTTCAACCATTCGGTGAGGAAGGCAGAATCCTTAGCAAAAGTCTATCAATGAGAGATGTCACAAATTATAAACTTCTCTTGTATTTAAGTCATATTTGAACTGGAGATCCTCTCTAAAGTGTATACAAAGTAAATGCCAATATTCTGTTGAACCAATAACAGTTCTCAAAGTGAACCTTAACTGGAGATTTATTTACTTCATTTAGTTAATAAAATGATCCCTTTAATTCTTGCTGCTGTACTTAAGACACACTCTGGAGAAGATGTCAGAATTACCACCTACATCAATATGGAAACAAAGTCTTTTAGGTAAAAAGTTCTATGAGTTAAAGTGTGACTTCTTTCGAGATTCAACAAAATATGCTGAAATACAAAACTTCAATTATGTGCCATGTATCCTTAATGATACCCTAAATGCCCTAATCCATCGTTACATCATAAGTCATTGTCACCATGTGAAAATTCACTTACTGCCACTAGGAGACTAAATCTGTACTTATCATCTGGAGGGCTCCCATGTGCTCCTGGGAATTCAAAATCAAGATCCAGCCCATCAAACTGCCACGTCCTCAAAAACTTAATAGATGTCTCCACAAACTCTGCTCTATTTGATGACGTTGACATCATGGCTGTCATCTTTGTGAGGTCTAGGTTCGCTCCACCCACACTCAGCAATGTCTTCAGGAATGGGTTGATCTTCTTGTGGTTGTTGATCCTTTTATACCTGAAATGTTTTGATGAATATTGTGTAAAAGAAGCAGGATCTACAGATTTACACGCATGCATTTTCTTCATGGTGTTCTCCCATAGCAATTGCACTAATTGATGTATATATCTATCTTTTATTGACTCTTTTGATGTCATCTAAACATGTAAATGAACTGCCTTGAATGAAGGCTTTTGTTCTACATGTAAAGCTGTAAAGAAAGGCTGTTAGCCTTAAACCTCAAAATGAATTAACCTTGTGATTTTACGTACTTGGATATTTTAGTGTCTACATATACAGACAGTACTTACATTGTTTCATCATTCCACTGTAACTGTTTCAACTGATTCCCTTCCAGATCAGCGAAGGCATATGCAATGTGGGTACAAAGCATGGGGTCAACATTCTCAGGAAGGAAGTTCCAGGGTGCAGGGCGATACTGAGACCAGTTGGTATAGTAACAGACACAGTTGTACTTGGGACGAACTGGAAGAAATAATCCCAAGAATCAGAACAAATTTCTCACGATGTTCATATTAAAACAAAACAATGTGTTCTGTACCATCCCCAGTGTAATATCTCACAAAAATTAATATATCTTGTCAACTATTGAAGATTTGAACAAGAATTTAGAAATGTGCTAAATATTCACAATAATAAAAGTGAATGTTTAAATCAACACAAATATCTACTATTCTCTGTAAAGATGTACCAACTTTTCTGATTTTAAGAGGAGACATGACAAGAAATGAAATGGTGAGAAAGGATTCTGAAATTAAAATTTGATTTTTATGTACACAAAAATAAGGCACAAAATGTCACCACCAAGTTGCAATAACAAAAAAAACAATTTGTACAGACAAAAAATACTGTTGCTGATCAATAAATGCCAAACACTGAAGGACTTGATCAAAATGTCACCATCAGCTAAAAATGTTTACATTAAGAAGTTTTGATAGTATGAGAGTCAACAGGAATATCCCATATTTCATGAAATCATACATTTCTAGTATATTTTAAAAGAAAATCGCAAACACACAACAACATGTCATAAAGCTTCATCTGTAGTGTTGAACAGACTTTCTAATTGAAAATATAAATGTGTAAATATTAGCTTGAGGGCAATTTTAAGTGTGAGGTAAAGAAAAGTATTTTATACAAAAAGTAACTGGATCTATTCTCTTTTAATGCATAATATTCAATAATATTCATACCTGGTAGTCGTGATTGATTGAAGCAGTTCGGATATGGGTAGATACAGAATGAATATATATTTACTGCGTGGTGGTCGCTTATAAGGGGGTGGGCATAAAATACTGTGATTACAGTATATTAACTCTAATGATCTAACAAAGTTTTTGTCATTTTATTCTGATCACAAACCAACTTGTTCTTTCAAAGACAATAAGCTATTGATTGTCATGCCATTTAATATACAAGATACGTGTACATGAAATTCTCCATTCATCCCTCTCCTCTAACTACCCCACTCTCAATGTGTATTACATTTCAATGGCCCCAGTCAGCTAGCCACCCTACCCTTTGACTATTAATGATTTCCAAATAATTTTAGTTTTAGTGCTTACAGTGTACTGTAGATAGTAAAGCCATTACAAAGTGTAACAAGGCATTAACATGTCACCACCAGCCATTTGTTACAGACACCAAACACCAAATGCTAAACATCAACTGCTGAACACTGGACACTCCACAGTGGGAGACTATGACAATACTGTATGTCACCACTTCTGGTTGACACACCTTTACTTACCTTTTTTCTTGTTTTTCTGTGCATCTTGTGAATCTCCCTGTGTGGTTACCATAAGGATGTAGATCGCTATAGTAACCAGCTTCCTCAGATGTACACTCCATCTACAGTCCAACATCATATCTATTGATAATACCCCTGCTTGATAGTGAGTCCCAAGTGACAATTTGGGACTATTTCAGATTTTGCTAACTCAACAAGGCAGCTGTTTTTGACCTTTCTAGGACTGTGCCGTTTGTCTGAAAATCAAATTGTATTTACTTTAAGTTCTGATCAATGAGAAAAGTTGACAATTTATTTCATGCGCCTCTGTATGTAGAAAGGTGTTCATATTGTCAAATTAGAAAACACTAAATATACATAAAAATAGTATTGCAAGGATGGTAAATAAATGTTTGTCTGTAAATCTTTCAATTCAGTTTAACTCTGAACTCAGATGTATTATACTACTATTACTGTGTATATTACAGAAAATCTAAATTGTGTGTAAAAAAGTCCATACCTTGTATTCCTTCTATTCGATTAGCTTATGACTAATTTAATTGTATATTATCCAAGTCCATGCTTCAGTTTACTCCATTGTATTATAAAGTAAAGGGAGAACACAAAGACAATGAGTACCCTGAGTCGACACCATTTAACAACACTACACTCTGACTATTTCAGATGACTTAAGATATTCAATGTTGATACAATCTTTATAGTCTCAAATGCAACTTTCATGGCTTTTATGGAAGTATGAATGAGACACAAATGTCACCTACTGATAAGAGTATAATGATTTAGTGAGTATAGGCTCAATCAAAAATCATCTCTGATTTAAAGAGTACAGACGGAGTCAAGGTATTTTCAAGGGTTGATAATAGACAATGGATTGGTGTCCCATGAAAATCCAAAACTCTGAACAAATATAATGCAAATATTAAAACACAAATGTTATTTCAATACATGTACAAAGTTGAAAGTCGAAAGCACAAATATAAAATAATCAAAGAAAGGAAAATCTAAAACTATAAATGAGTTAAATGTCATGTTTTACAGTAGTTGTTGGATGTAAGTTGTTGGATGTCATTTAACAACTGTATTAATAGTCCCTTGAGGGGCTTGGGCAAAAGCTTCCATAAAAATGCAGAAAACAGTTTACCTACCATGTATTTATAATAAAACCTTCACTAGTCTTATATACCATTTAAACTGCAGTAATTTGAGAATTTTAAATTTCTGAAAATATGTCATTTCCCATAAAACTAGATGGAAATCTATCATACAAAATAGCATTATTCTGAGATTAATAAAAACAGCATCAATGTTCAGAGTGAAAAATGTTGAGTCTATGTTGATCTATTTTGATACATTTAAATGTACAATTTAGACATGATCAGAAGAATGTAAAGCGTTAAATTGACTTCCCCATATGATCAAAAACAAAAAGTTAATGATTTGTGTTTTTTCATAATTTTACATTATTTGCAAGAGTTGTTCAAAATGTATTGACATTAAAGGCATAATCAGATATATAGGGGTGACAAAATTACAAGCAACATGTCCAATTGACTTACCTTGCCTTGTTCTTATATAAAAATAATACATTATTTTAAAAATCTTCACTTTACCTAAATAAAGTGTGTATTTTGGGGATTTTTAGAAAATAGACATGGCATTGTACAGTAAACTCGTGTAAACTGAACACAACAGGGATCAAGTAAAAACAGCTTTTGCATTCTGAGGTGTTCAGATTCACATCTAAAGCTTTTATTTATTGTACAATTGCAGATCTAGAAATAATCTAAACAGACAAAAATCATTTTTTAATCTACATATCTGTTATAATTATTAATTTCAATAACATTTTATAGAGAAGATGTACACAATATAGCACAACCTACTACATATACGTCTAACACTGCTGAAAAGTAGAATTCATTATTATTAAACTTACAGGCCATAATAGTTATTACAAAATAATAAATATAAATAGAACAATCTTTTAAAACAAAGAAGATCTCAATGTATTATATTTACACTGCATCATAATGCAGTTGCAGATGAGGGTATTATCTTTCTGATATTTGCGATCCCACTTATTCCAATTACTTATAACTAAATACCAATAAAGTACAAACATCTATAAGAATTATGTAAAAATTATATTATCAGTTATTGGACTAATACTGCAAATAATCAAATTAAAGCCACAGATAGATATTGAAGATCACGATTTTGATTCATTTTTTGTTAAGGGCCAAATATGGGCATTTAACAAAATTAGCAATACACAAATAATGAAAGAGAAAAATATCAAATGGGTTCTAAATGTTAAGACACACTTTGCAAGGCAATGATACAATATTGTGCCTTAACTTGTTATGTACAAGGAAGAGCAAGAAGATCAAATAAAGTTATGCGGAAGAGTCAGCCCACTGGTAGAACACTCCCCCATATAGTGTTAGGTGTGGATCATCACTTAGGTGGGCTGACTTTCATTTCAGCCTTTACCACAAGATCTCATTTCATTTTCATTAACTACATATGATTTTTATACTATTCAATCAAAAAAATTATATTGGAAAGTTTTTATTAACATTTAACAAATTACATGCAAAAGTTTACAGTAATGGGGATTTCGATTGAATTCATTTAAAATATTGTCTACACACATATAATAATATAGTAACAGTTATAACAAATATATTGCACTTTTTTGAGTGAATAACATGAGGTTATATTATTAATACAGTATTGTATATTATTACATGCACCAAAAATGTAAATGTTATACATGTACTAAAGCCGAAGAACTGTATGAGTAAATGTAGTTCAGGCTAAAGAATTCAATTTCTTTGTTTAGCATTAATAATTATGTTTACAGAAAGGATAATGTGGCTTTTTATTTTTCTGTTATCATCTGTCTTTTTCAGAATAGAATACAAATATCAAAAATGTCAATATAATTGAAAATTCATTAAAATCAAATATGGTAGGTATACCACATTGCCACATGGTTTAAATAGTGGAAGCCGGGGGGATATGCTAAACATTTACTATTTCCTTTAGCCTTGGTTGGCTTTAATACTTTTATCTAGCTTCAGTATTATTTTACAGTTTACAATACAATTGTTATAATACATTAAATTCCAAATGCTGTGTCCTTTCTAAAGTAAAGTTTTGACTAGAAAGAAATACAGATTTTTGTATATCATGGTTAAGGTTTTGCATTCTCCCAAAAATATATATAGTTGCACAATATTTCCCATACTTTTTGAACCTGTTGAAGACCCATATAATGGGACCTTACAAATGACCCTTAGTCAATATAATAGGCCTTCTAGAATCCTGTACAATGCTTAATCAGACTAGCCCATATCTCCAAGATAACATTGTCAAGAAAATGTAAGTTAAGGCATTACTAAGGGCTATGGTTTAGACTGAAGCAATGAAATGTTTCAACAATATCATTTTCATATCCAATCTATCATACAATGTTTGTTGACTATTGTATGTATTAAGTCTGACTGGCACATCATCAAGTGTCCCTTTCAATTAAATAATGTACATATACATTACAATGTGTGTTCATTACTCGCTGACTTGCTTATCATGTCCAGCATTCACATTGTACGTCTTTTATTACCACCGTAATAAATCCTGTATTTTGCTCCAAAGTCCCAATATTCTGTATTTCCATGGAAATACGGCCAGGTCCCCAAGCGACAATCTGAGACAATCATGTGTAGTTTTATGAAGATGTTTCCTCATTTCCTCCATAAGGACATAATCCATCTTTGTGGTTCTTTGTACATTTGACAGTTGGCACATGTCCACTGTCCCACATTCCTGGCCCGCACAGTGTGCAAAGTCCATCTAATGTGCATGGAATAGAGGGGAGGGTCCTAAATTGATGTAACAGCCCTCGAGCCTGAAACACAAACACCAAATACATATTTCTGTTTAATAAAAGGCGTGGGAATGGAGAGAAGGGCCTGAAATGCAAACATGAAATCTTTCTGAGACATCACTCCTCCCCTTTTAATTTGGATTAAGAGTCTGATTATTATTACTTATTGAACTGTGTAATATGTATATGTATATGTAAATATATATGTGTACCTTCCTCAAAACCACCTCTCCATTCATATGCATTGAGAGGCTACTGAAGTGTAATAACATCTCATCTGAAGGCAAGTTCTCTTGGACGACATCCTCCCCATACACAGCAATGATGGCCACGCATATAAACAAGTGGAAGTAGTCAGTCTGATAGTGGGCCCAACAGGCTTCCCACATTTTCAAGGCATCACGCTCTGGGAATTCTCGCTTGAAGCACAGTAGGACCCATCTGTAAGTACACAAAAATGTAAATTATCATTGGCTAGTCAAATACAATCCTCAAACTGTTGCAAGTGATTTAGTTTTGTCGCTGATATGATCATAACAGTCTCAAATGAAGCTTTCACTGTACTTTATGGAAGTTTGAATGTGAAATTAGTGTTCAGTACTAATGAGAAAATGGTGTTATGATTTAAATGGATATATGCGGAATATGCAAAATCCATGGTTTATCTCTAATTTTAGAGGGGAGACATTGTCAAACTCTAGCAAAGGGTAAACTTACCTGTGGCAGAAGAGAAGCTCCATTGCATCTTGAAGACCAAGTAGATGCTCATAGAACTTTGGTTGCATCAGACGAAGCAACTCTCTTAGATAGTTCTACAATAAGAACCAGCCATTTTCAAATGTGAATAGCATTTAGCGAAATATTGAATTATTGGTTGGGTTGAGAATCATAAAAAAATCTGGTTATATTTTTTAGCAATATGATAAGGAAACAAATTACATAACTTAACATGATAATATTAATTCAAAGAACAATATGTCTCACAAAATTTTACAATAACATACCAGCTGTTTATCCATGTCCATATCTTTGGGAGAACTGATGAAGATCGTCCCAAGCATTAATCCCACAAAGCACCAGTAGGCGTCAACCTCATTCTGGAGTTCGGCTAAAACAGGAGCCAGGAGATCTGACATACCCTGTGTATATCCCATTACAGGGTGAGCTGTGGCATAGTTCAGTAGAATGTTCCTGAAAATGCAAGACATTTAATCACGAGAAATTATTCACAATCAATTCAATAGGTGGTTTACAAAAATTCTTCATTGCACTGTCAGAGCTAGAGAAGGACAGACTGACTGAATGAATAGATGGAATGGTTGGAGGGCTTCTGCAAATATCCCTTCATTTACAGACCTTTGTTCAATATTTCTATGGGTTGTCAACCCCCTGAAATGTGGATAAGTTCTGTCTTCTCAGTGCTTTGACAAAATAGTTTTCGACAATACACTCAGTCCTTTCAGTTATGAGAAAGGCCAATACAAGACTATTTAATTCAATACTTCTATATTGGGGTGTCCTCCCCTCTGAAGTAGGGATGACTTCTAGACTACTTACTTCAATACTTCTATATTGGGGTTGTCCTCCCCTCTGAAGCAGGGATGACTTCTAGACTACATACTTCAATACTTCTATATTAGGGTTGTCCTCCCCTATGAATTAGGGATGACTTCTAGACTACTTACTTCAATACTTCTATATTGGGGTTGTCCCCCTCTGAAGTAGGGATAACTTCGAGACTACTTACTTCAGTACTTCTATATTGGGGTTGTCCTCCCCTCTGAAGTAGGGATGACTTCTAGACTACTTACTTCAATACTTCTATATTGGGGTTGTCCTCCCCTCTAAAGTAGGGATGACTTCTAGACTACTTACTTCAATACTTCTATATTGGGGTTGTCCTCCTATCTGAAGAAGGGATGATTTCTAGACTACTTACTTCAATACTTCTATATTGGGTTGTCCTCCCCTCTGAAGTAGGGATGACTTCTAGACTACTTACTTCAATACTTCTATATTGGGGTTGTCCTCCCCTCTGAAGCAGGGATGACTTCTAGACTACATACTTCAATACTTCTATATTAGGGTTGTCCTCCCCTCTGAAGTAGGGATGACTTCTAGACTACTTACTTTAATACTTCTATATTGGGGTTGTCCTCCCCTCTGAAGTTGGGATGACTTCTAGACTGCTTACTTCAATACTTCTATGTTGGGGTTGTCCTCCCCTCTGAAGTAGGGATGACTTCTAGACTACTTACTTTAATACTTCTATATTGGGGTTGTCCTCCCCTTTGAAGTTGGGATGACTTCTAGACTACTTACTTTAATACTTCTATATTGGGATTGTCCTCCCCTCTGAAGTAGGGATGACTTCTAGACTACTTACTTTAATACTTCTATATTGGGGTTGTCCTCCCCTTTGAAGTTGGGATGACTTCTAGACTACTTACTTTAATACTTCTATATTGGGGTTGTCCTCCCCTCTGAAGTTGGGATGACTTCTAGACTACTTACTTCAATACTTCTATATTGCGGTTGTCCTCCCCTCTAAAGTAGGGATGACTTCTAGACTACTTACTTCAATACTTCTATATTGGGGTTGTCCTCCTCTCTGAAGTAAGGATGACTTCTAGACTACTTACTTCAATACTTCTATATTGGGGTTGTCCTCCCCTCTAAAGTAGGGATGACTTCTAGACTACTTACTTCAATACTTCTATATTGCGGTTGTCCTCCCCTCTAAAGTAGGGATGATTTCTAGACTACTTAATTCAATACTTCTATATTGGGATTGTCCTCCCCTCTGAAGTAAGGATGACTTCTAGACTACTTACTTCAATACTTCTATATTGGGGTTGTCCTCCCCTCTAAAGTAGGGATGACTTCTAGACTACTTACTTCAATACTTCTATATTGGGGTTGTCCTCCTATCTGAAGAAGGGATGATTTCTAGACTACTTACTTCAATACTTCTATATTGGGATTGTCCTCCCCTCTGAAGTAAGGATGACTTCTGTCTGTTCTGACAACATCCTTCTCTACAGTACACTGAGTGCTTCGCCAGAACCGTTCTCTTTCATCTTCAGTCATCATCTCTCTAGAAAACAAGAAAGGAACATTTTACACATTTTAAAATGAAATTATTAAATATACCACAAAAACAAGGTACATGGCCTTGAGGAAGATATATGTTATAATCTGTTTTCCTCAATTTAGGGTCTCTGGATAATTTGTAAAATGTTACTTCTGGAGCTTTTTACTGCAACATGTGACCTGCATTTAGACTTTATTCGGATATCAATGAATTAAAAATATTGTATTTGAAACTACCTTTGCTTGCGAATGTTTTGGTACTCTATGTATCTGTCATTACGTATTTGTTCTCTTTCCTCATAAGTGGATTCAAAGGGGTAGTAATGCAGCAAGAAAGGCCATGCCTCGTGTCTTAGGGATGGCTCAATACCTCCAAAAAATATTGCCTGAAATATAAAGAAAAATCACTGCTATGCATAACTGTTGCTGCCTGTTTGGTGTAACCATAGTACTAATTTATTATTATTTTCAGAAAAAGGATCTCAACATCATTCTACACCCTTCTTCTAAGGAAAGGGGGTCTAAATTAGTACTTTCAATCAATGTTATAAACTTTTGAGAAGTTGACTTATGAAATGACTTTGCCAAATAATGGTATCCCTTTGATACCTTCTTCAGCTGGTAATCCTCCTCAATCTGGCCCTGGGGGTTCATGTGCTGCATCCAGGACTCCCCTGTAACCATATTGAAGACCCCCTCCTCTGGGTGACACTGGTCCTCCGTGAACTGGGGGCGTACAATTGAGAAAGTCGTACAGTTCAGGTCTAAGTACTTCTTCGACTGGAAAGTAAATAAATAAACCCTGAATCCAAATCGGCCAATCATACTATACTCTGAATATTATGGATGATTTCATAATTTTGATAATGATATGATCTTAATCATCTAAAATGCATCTTTCTCGTATGAAAGTTTCAATCTGAAAAGTTGTTGGCTACTTAAAGACATAAAATGGAGTCTCATTATTTTCTGCCTAAAAATAACATTTTGATTGGATTTAAAGCAATTAATTTGTTATACATGGGATTACAGGCTTATGAAACCATAATACAATTATTTATCTAATATCAGATTTTGTTCCTTTGTTACTCTATATTTATCATTCCAATATAATTTTCTACAAAGCATTGTGACTCTTAGAGTTCATTCGCTCATATCTATAATTGGAACAAAAACAGGATCTGAGAATCTTGTAAGGTGTAACCAAATTAAAGCTTAACAGGAAAATCGAAGTTTTCTGACAATTCAAAAGGAAGTTTCAATACCTTGCTGAAAATCCATAACATCCCAGCTTTTCAAATGTATATGTAATTGAGTTAAACAAGATTAACTGACAGATAGACCAAAATTGGCAGACAATGGGATTATTGAATGTGATAGTGAAATCAGTTTGCCAGCCAAATTGTGACAATTTAATTTATACAAAACAAGTGAAATACAAAAAGGAGGAAATTGGCATTCTTAGGGGAAATCAGCTTAAAAATGTAATTATGTATAAGAGGGTGTTGCCATAACTAAGAGAAGGTGGGGCAAACTTGGGTAAAAGGGAAATAATATTAATATTAGAGTTGAACTTCAAAGTTACACTTAATTAACCCTTTTGCATTTTTTCAACATACAGAAAAAGTGACCCGCAGCTTTGATACACACTGACTCAACTGCGCAGATACATGAAATGTGAAATGAAAGATATAAACACAAAGGAGGTCAATGAAACAGCAGAACATTCAAATATGATCTAAAGAGGCTCACATTTTATGGTATATTTCAAATCACTTAAGGTGTTCACATAAAGTTGTTCTCTACTTAAATCAAACCTTGTTAATGAAAGGTGATTTCATGTTTATCACATAGACAGAACTGATTAAAAAGGGGATTATCAAATGACAATGAAATAAAAAAAGGATAAAAAGGTATTTTGCAGTTTAAGAGATTATGGTGACCTGACTTTCACGTTTATATCCCACGGTAATATTTCAATTTTACTTTTTACCTCTAAAACTGAAAGCTTGTAGGACCAAGAGAGCTTTTCTTTTATATGCCATATGGCTATAATAAAAGTCTGCATTATCTAATAACAGGAAAGGAAATGGAGCACTGCTCTTCAATCTATTTACGAGAGTATGGTGACACCATTACTCACATGGTTGGGTTCTGCGATGAATTTCAAGCCTTGTAGGACTTCGGCTAGCTTACTTAGCCCTCCATGGTGGAAATGTAGGATCTTGTATTGGCTTTCACAACTGGCTAACACCAACTGCCCACACTTGTCTCGTTTTCGTCCCTCATTATTGTAGAACAATCGCACGCTGCGCATCTGGCCTGGATTCAGAAAATAATGAGTAAATAAGAGGTCAAACAATGGTACATGTACTTGTATAAAAGCAACTAATACTTATCGTTATACTACAGAGGTATGGTAGTTAGTTTTTGACCAATGATACACAGTAAACCTGCACTAAATCAGTTGAATCTAATTTTGAATTTTTTAACCCCAATCCGTAAAAGCAAGACGTCTCTTTGGCTGCTTTGAACCATTAATTGTACTCATGTGATATCTCGTTATATCTTAAAATAAATAGTAAATACTAATCTTTGTGAACTATAAGTCCTACAATTTACAATTTGAGATTGTTTTGTTTTGCAAATGTTGCCTCTTTTGCCATCTCATCTTCAAGGCCATATTTGTCTGGTATTGCCTTTATTTGAACCTTATGTTCATGGAATAATGATAGTTGGAGGTAGGTAGTTATAAAGCACAGTATACTCTTCTGAGAATGTTAAATGTGATTGCTTCTTGAATAAATCTTTTTAATCATCCTCTATCCAATACAATTAGTACTGTTTTGCTCAATACTTAAGATTGAAGTTGTGTGTTTTGGTGTCTTTTTGTCTCTGCTTCCATTGCTGCTCTTGTGTTTTTATTCAAAAAATAGATTTCTTCAAAGCGCAATGCGCGTAGAAAAAATCTTTAAATATTCAAAATTCAGTCAAAGTGATGTCATATTTGAAATCTGCATGTAAAAGTACATCTAGAAATATGGTTTCGAAAATTGTATATCAACTTTGAAAATCTAATTTTTTTTTGAAAATGTGACTTCTTGTTCGGGTTGATTCCCCATAGACCCCATGTTACAAAATCACAAAAAGTGAATTATCTTTTCTTGTATTGGACAGATAACATTTTCTTTTACTGGACATATTTTAATTTGCATAACTATTAGATACATAAGGGTTATATGAAAATTGAACCACGCAAATATATGTAATTTAATTTAAAGGGAACTTTCTACTATACCCGCCATGCTATCAGACCCGAACGAGCCACCTGGTGGTGAATCTGGTAACTACCTACTCACATCTGCGTAATTGTATAATCAAAATATAATTGGAATGTTAAAATGAATATTACTGCAGAGGAGATCTTGATGTCCCAAAGCCTTATATTCTAAGACAAAATACAAATCAGAGAGAACATCAACTAGAACTGTAAATCAAGAGAAAAATGAATCCATGAATGTATAAGGGATTTCATTTTGTCATAGATTAATTTTTCGGTATCCAAAGCAATCTACTATGTTAAGATTTTTACAATCTTAGCTAATATGAATCTCTTCATTCATAGTATCATTCTGTTTCAGGAAATAAACAGTAAAAGAAATTGTTTTCACAATTATTCTGGCAAATGAGCAAATTATGGGTAAATTGGTAAATTAGACACATGTTCCCCTGGAATATTAGGGATACAACCTCCAAGAAAATATGCTTATTTGAATTATTTCATAAATAGATTAGAGGGAGTAATTGGCACTTTAGATAATTCCCAGATGTGGTATCAATGGAGCGAGGAAATAAACTGTCTTTGTCAGATTGATCAAGTTGTATCCCCTGATGAGAGGTTGAGTGAAGTTGTGACGTCAATGAGACGTTCACAAGGATATTATCTTGAATTTTTAAAGGTAAACACAGGAAGACTATGTTAACCTGAATCCATAGAGTAATAGCAGATTTATTTTTGGTTTCCTATTATAACGAAAATATTTAAATCAAATGATGTTATCCACCTTCTAGGGTATTTTATGTTCTACCAATGAAGGCTAAATAAAAATAAAAGTTTTGTATCAAGTAGATTACGTCTGGTTTAATTACACAAACAAGATGAAACAATTATCGCTTACCTAAATCCACCGAGAAGATGCCACAGACTTGTTCTCGAGGACTCCGTTTCGGGCTTCCAATTTTGTTAAAACTTGGAGTGGTACTTTCCGGGAATGTGAGATTGTGAGTTACAGCGAAGGCCTCTGGATTGCCCTGCATGTATGGGTTACCCCCATATGAAGGAGTACTGGGGGTAGTGCTTGATGAACTATAGGGAGAGCTTGGGTGGGAATCTGGCCCAGATGTATCCCCAGAGGAGCTCCCTGAGGGGCTATATGGGGGTGTAGAAGGGGTCTCTTGCGTTACAGCTATATCCGGGGTAATAAGTGGCTCAGTTGAAGATGATAGTGTTATATTCTGTAAAGGTAAATCCAGTGTTGATTTAATGTCATTCTTTGGCGTATGAATCAAATCGTTTTTAGTACTAGGGCTAATGTTATTGATCGTACTGGAGCTTGTGCTATAACTAATATTGTCATCAGGTTTAACATTGGATTCAGGGATTTTGTGATTATTGGTTATAGCTGGGTGCTGTAGCTCTTTAAGCATGCTTTTATAATGTTCTCCTGTAGGGCTAGGGTATGTGGAATCAGAACTAAGACTAGCACACTCAGTATCAGTGTTCCCTTGATCTTTCATATCCATAACAAATGGGTCATCACCTTCAAGCTCCTCTGTTGTTATCACTAAGTTATCTCCTTCCATTTCTATGCTGACTTGAGACCGATTTGACGATGTACGTTCACGTGTCGTCTCGACTTGATTATTTTTGACTAGAGTTTTTAATTTAGCACCAGTGGAAGGGCTGTCTGTATCTGAAGAAGAACTACACTCCATGGAATCCCCTTTTGATATATTGCGTAATTTTGATTGCAAAGGCTCCCCTTGGCCATTTTGGATTGAACTCCCCGTGTCATTTAATCGCTGGTAATTCAGAGATCCATTTGATGATTTTGCTGATCCATAATTTGGATCAATCACAATTCCCGAGTCCGTCTGCGATTTTATACTAGAGCTAAGTTTCTGTGTACTAATATCAGAGAACTTTCCATCCTCTGGAGAGGTATGCAAACTATCGGGGGATGACGTATCTTCATAACTGCTGCTGATATATCGTGTACGACCTTTTGTGAGTGTATCATTTTTAGCACTTGAATCAATTTTATCACTTATAGTAGATGCTGTAGATTCTGTTGGTGACTGACTAGAGTAGTAATATGGTCGTGAAAATTCTGCAGATCTTGGAGATTTGTGATGACGTGGGCTTGCCCTGGGACTATTTCTTGAGGGACTATTTTCTATGCTGCGAGGATTTTTCCTCAAGGTTGTATTTGGTATCCAGGAGAGTATAAGAGTTGACCCCAATACCTGGAACAAACATGTAGAGTTATTTAAACCAACTATGCCTTTATTAGGAGCACAAATTTATTAGAAGCATACTGTGCATACTGTATATATATATTTTGGATGCTTTGAAAAATTGATACGATGTTATCAATATAACATTTTAAACGAGGCATTATCATGTAAAATGTAGAGATTCTAAAGGCTGAACACTAACCTACAAACTTAAACAGCCACCACAAAAAAGTTGGAGATCATAACAATATGTCACCACTTGTGGTGGTGACATAAAAAAATAAAATAGAATTACAAGTGGTGCAAAAACTTTTATTTTATTATTTCAGTCTCATATTACGTATGCTACACAATACCAATTAAGTAATGCATTTTGTCATTAGATGACAACAATGAAGCGAAATCAATTGAGATGGATATAATCATGACTGAATGAGTTTACAATAACATCAGAAAAGACTTCATCAGGAAATCAAGACAAACAACTCTGACAGCATCAGGTGACATATTGACTGAGGCAACAGTAAATGCAAAGGGCAAACATGAGAGAAAACAATGAATAAAACACATAACTCAGCAGGAGAAAAATCAATGGCAATAAGTAACGGCTAAGTCCTCTAATGGCTTCTCCAATGGTTTCTCTATTCATCAATTAATATTAATGGATGGACAACTGGCTGAAATTAGTACTAAGCATACTGACAGGCTATCTTGTATTCCACTATGCGATCAGCTGTCAAAAATGACACATTTTGTAATAAGTGAAAAACTGGATCCAAGAGGTGATCACCTCACTGATTCTCTTGAGATATTTATATCACTATATGCAATATTTCAAAGCTCAATGAGATAACATTTGGCCAGGTCTGCAGAGAATTCTCTCTTACGAATCAGTATTTGTATTTGATTAAAACTATTATAAAACAAAGATCAAATAAACCAGCAAAAGATAAAGAATAAATGTTAAATTGCATAAAAATATTAAAAAATCAGTAACTTTTTCCAATTTATTTTGAGAAATTACTAATACTAGATGCCGTCTGCATAACAAGAGTTGAGATCAATATATAGAATGCTGACTCCACAGTTCTCAAAGGAGCACCACTTAAATTCTGTTCTGCTTCGTTTCTATTGTTACACTGGAAAATACTCAGAGTATAGAGTACCATTCACCACAACTTTATTCATTGACATTCTTGTATTATCTCACATAGGGAACATTCATTTCATATTGAAACCCTGTAAAAGGATATGAAACTTACATTTGAGACTGGTAAGATCTCATTCGAATCAAAAACCATTAAACACTTTATTCAATGGTGGTTTGAGAAGCCAATAGGGAATTAGAGGGTACTAGAATTATATATAAAACATGTAGATAATAATGTTTCTAGGGTTACAATATACTTCAATTAATCTCATTATTCTATCAGCTTTGTATGATGTTCTGTATCTACGTATTGATGTTATTGCCTTACTACTTATGAAATTAATCCCTTCTCGCCAGAAAATGGTGTCAAGTATGAAATGGTCTCCTATTTAGATACTTGCAAAAACACTGTGGTAGCAATGAGGCACATCAAAGAACCTTATATGGTATGAAAAGTGATTTTAGGTATGGTTCTAACATGGATTTTAAAAATATAAAAAATGTAGAATATAAAATACCTTCTATTAATTATGTAATCCTAAATAAAACGATTTTAACCATTTCACGCTAATTCATATAGCCTGTTTACTATTAAGGCTTGGTGAACAGTTACCTGGTCATCTTGGGATTTAATCATCAGGTATCCAGGGTGATGCTCCACCGTTGACCTTAGGGTGGCAGGGGGGTGCACACATACATTGTTTTTACAGTAAACAATCTCACCATCTGTAGGTAGCTCCCGATCATCTTCATCACTGTTTAACCCTAGAAGGTTGGAGGCCTTCTTAAACAATGCGCTAAATGACATTTTAGCTGGCGAAGTCCCAATATGTTAGCTAGAAGACCAACTCATTCTGAAGATAGAGGAAAAATAAAAATCATATCCATTTTTACAATTATGTTGTGGTATATTCTGTGAGTATATCTGAATATGTTATCATATATTTCTTCAGGTCACTTTATCTTCATCATAGAAGAGAAATTCTTGAATAACAATATGCAAACTGCTATTGTAGGGTACCTTGGTACCTTTTAATGCAAAAGACAATCGGCAGAATCAAATTCAATTTCGTTTTTTCTGCCTGAATAATTTCTGTTTCGTCGACTTTTCTCAGTTTTGTGTAAGATCCTGTTATTGCCTTTTCCACAATTGAATGCGATATTATCATGAAATCTTTTTGACAGAATCACTGAATTATTTGTAAAGCTGAAGCAATAATAATTTAACAAAAATTACGCCTTCTAGTTGCATAATGTCAAATTCACCCTTAAAAACGCAACTTAGTGAACATTATTGAAGTATCCAATATGCTGGTAAATGGTAATCCATGCCATACTTATATGTTAGGCTACAGTGAAAATTATGTACGGATGAGCCAGTGTATCGATCCAACCAAAGAGATGTGTCGAAAAATGTATCATATATCTTTATAAAGCAGTATGATTAAAAGGGCAGCCTTTGAGTAGAAAGAATCCTCGGAGGAACTTCAATTCCATTCATTATAAAGTAATTGACAGCTAGTAGATTGCAAGTCACAGAGTTCCAATATTCCATCATTGGCTGAAGTTTATGAGATCAACTCAACCTAGTTCTCCTTCAGCGCTGTTATTGAAGAATGACACATTAGGATAATCACAAACATCTTCCTCAAATTGCAATCAACAGATCTCGCCAATGAACATTTTTTCAATTTGTTATATTTTGTATTCCACGTTCAATAACCTTCTATAAATAGCTCATCCTGATTTATCAGACCAACTCTTAACATTTATTTGTACCGTTTCCCATAGATCAATTTTACTTCTTTAAAGCCCTTAAAAGAGAGCTTCATCTACATGATGTACTAGATGCTCAGGGTAATAATCAAGGCAATATGTATGCAGAGCCTTTAATAAATTGGTATGAGCTGACTGGATACCACATTGCAATAAACCTGGAATGCCTATTTGCAATCAACACTATTATTAGGAATAACAGTACATTGTAGATGTTAACAGAGGTGTTGCTAGAAGGGGCTCCCAAAGCCTGGGGAGGGTAAGGCATGTTGGTAACATTTCTCATAATAGATAATATTTTCATCCATCTTTTTGTAACATTTTTCATTTGATTTTTTGCATATTTTCATTTTCTCGCTTGTTCATTCACACTAATTGAGTTGATAAATTTTTGTGCATGCTGTAGCTAAGAATTGATATATTTAACATAATCTTATACTAAATGTTTCTTTTACTTTTTTATGCTATAATAATGATTGCTTCAGTTCACTGTCCCTGATATTACAATCTTAATGTCCATGTTACATTTGCTGATTTTCACATATGTAATAGCAAAAGTGCTTAAATATACATGTTGCTTTTCGTGGCATCCCCAGACCCCCCCTCTCCCTTGCTTTTTTGAATGTTCATTTAGGAAAGGGTCAGGTTAACCTATAGTCGGCAATGTTTTTTTTGTTTTTTTTTCTTATTGATTAATTTTATTCAAGTCTTTTTCCTTCTTTTATTTCTACAGTAATTTTTATATTCAATGTTTTAATGTTTTAATATCTTTCTTGGTAGCGTGCTCTTAGTCGGCAATGTTATCAAAGTAGCTCATATTGAAAAAGATACATGCATCAGTGGTAAACATGATGCATAGAAGTGCTCTCTTTGCAATGATTCAATTCGACCATTAAGTCTACAAATGCAATGTTCCACTTTGAAGATCCTTTCTGCCTTGCCCCTCTCTCTCATTTTATAATATGGAGTTGGTCGAGAAATTGATACACTGACATTATAACAAATCAATATAGCAGTACCACCCCATTCATTGAGAAGGGAGGAAATTTCATAGTTTATCGTGATTGGGACGTCTCCCAAGCCAAGATATGACCCCAAGAACATAAGATATCAATAATATAGTAACGATAGACCCCGTTTTTTAATTATATGATATTACTCCTGAAAGCAATCGCATTAAAATATCAATTATAATATCTTCTTATCATGTGTAAAAACAATCTAAAATACTAAAGTAATCCAGTAATAGGATCATATATATTTTCTAAGTACAAACTCATACTTTCTTACCAGTTTGTAGTTCAACAAGTTAAACCTAGTCTGGGCCTTATTTCTTATCTGACATTTCTTGTGGCCCGCCCTAGGTTTAACATCCGTGCCTATTCGGCCCTTGATGCAAATATTTTTAATGATGGCCTATGGCAGCGCATAGAATTCTATGCGCGTTTTACTAATAACTGATAGTGAGAATTTGCAACCAATGAAAGCATAGCACGGAAGTTAAACCCAACCACGGCAACAAGAACACTCAGATTATAAATGAAAGCCGTGGAATTGGGTTTAACTTGTTGAACTAACCAGTTTGATGCTTAAATCATTACTCTGATGAAAACATAAGACCTTGGAAATTCAAGATGATATCAGACTTCATATATCCTAATCCTTGGTTCGAGGATTTTTCACTTCTTTCCATATTCTATAATTCTGTTTCATAAAAACTGCCCCTTCATATTGGATGATGATGATGCAGCAAAACCCTATATCTTAAAATGTGTCAGTAGGATATGCATACATATGTATTTCATCAATCATTGGTAATTTTAATTGTAGAAATTTCATGATGTGGAGCTACCTTAGCCCTAATCATAAACGCCTTTGGTCATCTTCTCCATCAATGTGCCTCTAGGGAAGTGTTCCTTAATGTGAGAAAGATGTTATGCTTGCATGAGATAACTACCATTGTATAGCATTGTATAGGCAAAGTTTGCATTACTGTTTAAATGCAATATATTAATCCCATTGTTAACATTGTTCCCCACTCTGTAAAAATTGTATGCTATATATAAACATACAGAATGACCAAATGACCAAAAATTGAGAACTGATCACTGATGTTGTTGTCTAACTGCAAACTGATTTGTGAAATCTAACCATAAATGTAAAAATGTAATAAACTTGAGGAAGTAGCTATATAGTCTATCCATTGACGACATACATCCTTTACTTATGATTTGAAGCCTCACTGAGAAAAGATTATATTTAAACTTAAAAGCATTACCATTATTATTGCTAAAAAGAATATAGTACTTACATCTTCATTGCATTTATAATGCTTGAGTAATTAAATGATCAAGATTTCATCCCTACATCCAAACAATATAATTTGTATCACACCATCACTCCAAAAACAACTGAATGTCTGACTACGACTTGATCTCTAACACTCGTAAAATAGCTAAGATGGTCTTATAACACGCTCTCCCAGATTGTAATTAACAAAATCATGCAATACGAACAAAACATAGGAATCAATGAAACATGAAGCATTAACTTAATCTATAATTTCCACTCTAGGCATATAGATTCCTTGCTATTCCCAGCAGCCCTCGAACCATTTAACTCCTAGCAGATCTATGTACTAATATATCTATAATTTAATTACCTTCATCATCTCAAAGTAATACATTTGACCTTTTGAATAAAATATCACATTCTTTATATATTTCATAAAAGAGGATTCACCAAGAAAGAGGAGTGTTACAGGGTAGGAAGTGATACAGGAGTTCATTTTTGGTAAAATCGTAACCTATTATGATTCCAAGAAAACCATTTTCTACTTTTTCATGAACAATGACTTTTGACTACCCTTTGCATTCGTTTGACTTCACTTCTTTAAAAGAGAGCTTCGTCTTCTGTAGTTTAACTAGACTCTGCACGCAGGGTAACTTTTGACCAAATTGTTAGTAATGACAGTTTCAAACCCAGACAGCAGAGTAGAAAGAACAGACGTGTTCATCTTTATTTAAATGTTAGGTTGTTCGAAGTAATTATAGATTAAGGAATGTATGCCAATTGTGAAATATCTGTTTGAAGAAAAGGAGCAAGAATGAGGAAGAAAATAAGCAAAAATATGGAAAAACCGACAGAATAATAATGATTGAAGTTGAGATGTTGGTAAATACGCAACCTCTAACAGCTACACGTAGCTGCATTGTTGAATGACAATTCATGTCACGATTTTATGAAATGTTGCATTGATCTCTGAATTAAGTATTCATTTTTGAGGAACTGGGAAGGAAAGACTAAGTAGGAATATCATGATTTATTAGTGCTTTATATCAAAATTGCCAATCGGAAACAATTCATTACAAAGATAAAAGGATGAAAGCTCTTGTATTTGATTAAGAAACTAATGCCGTATACATGGTACGGTTGATACATATAACTACACATATGTCATTTGTAGCTGAAGTTTCTCGGATATATAGTCATGCTACTCATCATGGTAATACTATACCTTACCTATTTTATATTTGTATCTTTAAGCATTGTTTGGGATACTGGGGATTTTTTCTATATGACCAGTCAGTTTTAATTGTTTCTTTTCTATATGTTTCTTAATATTTTTTGGTTATTACGCATATGACACTGCTTATAAAAGGATGTTGCGGGCTATACCTTAGTTAAAGAAACATTTAAATTGTAATGAGGGACAAATATCAATAAAACCTGCCCTAATAGAACAAAATTGAAACCAGTTAAAAGTATTCATATTGAAGGTTTAAATATATGTTTACAATATGTCCACTTCTTGTGGTGACATAAAAACTGGGAATAGAATTCCCAAATTAGAAGGTGTTTACTCCAGAGAGGTTTCACACAGGTTTCACTAAGTACACTACAAAAACAGCAACATTACTATAAATAAGTATCTAGGCACTCAAGGGTGTACATGACAGTTACCAATGTGACTACTGAATAACATTCTCGGCTGAAGGTTGTCCTATAATTCTAAAATGTATAGATTAACAGTGCCAAAAATGATAAAAAAAAAACAATGCCAAAATAATAAACCTTTTGTTTCACAGGTTATTAGACAACATAAATATATCACTCCTGAAGGCCTGTTAAGAACATATTTTGTGTCATAATACAGCAAAATAAATGAAATTAATTTACCAGATATAACTTCATATAAGGTGAAACATGAGTTTTGTCACGTAACATTATATGCAATTGGGCAAAATAACAAAATGTTGATCACGACCCACACATAAAACTATCATCATTCTGTTTACTGTTATACATGTACATATAAAAAATCCTGTAAATACCTATTATAGCACAAAGTCACATTTAGAAATAGAACTTCCACAAGAATTTATAATCATTTATTTAGCTTAAAAAATATATTCACATCAATTGACAAAATGAGGATTTTAATATGCATCATTTTTCTAGGATTTTTAAAACAAGGATATGAAGCTGATTCTTCAAAGAGCAGCAGTGAAGAAGACAAAGATGAGACCATCTCTGTAACAAAAACAACAATAAAGACAACAACTAAAAGCATAACAAAAGAAGCCATAGCTTCAACACTTTCTCCAGAGACTGAACCAACAATTAAAACCACACAAAGCACTAGTATTAAGCCTTCGACAGCATCACCTATAGTTATTATTAAAACAAGTGTTCCTTCCACTTTATCAACAGGTACAACTGTCAAGAATGGTGAAAGAGCAAACGACTCCTCTTCAGGCCAAATTGAGCCTTTTACTACATTACCTGAGGCTGTAATAGAAACAAGGAGTACTTCTTCAATTTCACCAACCAGTACAACAGACAAGGATAACAAAAAGGCAAGAGATTCCTCTTCATATCACTCCAGTGAAGAAAATGACAGTGACACTTCTCATAATGATGGGGACAAACCTGATGTTCATGCCAGTAATGTCACAAAAGAGGCAGGGAGAGAAGTGGACAATATGAAAGCTGTGATTATTGGTATGTATGTCATTTTGATAATCATTTGAAAATGACTTAGTTGACTGCCCATATCTAGAGGTAACACCTTAAGAAATAAGACTTATACTTTAAGACTTATACTTTATTGAATGTTATTTGAGTATGGGATGAAATGTTTTTGGTAAATTGGTTTGAACTATTCTTTCATTAATTGATTCATATTGGTGTCTCAAACATGTAACTTTACTATCTTCTATTCCAGGTATTATTGTTGCAGTAGTTTTGTTGACACTGATGCTGCTAGCAACATTGCTGTTCAAATGCTACAGGTATGTCCTATCAGGGTATTCCTATGTTGATGCCTCAACCCAAATTTTCCCCTCAAATTAAAAAAAGTTCTTGCTTTCCCTTTTCTCATAAATTCTTAATTTGTAATAGGCCATGTTGATTGGCATTCACTTTGCATATGAAAAGTAAGAAAACATGCAACGTCAGGAAAATGACCAAACAAATAATTGGCACAGATTAATATAAGGAGTCATTGTTCTAATCTCCATCTTGCTACATCAAACTGGACCTGTCCTTACCATGATACTTGGTCAAATCTCAGCTGATTCTCTGATTATTATACATATAAGAAGGGGCCTAAGGCACTACATTTTGATTTTGACCAATCTTTGATGGGGTCCATTACATTCTTTCTATATTTATCGCAAAACATCTTCAACACCGTCCTTCAGGTGGTCCAACCCATGTGATCCACTTGGCATTTTTGCAAATGAGACACAACACATGACTTGGGTCTCAAGTGTCTCATATGAACCTACAAGATAGAAAGTGGTGATTGACCATAGGAACTGAAGATGCTAACTTAAATGCATCAGTGTAAGTTTAACATGCAGCAACACTATATACAGGCTCAAAAGGTTGTATAGAAAGAATAATGGCAATCCTAAAATACATATATCAACACTGACCTCTATAAAATGTTCAAAATATAATTGAGTATCATGAAGGTAATAAACATGAGAAGATGAGATTCAGTTCCATTCGCTCATGAAGACTAACTTATCTAAATAAGTCGAAGAAATTTTGTTGTCATGAACGAAAATGAGCACAATGTAGAAATTCCTGAGGGCTATGTTTTCAACATAACAATATACTATATCTGTGATCTCCCCAGCATTAAAGCCAGTGGGCGCAGCGCCCACCTGAGATTTTAAAAACAGACTTGCATCCACCTGAGAATTCATTTGCACATTTAAAAATGAGAAAAATCATTAAAATGAGCATATTTTGACCAATTTTGGTCTGAATTGTGAAAATCAAAATTTTGCACCCACTTGAGAAAAAATCCAGTGGAGAACACTGCATTTTGAAAACATATGACTGCATTTTTTTACTTTGCAAGTACCCCCTCTCAGGTTTTCTGATTTATCTGACTGCTAACTGACACGTATCAATTGGTCAGGATACCTGAAATCCCAATGACTTTATTTCAGATATAAAAGAGAGAAGAGGGTTGAGGTATATGAGACCATAACAAAGCCAGTAGTCCAAGCCCAGGAGGTACACCACCATTACAACTACCCAAACAACAACCCTGCATTTGAGTCATATTATGTTGAGCCCATATCAGGCCCTAATATTCACATGAGGAGTAAACCAACAAAAGACAGTGACAATGAGACATATATTGATATTGATAGAGGTTCTTCTTTGGTAGATAGTGGATATGATACATGGATGCCAGGCGGGTCTGGAATATCTCAGGAAGAGCCAAGTCCAGAGTATTTAGAAGTTATAAATGATTAACTGAATGACAAGGTTAATAGTGATGAGGAGTTCGCAAAAGACAAGGGTATATTTATGTATCGAGGCTGGATCTAAAGAGTATGTGACCAATAATTGATTAAACATGATAAAACGAGGGGTCGTGGGTTCAATCCCCACTGCGGTGGACTGACTTTTTCACATCAGCCCTTAGCACAGGATTTCATTCTGTGTTTTCATTAACTAAAACTATTTCTCCTTAGGGACAATGGCCCATGGGAAAGTCCACGTGATATCACAAAGAGAATGATTGACATCCTGGAAAGACAGGTAATTTATATTGGTCATGTAAGACATGGCTGCAATGCTATATATGCAATGTTGATGTGGAAAAGACAGTAGGTCCTATAGCTCAGTGGTAGTAAATTTTGTAAGTATAGTGTATAGATTAGCTTAACCTAATAGTAACATCAGATATTAAACCAGGAAGTTTTTAGCATTTTAACAATTATTGATTTACAGGTCATATAGTCATACCTCATCACGAATCACAGGCATACTTTATTAGCACCAATATTATGCTATTGGTGTTATTTGAACTAGATATTCCCATGAATGCACACCATGGTTATATGGTTATATATAGTCATACCTCATCACGAATCACAGGCATACTTTATTTGCACCAATATTATGCTATTGGTGTTATTTGAACTAGATATTCCCATGAATGAACATACATTATTCAACGAATACCCTGTATTTTTTACTTTTTGTAAATTAACATCAAATGATCACATTCATGAATATAAAAAATTGTACACAACTAAGAATATTCATGTATAAGAAAAAAATAAAAACAGATGATATCAAAAATCAATATCTTGTAATGAATTCACTTTTAAGTGCATGCTTTATGAGTTCCATGTTATGGTGACATTTTTTAGAACATGCATTAAATGGCAATATCGTATCCAACATAAGGAAGTGTTTTAACAGGTTATGTATTCAACAGGTTTAATTCAAAATCAAATACATATTGGAAGAACATTTAAATAGCAGACATGTTTTGGGGAGCAGCTAAAAGGATGGATTATTCATTTTGTAGAAGAGCATGATTGATCTGTTTCTAACATTAAAGAACCATCAAGAAAAAATGGAGTAAAACAATGAGAAACTTTCATAAGATTTAGAGAAGATTTATTTCGAATGACCAACAGCAGTTAAACTTTATATACGAGATAAAACATATTTAACATAATATATCTTCAACTCAGAGACACATCACATTGATTTAATGACACCATATAATACTAACGATAATGAAGTAATTGAGTTTCCGGGGACAATTACACCTCTTCTTCCAGGATTAGTTTGATTCAGCCTCGGATTGACCATTTTCGATTTCAATTAATATCTTATTACAGTTTAAGAATATGAAAATGTAAACTGACAATTTCTTTCAATAACTTTGACATAAGATACAGAACTTGAAAATGGTTAAGTTTGGACCCCTTCTACAATGTGTATTCTTCCTGATCATTCAAATGAAGTTGACTCAATCTCAAGAAGAGATCAGTAAAGAGAGTGTTGAAACAAAGTGTGTTTTTCTTCAACCTAATAAGGCACAAATAACATTATCAATATGTGGTATAGGTAAAAGTATGTATGTCAGGCAGGCATTTTACGGACAATATAAGACAAGCGAAGGTGACTTTGAGACTGAGTGTCATTTTAATGAGGAAGATCACTGTAGAACTGACATACCTGAAAACCTGTATAACTATGAAGACCAGAGCTTCGACCTTCCCAGAGCCACTGAAATAAATATAACAGGTGGTTGTACAGGGAGAAAGTACATGTATATGGAGTATATGTGTATACCAGGTAAGTCATATACTGTCTGCCTCTTAGAAAATAGTCTACCTTACATATAATATGAGGTTATATAATGGTTGATTCTGTATATCATGTTTATACTCAAGTGAGTATATGATATATTCACAAGTGACTGAAGGGAATATTATATAATCATATAAAGCACTTAGGATGGGATAATATATTTGTATACATATGATTCTCAAGATACCATTCTTTATTAAGAATGATACAGATTTGGCTATATGAAGGAAAAGAGATATGGCATCAATGTATAAGCAGGGTTCTCACTGGGCTTTTAGACTCCAGAGATTCTCCACAGTCTAATGTCTTTAGACCCTTTTGCTCCAGAGTCTAAAAGCTTTTCAGGAGTCTAAAGTGTATTTTCCTGATAATCTTACATTTTTGTCACATTATTTGTGGTGAAACTCTTGAGAAACATAGAATACATAAAACTGGAAACAAACAAGGAAAAGGAAGTCAGAAACCTTTTAGAAATGTATATTGTGATTAAAACTTGAAGATAATCTTAAGTAGTATTTTGAAAAGTACACTTACAGGATATCTCTGATCTCACATGGGGGAGGAGTAGTCATAATTCAGCGAAAAATTTTGGGCCTAACAATTTCGTCGTGAGAACCCTGATAAGTTTAAGATTTACAATGTCATGATATAGAAAATACTTGAGTATATATTAAAACTATTAATTTATAATATTTTTACTTTATAGTTGAAAACAGACATTCTATATGTGATGAAATTGATGAAAAGTCACTACAAGCTATATATCTGAAGAACAATGCTTTCCCCAATTTTGACACACCAATCAAGGGGGTTTGCAGCTGTATAATTGAAGCACCACCCACAAACACAATACATATCTACAGTTTAACAGCTGAAGAAGTAAAAAGAACAAATAACTTTGCTATAGCTGAAAATGGAATGACTAAATACTCTGCATGGATATCCAATATGTCAAAACTTGTGGAATTCCAGAATGGGACATTATTATATGAGAGTGAGGAACCAATAGTTTTCATCACTTTGGAGCATAAAGAGCAATCTTCACAATACAAGTACTACATAACAGCACAAGGTACAAATAATATAATATATATATATGCTAGGGCTAATTGCAGCATAATTGCCTTAATCGGGTGGGAATTAATTTTCTTGTATTTCATCTTGTTTTGACTTAAAATCAGTACATTTTGCAGCAAAACAAGATGATCAGCAGCTCAAACTAACTTGTGGTAATGCTGGTGAAGTGTGGAAAAAGTATGAAAACAAGATCAACCCAACAACTACAACAAAAACTACTACTACGACTACACCAACAACTATAACCACAAATAAACCAACCACTATCAACCCAAAAAGCACGACAATCACCAAACATGTTACAACCAAATTGAGTACAGAACAACCCTTAACAACTAACAGATCCACACAAAAACCTATAATTGCAAACAATAGAACAAACATAACACCTAGTGACAAGACAATGGTCCACATAAACAACACAACAGAAGACTATGGTAATGACATCATGCAACAAGCTGAAAGTACTGAAACAATGATCAGGAAAACAGATGAGGAGGAAATAGCAGATGCTAACATTGGTAGGTATTCCATTCTCCAAACTCTTATGAACCCCTATATACCTCACCTCTGAAGATGAATTAGAAGAAGGGAAGTGGTTATATGGACTAGCAATATATATTTGTAGGACAATAGCACATATTGTTTAGTGGTTCAAACATGTTAAATGATCTTGTACATGTATATTACCTTTAACAATAGATAACAAAAGTTTTTAGTAGAATGTATACCCTAGGGTACAAGTAAGACACATAGACATAGTTGTTTAATCATGCTATTATGATAATAAAATGCAGGTCCTTTAAAGATTAGTAGATTACTATTGTTCTATTCCAGGTTTGATTGCTGGAAGTATCACAGGAGCATTCTTGTTTCTTTTACTAATAGTGCTGGTAGCTGTTGCTATGGTGAAATGCAGGTACATGTTGCTATGGTGACATTCTTATCAATATATATATATAAACTTATTTTTAATAATTTTTTCTAAGCCCTTGACAAACTTATTTATATTATATAGTGATGTTATATCCAATCTTGACCAATCAGAATCTAGTATTTAAATTGAGGTTCTAACAAAATAAATTGTCACCTCTATTGTAATTTGAGACTTTACTATTGATAGAGACTGCAGACCATTTTCCTTTGAGCTATCATAAAAACAAATTACTTCTGTCGTTCATTCCAGGCAAAAAGCAAATACTGACACTAAAGCTACAACTGAGATGTATGAATCTGTTGACCCCTCAGCAGTTGTCAAAGACACAACACCACATGTGTATAGTCAGCTAGATATCCCCTATGTAGAGCCACAACCAAGCTATGTTAATACAACTTTTGCATCAGCTGAGCCAGTGTCCAGTGTTGAATATGAAGTTGTTAATACTAAAGCAGAAATTGATGATATACAGGGCAGAAGTGTTGTTCATGAAGAAGTAAACTATGAAGTAGTATCTGTTGGGAATGTAAAGAATAAGATTGACTATGAAAATGTGGCTAATGGAAAAGTCAAAAGTGAAGGTAAAGATAACTATGAAAATGTAATCAATGGCAAAAACCATGGACATCAAAGCTCATATGAAAATGTATGATGTATTGATGCTTTTATACAAATACAGAATGAAGCATGTTGTGCATTGCAAACATTGTACTTTCATAAAAATTGAAGTTGATCATAATATGTCAAATCTGCAATCATTTTCTTTGCAATTTGCTAACAATATTTTTTCATTAGCAATATGTATTCGCAGCACTAAAAGGCCTTGCTAATTGCTATTTTATGCTACAGTTCCTTTATATTACCTATTAAAGGGCAATAACACAAGAGAAATAGTTTTCTAAAAAGATAAAAGAAAAGTATTTTATTGTCCCATTTATTGATGTAACATACTAAATTGCAAATGATGCTTTGAGAGGTCTCACATAACAGACATTGACATCCATGTCAGACATTGACATCCATGTCAGGAACATGTATGTATGTATACCAACTGTGTTGATTTGATATTACATCATTCAGAATATGTAACATTCTCACGGGGGATAAGCAAAACGAGGGCGAAGCCACGGACTGCGACTCGCGTAATTCAAAACGAGGTTACAACGCATTATAGCTGAACAATGGCGGTAAGTCCAAACTTAATTTGGAAGGCATGTTAGGATTTGGGGTAGATTATTGGTTTGGATATTCTACAGAATAGCTAGTATGTTCCAGTCGGTGATCAACATATTCATACTCCACCTGCAATGGCATTCTTGGTGCTCGGCTGTCCAATAGTTTAGCATGAACACAAATGAATTCGACATCTGCCACAAAAAATGCAATTTTGTCAATATTTGTCCCTAATATACCGATTTAAACAAAGGAATCAGAAATGACATCGAATTAATATAATTATTCATGTTCTGTTGTTATAATTACATCTTCGTGTGATATTTGGTAAGCGGAAAACGTACAATTACATAGAAAATTGGAATTTATAATAGTCGCAGTCCATCCATCTGCCCAACGCAGTCCGCGACTCAAGTGTTGCTTTATATCTGAAGCTGAACGCAATCACAGCCAAATGTAGATAGCACAATGTGTGTACAGGTGTGGCCGAAATGGAGCAACTTTGGACAAAATTGAATATAAAGGGCTATTTTAATAGACCTACATCGTGTCTCAATCCATTCTGCAAATATATACAAGCTGTCAAATACAGCTGAAATCATGAATTTGTGGTAGCTAGCAATATTGATGGACTGTTGGAAAGATCATCCAAAATTACATTAACTCACCAACTCTCCAATTATTTGATATTTTCCTGATATCTTCCTGAAACAATAATAGCGTAGGAATATAGTTTACACTATCTTATTTATTTCGTGTTCGCGGCTGGACTGCGTTGCTTAGAATATCAATGGAGGCTGTGTTGCGTTGTTGAAATAGCTTTGTTTACTGGACTGCGTCCACTATGAATGAGCAGTTTGAATCTAATTTTCTCCTTATGGACACATTCTATTATCAAATCATTTTCACGAATTATACTCGGAGCCTCAACTAACCTTTAGGTATCAGAAACGTGTTAAAACTCCTTTCAAATGTATAGTAAATTAAATAATATGCACATATTTTACAGGTAAAATCAGAACTTTGCTACTGTTTTAGCTTGATCTGGACAACTGCTAGCCTTGCCCAAGTCGGTCTCTTTTACTATCTTGATTTCTATTATGACCGCCTTGTACCAAAGAGAAAGCCACGTGTTTACCGACTCAATGTTTATGTTGGTAAAATTTGACCAATCAACGACGGCCCTGCAGCGTCAGCTCATTATTATGCACGGTCAAAAACAAGTACACTTTTTACTTTTCGCCGGGACTTTTCACGAACAAACTTGCATGAATTCATCATGAAAATACAAATATTTTATCACATAAATATCAATCAGAGTTTAGTGGATGTCGGAGCATCGATCGGTAACCGGAGGTGAGAAGATTTCAACAATAAACGTTGAAACGATCGCTGAATTCAAATGAACATGTAGGCTGAGATTCAATCACTGATCGACTACATGACCCGCTACATTGGACTCGGTCTTGCATTTTCATCGTGAAATCAGTTTTAAATCTATTGCATGATTTAATTTATATTAATGACTCTTACATTCCCTATGTACATTTAATTACATAATATATTGTAAATCTAAAGAAACGATCGAACAGATCATCGGCATTGAATTTCAAATCGGGAAGATTGCTTTGCTTATGCAGGTCAACCTGATAACGTTTTTGATTGGTCAATCAGCCTGAAGTCACACGTCGTGTCCAGACTGTCCACGCGTATATCTGTTAATCAATAAGGTTTCGCGATACCCCTGATAGCGTAGTAGTTGAAAGCCCATGGTATTATGGAAATCTCGAAACCGTTGAATAACTCTGCATAATATCAGCGCAGGTGTATTGGATTGTACAAGGCGGTAATAATTCAAGATCAGATAAGTAAAAAAATACCGACTTGGGCAAGGCTAGACAACTGCTTATTTTCTTATCTACAGACCAACAGTAGATACAGAGTAATATTTGGGTCACCGATTAGACACTACGATAGCATTTAAAATACCTGGATTTCTCTATTTTGTCGGAAGAAGCAGAAGGCACTGCCGGATGTCCCTCAATTTTGGCGCTGGGCTGCGGTGTAAAGTTACGCGAGTCGCAGTCCGTGGCTTCGCCCTCGTTTTGCTTATCCCCCGTGATTCTGAGGAAGTCAATAAAAATGCAAGTATCCTATAAGCCACCTTTACATGAAAAATAATTAACTCACCCGATGACATTAAAATATGTGATACTGGCCAGAGAAGGTGTACAGGTGCTTTGAAAATCGCAGCATTTAGTTTTCTACCAACTTAGATGTTCTCATCAAAGCTATAAAGAGGATTTCATAGATCTAGATCTGAATGTCATATTTGTGTCCTTATACTCATAAAAACAATCAATCATATAGAATCGCTTGAATATAGTATCCAGTATTAGTATGTCATCTTGACATGCTATATGCACAATAGGCTTAATTTAATAAAACACAAAACAGAATACATTTTGTATAAACATGTCAGTCTAACAATAAAACATAAAACATTATTACCCCATGAACTGATCTTGTACTTTGAAGTGGAAAGATCATTCATCAATCCTTACTTTTTGAGAATGAATCACGATTCAAAGACCCATCGCAACAACAACACCCCTTTATCTTGATCTTTCCAAAGGACAGATAAGAGGGGGCCTGTAAACCAACCAGATTCTCTAATGATAATTCTTATTCATACTTTATCACGATCTAAAATGGTTGGATGGTTCCTATTTATAAAATCTAAATAAAAAAGTGAACCACAAACACTCAATGTTATCGTACATTATGAATAGATTTTATTAAATAGGATTTTCTTGTCAACTTCATCTTCGGTCATCAGTCATCAATCCATTGAATCCAAGTGGTGTAGTTTTGTGACACTTTTAATCAGGTACAGAGTGACAGAGCATCAACACATTTTTAGGATCAAGTGAAAATATTTACATGTTACTCAGTTATCGAGTGTAGGATTAATCTGATATCATACACATAAAAGAACCACGAGGATTCTTCTGAATAAAAAAATTCAAAATATTTCACTAATCATGGCAGTGATAAAACTTATTATACAGCAATGTATATTTCTGCAGGTATTTATCTTAGTTGCTGATTCTATCGAAAGCATAAATATGACGAAATGCATCTTCATTACCAAAAATAAACAGAATGTTAAACTTTCATGTGGACTTAAAGAAAGCCTATACATCAAAGAGGCATTCTATGGACAGTTCAATACGAACAGTGGAAATGATGGTGAATGTGATAATGATGATTCCCATTGTAAACAGCGTATTGCAGAGAACCTGTATGATTATGCCAACCTGAGGTTTCCAATGCCTAAAGATGTAGCTATAAGTGGTACCTGCACAGGAAGAAAATATATGTTTGTAGAATATCAATGTATAAGTAGTAAGTACAAGCTAAGTTTTTTATTCAAAGAATTTGATATTCATTATACGGGTTCATTTACATCCAAGGCAAACCCATTCAGAAGAGATGAATCAGAGAGTATAAAAACAGATTCTAACAAATATGTTTTGATGGTATAAAAGGATAAACAAAAGTGATTCATGAATCTGCACTGTTCTTTATTTTGTGTCAACCAAGATTCACTTTAAGTTAATTATATTCTATAATAAAATGATAAGTGATATCTGAATATCAATAGTAAACCTTTCATATAACTTGTACTTACTTCAGACATATATTTCTATAATATCAAAATAAGATTGCAAGTACAAGTCTCCCAATAATACTTTGACAATATTCATACATGTAAATGATACTATATTATCCCGTTCCCGGACTATAGTCCTGCACTGATCGCATTCATTTGCCTGTACGATTACAACTTGGGAGAATTATCTACGCCCCTTACACTTAAGATACCTACCTCAATGCATTATAGAACTCAAGATGTAACTTCTAATATATTGGAACCGCTGATTGTCTGGATATATCGGCAGAACGAGAACATTTTCTCTTTTTCATCGAGAGAGATTCCATCACTTTTCAAAATGGCGGTTGGATTTAAACGGGGGAATCCCCCGTTTGGCTGTCCCGGATGTAGCCCGGAAGTACCAATATGGAGGATTTGACGGTTGAAAAAGGTTAAATGTTACACGCAAATATTGCGATCAAAAACGAAAATGTCTTCGTTCTGCCGATAAACCCAGACAATTGTGGATTCAACTACACGAAAAGAATGCTAAAGTACCAAGGAATCTATTGAGGTAGGTATCTGAAGTGTAAGATCAGTAAAAAATTCTCCCATGTTGTAATCGCACAGGCAAAAGATTGAGATGTTCACAGGACCATAGTCCGGGAACGGGATAAATACTATAAGTTAAAAGTGAGTTTGTATAATCTCTCTATTAGGTATAAATAATGTTCTATAGTGATTTTGCAGATCAAAACAGTCATTCCCTTTGTGATGAAATTGATGACAAAGCACTACAAGTCATTTATCTGAAGAACAATAATTTCCCCAATTTTGACACAGCAATCAAGGGGTCTTGCAGCTGTATAATCGAAGCACCACCCACAAACACAATACAAATCTACAGTTTAACAGCTGAGGAAGATAAAAGAACAAACAATTTTTCTATAACTGAAAATGGAATGACCCGTTATTCTGAAATGATAGCAGATATGCCAAAACTTGAGAAATTACAGAATGGGACATTATTATATGAGAGTTCAGGATCTATAGTTCTTATAACAATGAAGCAAAGAAAGAGATCTAGGCGATATAAATATTATTTCACTGCTAAAGGTAAATTTTACAAATCATTTGCACCTTTTCTAAGTCATTAGTCTTTACATAAATTAAATCAAACCAAATCAACAGAAGATAATACTTTCAGTTGCTTAGTTATTTCTCAAACAAAAAATCCGCTGGCCTTGATCAATGTAAAGACTTCAGAGATTGGATGGTTTCCTCCCTAGACAAAATCCTAACTTCTGAAACATTCCCTTTCAGCAAATAATGATACTTCATTGCTTAGACTGACATGTGGGAATACAGCTGAAGTTTGGAAAAAATATGAATCTATATTCACCATTAAACAGTCATCAACAAGTGTGTTGTCATCAACATCTATTGTGATGTCTTCAACAACCAGCTGGATGTCATTAACAGCTAGCATGATGTCAACGAGCAAAGAATCTGGTATCCTAGTACAAAGCACTGATCAACTAGACTTAGGTATAGAGATCCTTACAATGGCCACTGTAACTAAAAGACACAGATAATGATTAATGAACTACCTTAACCTTTTATAGTATGGGAGCAAAGGTCATTCCGTGTCCTTTTTAGAGGCGAGCTAAGCGACATATATTTTCATGAACTATACGTGATACTTACCAAGAAAAATGATGTTGGCAATTCTGAATCTGCGACGGCGTTGCTATGGTAACCAAGTAAATATGCCACGCCCACTTTTAGGGGCTCTTTTTAGTGTATGGCCCCTATCTCTGTTATTTTTGTTCAGATTTAGATGAAATTCACACCAAATGGAAGCTAATGGATAATGCAATCAGGAAATATTAAGTTGGCAATTCTGGATCCAATATGGCGTTGCTATGGTAACAAAGTAAATATGCCACACCCACTTTTCGGAGCTATTTTCAGTGTTAGGCCCATAACTTAGTCATTATTGCTCAGATTAAGATGAAATTTGCACCAAATGAAAGGTAATAGATAGAGCAATGAGACAGTTTTTAATATATGCAAATATGGTGATTTGCATATCAATTATGACGTCATAACTATTTGTTCTTGCATATTTTATTTTAATCATAATGTATAGATCTGGTAAATTATTGTCTTTAAAATGGTCCGTATAATGTTTTTAACTAGTCTTGTTTATTTCTTTTAGTTGAGTTTATTAGTTTATTCCATTCACACATGTATGATCATAATAGTTGAATAAATATAATGGAAGTGTCCAATTCACACTGTTGCTTTGGTGACAGCATGCAACAAAACCATCTGCTGTAAACAAGAATTCTTTAGGAAATGTTACATTTTGACCAGTTGACTGACATGTATTCTTTTTAAAATTTTATGACAGAAAATAATCTAATAACCCTAGTACAAAGCACTGATCAACTAGACTTAGGTATAGAGATCCTTACAATGGCCACTGTAACTAAAAGACACAGATAATGATTAATGAACTACCTTAACCTTTTATAGTATGGGAGCAAAGGTCATTCCGTGTCCTTTTTAGAGGCGAGCTAAGCGACATATATTTTCATGAACTATACGTGATACTTACCAAGAAAAATGATGTTGGCAATTCTGAATCTGCGACGGCGTTGCTATGGTAACCAAGTAAATATGCCACGCCCACTTTTAGGGGCTCTTTTTAGTGTATGGCCCCTATCTCTGTTATTTTTGTTCAGATTTAGATGAAATTCACACCAAATGGAAGCTAATGGATAATGCAATCAGGAAATATTAAGTTGGCAATTCTGGATCCAATATGGCGTTGCTATGGTAACAAAGTAAATATGCCACACCCACTTTTCGGAGCTATTTTCAGTGTTAGGCCCATAACTTAGTCATTATTGCTCAGATTAAGATGAAATTTGCACCAAATGAAAGGTAATAGATAGAGCAATGAGACAGTTTTTAATATATGCAAATATGGTGATTTGCATATCAATTATGACGTCATAACTATTTGTTCTTGCATATTTTATTTTAATCATAATGTATAGATCTGGTAAATTATTGTCTTTAAAATGGTCCGTATAATGTTTTTAACTAGTCTTGTTTATTTCTTTTAGTTGAGTTTATTAGTTTATTCCATTCACACATGTATGATCATAATAGTTGAATAAATATAATGGAAGTGTCCAATTCACACTGTTGCTTTGGTGACAGCATGCAACAAAACCATCTGCTGTAAACAAGAATTCTTTAGGAAATGTTACATTTTGACCAGTTGACTGACATGTATTCTTTTTAAAATTTTATGACAGAAAATAATCTAACAACCCTAGTACAAAGCACTGATCAACTAGACTTAGGTATAGAGATCCTTACAATGGCCACTGTAACTAAAAGACACAGATAATGATTAATGAACTACCTTAACCTTTTATAGTATGGGAGCAAAGGTCATTCCGTGTCCTTTTTAGAGGCGAGCTAAGCGACATATATTTTCATGAACTATACGTGATACTTACCAAGAAAAATGATGTTGGCAATTCTGAATCTGCGACGGCGTTGCTATGGTAACCAAGTAAATATGCCACGCCCACTTTTAGGGGCTCTTTTTAGTGTATGGCCCCTATCTCTGTTATTTTTGTTCAGATTTAGATGAAATTCACACCAAATGGAAGCTAATGGATAATGCAATCAGGAAATATTAAGTTGGCAATTCTGGATCCAATATGGCGTTGCTATGGTAACAAAGTAAATATGCCACACCCACTTTTCGGAGCTATTTTCAGTGTTAGGCCCATAACTTAGTCATTATTGCTCAGATTAAGATGAAATTTGCACCAAATGAAAGGTAATAGATAGAGCAATGAGACAGTTTTTAATATATGCAAATATGGTGATTTGCATATCAATTATGACGTCATAACTATTTGTTCTTGCATATTTTATTTTAATCATAATGTATAGATCTGGTAAATTATTGTCTTTAAAATGGTCCGTATAATGTTTTTAACTAGTCTTGTTTATTTCTTTTAGTTGAGTTTATTAGTTTATTCCATTCACACATGTATGATCATAATAGTTGAATAAATATAATGGAAGTGTCCAATTCACACTGTTGCTTTGGTGACAGCATGCAACAAAACCATCTGCTGTAAACAAGAATTCTTTAGGAAATGTTACATTTTGACCAGTTGACTGACATGTATTCTTTTTAAAATTTTATGACAGAAAATAATCTAATAACCATAGTTATTAAATTTGGATTGTGTTATATTATGATGTCATAATGGCAATTTTTAATTAGGGGCGCAGCCAGCTTTCAGTCAAAAGGGGCCTGCGATCGTGGCACAGGCAACCAAAAAGTATTTATAAGATAGGTTTTGAATTTTACAAAAATTGATCCAACTTCCTTCAAAATTTAGCAAAAAGCTTCAAGTCAAAGCTTTCTTTTATCTAATGGTTCTATTTTTATCGGATATGAGGGGGTAGGTGAACCAAGCGCACCCCCCCCCCCCCACTAAGCACTGCCTATGTTAATCCAACTTGATGTTGCTATGGTAACCATTAGGTGAATATGCTAGGTGAATTAGACAATACATGAATAATGTAGATTGGCTGACTGACATACTAAGTACCTGTCATGGTATCATAGCCGATTTTTGTGATTATTTTCTTGAAATAAGGTAAAATTGCTCAAAATGAAACTAAATCGCAGGCAAAAAATACCTGGAGTACAGTACCTGTTATGGTATCATAGCTGCTTTTTGTGATTATCTCTTGAAATAAGGTAAAATTGCTCAAAATGATTCCAAATTGGAACCTTGTCCTTTGACACTCACCATAAAATGAGGTCAAAGCTGAAAACTATGATTGTTTCCATTTCTTTACAAGTATGGAGTATGGAAGCCCCTGATTTAAGATATGCTTTTGGTTTTGAAATCCGACATCCAACCATTCGGTTCAAAATTGGTACAGTTATGTTTACATGAACAAAAAAGATGAAATAGGCTAAAGTATTCACCTTTACTATAAAATGATATTATTTTCTATGTAAATTGATGTTGAACATATTTTTCGGATTTCAAAACCATTAGCAGCTATTAATGCCACGATGGGTATGCCAGTCAGTCAATATACATAATCCATGCATTGTCTGATTCTTTAGCTTCAATTTGGTGAATATTTCATACACACTCAAGCTGTAATCATGACAAAGATAGAAGCGAAACTTTGAAAAAGCCCTGAACAGTGGGGATGGCATATTCACCTAGTTACCATAGCAACATCATATTGGATTAACATAGGCATTGCCAGGGGGTGCGCCCCCATAAACAAAGAAAATAGAACCATTAAATAGAAGAAGAGCTTTAAAATCATTTTGACCTGAAGCTTCTAGCTCAGTTTTGAAGGAAGGTGCATCAATTTTTGTAAAATTCAAAACAAATCTTAAAATTTTTTTTTGGTCGCTTATGCCACAATCGCAATCCCCCTCTCCTGAGTGAATGCTGGCTGCACCCCTGATTAATAATTGCCATTATGACATCATGACATAACACAATCCAAATTAAATAATTTTCTATAGTTATAAGATTATTTTCTGTCATCATATTTTAAAAAGAATACATGTGTCAGTCAGCTAATCAAAATGTAAAATTTCCCAAAGAATTCTTTTTACATCAGATAGTTTTGCAACGTGCTGTAACCATAGCAACAGCATAAATTGGACACTTTCATTACATTTTTGATTCATTCAGTTTTTATGACCATGCAAGTATGAATGGAATAAAATTATAAACTCAACTTAAGGAAATAAACTAATCAATTAGTTAAAAGCATTACTGACTATTTTAAAGACAATAATTTCACAGATAGATACATCATGATTAAGATAAAATATGCAAGAACAAAAATTTATGACGTCATAATCAATTTTCAAATCATCCTATTTGCATAGTTTACTAACTGTCTGATTGCTCTAGCTATAACCTTTGATTTGGTGCAAATTTCATCTTAATCTGAGCAATAATGAAGAAGATAAGGGCCAAACACTGAAAAGAGCCCCTTAAAGTGGGTGAGACATATCTACTTTGTTACCATAGCAACGCCATCGTTGATTCAGAATTGTCAACTTAATATATCCTGATTGCATTATCTATTACTTTCAATTTGGTCTGAATTTCATCAAAATCTGAGCAATAATGGTGGAGATGGGGGCAAAACACTGAAAAGAGCCCCTAAAAACGGGCTAGCATATTTACTTGGTTACCATAGCAACAGCATCGCAGATTCAGAATTGCCCATAATATTTCTTGATCATACTTTATACGTGTAAAGAAATAGAATGTAAATCAATCGTTGTTTTCAGCTTTGATGGTGAATGTCAAAGGATAAGATACCAATTTGGAATCATCTTGAGCAATTTTACCTTATTTCAAGAAAATAATCACGAAAACAGCTATGGTAGTCATACCATAACAGGTATATCAGCTTGTGAATCTACATTCCCCATGCATCGTCTGATTCTTTAGTTTCCCCAGTCAATTTGATGAAAATTTCATGTACACCAGAGCTATCATCATGACAACTGATAGAATCAAGACTTTGGAAAAGACCTGAAAAGTGGGGATGGCATATTCACCTGAATACAACAGCTAACATAGGCATAGCCAGGTGGTGTGATTGGGGAAACCCCCCCCCCCCCCCCTATTTACCAAATAAAAATAGAACCATTACAGCAGGAGATCCAAGACGTCATTTCTATTGTTCTTTTGGCAGAAGAGCTTTAAAAATGCTTTTGACTTGAAGCTTCTAGCTCAATTTTGAAGGAATTTTTGTAAAATTCAAGTCAAATTAAACTTTTTTTGAGTTGCTTATGCCGATATCGCACGCCCTCCCCCCTGATTGATAGCTGGTTGCGCCCCTGATTAATAATTGCCATTATGACATCATAATATAACACAATCCAAATTAGATAATTTTCTATCATTATTAGGTTATTTTCTGCCAGCCATCAAATTTTAAAAGGAATACATGTCAGTCAAATAGTCAAAATGTAACATTTACCAAAGAATTGTTTTCACAGCAGATACATACATACTGTTACCATAGCAACAGCTTGAATTGGATATTTTCATTACATTTTTTCAATTTTTATGACCATACATGTATGAATGAAATAAACTAATAAACTCATCGAAAAGAAATGAACTAATTAACTACTTAAAAGCATTACTGACCATTTAAAAGACAATAATTTCCCAGATTTATACATCATGATTAAAATAAAATATGCAAGAACAAACGGTTATGACGTCATAATTAATATGCAAATCATCTTATTTGCATATTTTATAAACTGTTTGACTGTTCTTTCCATGACCTTTCATTTGGTACAAATGTTACCTAAATCTGAGCAATATTGACGAAGATAGGGACCAAACACTGAAAAGAGCCTCTAAAAGTGGGTGTGGGATATTTACTTTGTTACCATAGCAACGCCATATCGGATTCAGAATTGCCAACTTAATATTTCCTGATTGCATTATCCATTATCTTCCATTTGGTGTGAATTTCATCTAAATCTGAGCAATAATGACAGAGATAGGGGCCATACACTGCCAAGAGCCCCTAAAAGTGGGCGTGGCATATTTACTTGGTTACCATAGCAACGCCGTCGCGGATTCAGAATTGCCAACATCATTTTTCTTGATCAGTATCACTTCTAGTTCATGAAAACATATGTCGCTTAGCTCGCCTCTAAAAAGGACACGGAACCTCTTATTTGGACTTTTGCTCCCACACTATTACATGTGCAAACCTTAAAAGGAAAATTTGTTATCATCATATAATATAAAACCATGATTTTTAATTTTCTGATAGAATAGATTAAAAGTTCTGTTACAGTATTATTGTCCTCCTAGGTATGATTATTGGAAGTGGACTTGGTTCCTTACTGTTCATCCTCCTGGTTGGTATTGCCGTGGTATATATTTCAAAGCAAAGGTAAATAAACTTTAAATGATTAAATAATCTTTATAACATAACATCATACATGTTTACATTTTATAAGTTTGGAATTTACAGCAAATTTAGAAACTGATACAAATACAACTAATTAAACTATGAAATGAAAAACACATCTTTTAGGTACTTTATATTTTGCACAATTAATGAAGAAAATGTCTTCAATAACTTCGAACATAATAATGTCTAACAATTTCTCAAAAAATCATATTTCCAAATCATGAAAATAAGTAAGACAATTTTAAATCTAAATTTTAAACTACTTGTAAATGCAAAACAACATGTAATATGTGTAAAACCCATAAATGCATGCAAGGTACTTTCTTTCCAGAGGTAAAGCAGATAGTGAGCAGGAAGTTATTACAGAGTCATATGAAACTCTTGACCTCTCTGATGTTAACCAATATCAAGATATGATCCCACACGTATACAGTGAGCTGAATCCAATGACCCTTCTGGACCCACAACCAACCTATGAAAACACAATAGCGCAAGATTCAGAGCCTGCTAATGAATATGAAGTTATCAATTTTAATACTGAAACTGATACTGCACATGACAGAAATGATGGAATTGTTTGTGTTGGTCAAGAAGAAGTGAACTATGAAATAGTATCTGGTGGTGCCAAAATGTTGAATAAGGATATAAAGCAGTGATTTCCCAGGGCGCAAAGTAGTAATTTCACATATTTTGGTCAAAATATCTCGACATTTCATACATTTGGAAGGTTTTTGATAGAGTGGAATATAATTTTCAACAGATAGCTAAATTTCCCGCCATTTTTCAAAAACATATTAATCTTTTAACACCACTGTGAAGATTAAACAAAGGACGTTCTGTTTCAATAGTAAAGTGTCATACCTTATGTGCCATTTAAATGCGTTTTAGCGTGTGCAAAAATTCAAACTTTTATATGTCAATTTTTTCCAAATATGCTTAATGTACAACATAAACCAATGTTGATTGTCTAACTAGGTTGAAAGAATAATATATTGTGTTTTAAATATTATTGTACCATTGGTATCATATAAAATTTTAAAATGCATTTTTCTCTGGACCACTTTCATGCATACATGAGATTGTTTCTCATTTTTTTAACAACCAATTTTCTGAATTTTTTCTTCAAAAGACATGTTGGAATAAATGCTATGCATTGGTATGAATTATCACTTTTTAAAAGATACATGTAAGCTCTAAAATTTCGAACAAAAAGTCCTTAAGAACCATTTTTTAAAACTCCCAAAAAATTCACATTTCAAATTTGGATAACATTGGATAAGGAATACAATATAAGTCTAAAAGTGGTTTAAACTTTGTGTGAGGCCTTTAAAACAGTATTATAATGCATCACTTTTCACAATAAAAATATTACCATAGAAAAGAGACCTTTACATATCTTGTTGACTCGTAATTCCCTTTTTGCAATTTGCCTACAATATCTTTTCAGTAGACAAGTTTGTAACAATAAAGCGGCATGTTTATCACTATTTTTATGCTATAGCAGTTCCTTTATATTAGCCACATGGGACAATAAACTATTTTTAAGAGAAAAGAAAAAGTATTTTACAATATTGGTAACTACATACTTGATTGGACTTAAAGGACTACATGATAGTATTTTATTTTGGAATGAAAATTTTGTTCATATGACACCAGAAATGGAAACTTTTGAAAAAAACAATATATCAGTACAAATGAACCAGTTTATGCGTTAATAGAAATTCTGCCTACATGTTGTCATGCCAAGTGTATACTCTCAATGTTTTGTACTTTTTTGCAGAGCAGGTTGAATAAAGTCATGGGTCAATAAATGGCTTTGCTATAATAAAATAATAATACAAAGTCTTTATAATATTTCAACTGAAAATAATTTTAAGTCACGATGCACACAAGTATTAAAATACCTGAACTGTCATTTGTCTTAAAAACCATCAACTTTACATGATGTGAATTGTGACATTTTATGTTTACACCGTGTGAATGAAAAGATGATAACTTTCTCATAAACTCTAAATAAATACCACAACAACCAGGAAGTTTTAACCATAGAGTCATATTGATCCTAAAAGGTAACCAATGATATTTTAGAACCGTTTTTGGAACAAACAAAAGGATAATATGTTTTAAGGTATCTAGGCCAAAAAAACGATATTTGCATATCATTTCAGAATACAAGAGTCAGTTAAATATAGATTACTTATCCGACTGGGACTTGCCTATTGGAAAATGCTACATTATATGGAAACATAGCTCTCTTTAGTTATATTCAAATATGGGGAAACTAAGACTTGATCTCATTCTACAATATACAGTAATTATACTTCTGATGCATCTACTTTTGCTTCAAACACAATATCTCACAGCAGGCAGGGACGACACAACTGCTGAATCTGAAACAATCACATATGAGGATTATACTAACCCAGACACTGCAGATGACAACAATGAATTCACAACGATAGAAACCTTAATGGAATATGATAATATGACAACACAGATATATGATGATAATATAACAACACATGAATATGATGATATGACCACACAAGAATATGATGATAATTTGATTGTTACATATGATGATGATGTAACTATTCAACAAAATGATAACACTACAACAAATGAATCAATAAAAATGCAAACAACATATATTGATTATACTGGTAAGTTTCAAAGAATTTTTACTATTGGCCACTTGATGTATAATGCTGATTATGTTTCTCTTCATTCAATTGAGTGTCAAAATTATTTCTACCTACCAAACCTTTTGAAAAAAGGAAATATACCCAGAATTCAAAGATGAACTGATCCTCACACAAAAATGAATCCAAAAACTCATCTTTACTTGAAGATGGGTACATCTATGAATTCTGGGTAAACTGCACTTGAATACTATTCCCATCAGTATATAGACTTGCATCAAGCCCATACTCCCCAAGCCACTAATCTAAATATATTATATAGGTAACTAGGGTTACAGATAAGGTGAACCCTTGATACTAGACTATTATATATAAATAAAATATTATTAATTAAGATAAATCTGACAATTTTAATAGTTCACAGCGCAGTAGATTTTGTTAACATTAGTTTTTGTTTAGATTTTAAAGGGAAGCAGTTTTATAACTCAAACATGTTCAGTAAATATTTACAAGGTATCATCCAACTTAAGTTATTTCACTTTTACACGTTTCTGGTCTGTTGAAGCTAATATATTCACCATACAAACACCAAATAGTCTCAAAGTTTTCCTAAATAAAAATGTCAAAGTTGAAGATTATTTTTCACGAATCACAATTTGAGTGTAATCTTGTACATAGAGTTAAATTTTGACTTAATTCTGAATTACTAACCATAAAATATTTTTTCTTCTCACATTTTACCTGAACACTTAAACCCTTTGATTCGCCATATGAATTTACAGTCTCAGATCTACAATATTCTGATAAGATAAGCTAACAACAAAGACTTGTCTATAATTTTCAAAGAATGTGGACACAGTTACATCAGAGAAGAGCTTTTGCATATTGGCAATTTATTCACAAATCAATGATAAAAACTGAGATAATTTTATTTCAGGTGTAATAGCAGGTAGTGTGGTGGGTGCAGTTGTATGCCTGGGATTGATTGTGATAGGAGTGGTGTGTTTACTAAAACGCAGGTTGGTTTATATAACCTTAATCCTAGCAATACCTTATATTAAACCCCGTTCTAGCTCAAACATAAATGTAGGGAAATTAGGAGGGTTTAAAAAGAGATATAATGCAAAACTAAGCCGATCATTCAAAATGTTATTATACAGATAAAAGTATTTATCCCATACCTGGACGTGTTACAGGTACATAAAGCCGGTTTGTAAAAACTTATATTTTCATCAGCGGGCAGATATAGCTTTACGTCCCGCTCCGAGCGGGCAGATATAGTATATCTGCCCGCTACGTCATAATCGCCGTTCCCATATTGGTTCATTCTTTGTAACGTTCGCATACTGTAAACGACAATGGAGAAAAACGCAGACAATCGCGATCTGTTTGATGCAGTATGTCCTGTTCATAATCAAAGATTCGTACAAGAAAATCCGGCTACGGACTAGAATACAAAACTGGACATGAATATTCTAAAATAATTCCACGGTTGGTTGCAAAGTTTCTGAACTGTGGCCAATTGCAATTAAACGATGTGAACCAATTGACCAAGATTGGTATGGGATAAACAGATCATCCTATAGTCGGTTCAGGATATTTGGATTATCCCTTGGCCAATATAATATATCTACCCTCGGGACCTACGGCCCTTGGGCAGATATATTATATTGGCCTCGGGATAATCCCAATATCCCGAACCTCATATAGGATAATCTCTATATATGGCAGAGAAAATTCTGATGGCAATTATCTCATATAAAACTATATTTACAGTAAAACCTGTGTATATTGAACATGAAACGGCCGAGAAAAAACGTTCAGTGTTTGTAGGTGTTCACTACAGAGAGGATCTTTATAAATAAGTTGATAGAGTATGTGTAAAGGAATGGTGTCTACTAAAGACAGGTGTTCACTAGAGAGAGGTGTTCACTAAGACAGGTTTTACTGTATTATCATTTTGATGATTTCCATTACCATACTAGTTAATTGTAGATTTTGAATTGGTGGATCTTTTTGGTTCCATGGACCAAGGTTAACATCATGGTTATCAATGGCCATAAATGCTGATGAAATGTCTTGTAAAGTAACATTACAGAAAATTGAGTTGCTTTAATTGTGTTTTTGTTTTATTTCAAATCTTATACACGTATATGTTCATTGTAATGTTGATTATATGAATAATGGCCATTATGCATATAATTAACATATACATATCAACAAATACATCTTTTGTAGAAAAAAATCTACTGATGAAACTGATGATGGATATCAAACTGTTCACCATGAAATTGGCCACCCAGAAACTAACACTCATACTATTGAACCAGAGGCTGATCACATCACTGATGTTTATGAAATTCCTTTTGATGGAAAAGAAAGTAACGTTCCCCAAGCTACCCAATCAGGTGTATATGAACAAATTAACCCTATTGAAGAAGAACGTTCAAGACAAGAGGCCCTCATTAATGCAGATGTTAAAGATAAAGCTACTCCACCAGGAGCCGACCCAAATGAATATTTTCTCCTTGATGAAGTTGTTCCAGCAATACAGCGGATCAACATACATCCAGGTGATAATGCATCACCAAAAAAGGTTGACCCAGATTCTGCCTATGAACATATCCCAATAGGAGAGGTAGAACCAACAAGACACGAGAGTCATGTTTACCAAAATATTAAAACTGAAGCAGTGGAGCCTGACTATGTTAACTTTGGCAAAGGCAAAATGCATGGAAATAAAGACTAAAACAATAGTGCCATAGATAAATAATTTTTGATTATCGAAAAAACAAAACACACACACCCAGTGGTCTGAAAAAGGGACGGAGGGAGGGGATCAGGCAATTATTAATACAACATATATTTGAATGTGTTTGTGATATCATTTAAGTGATTGCTTTACTTGCTAAGGTTATTTGCAATGCATTATTAAGATCTCTGAACAGATGTTTTTAAAGTATCATTTCACAAAGTATTAAAATTGAATAATATAGATACTTACCAATTTAAATCTCCTTTGAGTATTTCTCTTCTTTTTGAGTGTTAATTTTAAAGATGTTCATGTATTATAGTCTGTTAATTATCAGTATCTTCTTTAGCAACAAAAGAATAAATAGTGATGTAGGGTTACAAGGTTGCCCTATATGTAGTTCTTTGTTGAAGTACTTAAGTGTGTTTATAATTGTCAGATAAAATATGAACTTTTTAAAAAAATAACCACAAAGCTTCCTTTGCTGGTATCACGTTATCTGTCCAGGAAGTAACTTCCAATCATTGAAACATACATGATCCAGTTGTTTATAGTTCATGTACTCAGATGTGACCACAAGACGTAAATCATAAACTTAAGGAAATTGATTGTTATCTTGATTCTAACTTATGCTCATTGTATCCTTAAAGTCAATTGGTACTTAAGGTTTGTGGTATGTACAGTTATTGAAGAACTTACAATGTGCTATAAAAACAAAATACAGAAGATAGTAAAAAAGAAGCAGAAAAGATAAAGTTTTGTTCAATACATCCAATTAGAAGCTACAAGAAACATTTGGGACTATTAAAGGTCTATGGGGGGGGGCATACCTGATCTACCTATTAAAGGTCCCTATGATTTTACAATCATTTTACCTTAGGGGGGGGGGCATACCTGATCTACCTATTAAAGGTCCCTATGATTGATAATTTATATTCGTTTGAGCGTAGCGATTTAAGAATATAAATACTTTCTTTAATGTGCAGTGAAGTGAAGTGAAGTGAAATAAGACACGAAAGTCGTGTTCGTTTAGAGCGACTGTTTTTGAGGAGTATTGATCTCTAGAGTGAGTAGTAGGTTTTCATTCTGGGCTTGGTCGCGCAACACTAAACAACTGCTCAAAATGGACGACGAAGAAAAGATCACTTTATCTGGCGTGAAACAACTTCTGTCAGAACAATTGGCGTCATTCAAACGTACCCTAATAGATGATGCACAAGACGGTAACAGTAAGGAGATGTTGCTCAAGAAACTAAAATCCGAAGAAAAGCACGACTTCAAAAAGAGAGGAAACCGAGAACAACACGCTTTCAACGAGAAGGTGCAAACGTGTATCAACGTGGCCGGAAATCTCCTTAAAAAGGCAGAAGAAAGCCCCGACCTGGATCAACAAGAAAAGTTCCTCAGAGAAACGCACGAAGCATTGGATAAAGGTACGGAGCTTTTGTTACATAGAAACAAAATTATAAAACTAGCAGATAGTTCTCATACAGGGTGGGGCGTAGTTGACGAATACGAGAAAGCCCCTATCGCTAGCGATAGTGACGATGATAAAAAGATGAAGAACGCTGAACGTAATGCTACCCGAAAATTTAACAACAACAGACGTGCACGTTTTTCTCGTAGAAATTTCCATTACAGGGGCTCATGGCGTGGGGCAAGCTACAATCCACAAGGAACGCCACATGATGGTTGGACGCCAAACGACTACAACACCAAATATTCACGCGGCGCATTCCGATGGCAACACAACGGTCCCAAATCCAGCGATTTCTGTTTTGGATGCGGCGAGCAAGGACACTGGCGAGATTCCTGCCCAAAGAAAGCAGCACCCAACGCTACACAGACCAGATAAGGCCAGGATGGACCAAACGGACGTAGGCAAAAAGTTAAGTAGCACAAGTTTTGAAAATATAGATACTAAACGCAACGTTAAAGGCAATTTAAAACGGCATAAAGATTTTTGGTCAGATATAGGTGCAAATTCAAACATCTTAGATTTGATTGAAAACGGTTACAAAATACCTTTCTTAGAAACTCCATCAGCTGAAAATTTAAGAAATAATAAATCAGCAATGAATAACAAAGATTTTGTAGAAAGCTCCATTTTAGAGTTGGTAGAATTAGGTTCTGTTAAAGAAGTAAAAGTTCCTCCTGCAGTGATAAATCCGCTGACAGTCGCGGAAAACACTTCTGGCAAGAAGCGTTTGGTTTTAGATTTGAGACATATTAATCGATTCATTTGGAAAGATAAGGTCAAATTCGAAGACTTGTCAATAGCTAAACAGTATATGAAAGTAGGGTCAAAAATGATCAACTACGACGTCACTTCCGGTTATCACCACGTTGACATATTTGAATCACACCAAACATATCTCGGATTTGCTTGGTTTTTCGAAGGTACAGTCAAATACTTTGTGTTCACAGTCATGCCATTTGGTATATGTACAGGTGGATTAGTATTCACAAAACTCATGAAGTGTCTAATAACTCATTGGAGGTCATTAGGAATAAAAGTATTAGCATTCATTGATGATGGGCTCTGTGTGTCAGATACTCAGACACAAGCAGAAAAATGTTCAATTCAAATCCAATCTGATTTAAAATCAGCTGGTTTTGTCATAAATCAAAAGAAATCAAAATTCATTCCAACAAGCTGTTTGATTTGGCTGGGTTTCGAAATAAATTTGGCACTAGGAATCATATCTGTACCAGAAACAAAAATTGTTGAACTGAAAACCATTATCTCGAATGTCTTGAAACATCACAAATTGGTAACATACCGAAACATTGCTGCAATAGTAGGGAAAATCATTTCAATGTCATCGGGACTAGGTCTCGTTACACAGCTCATGACTAGACATTTGAGTATCAGAATTACAGAAGTGATTGCACATTCTTGGGATTCTCCGTTTAGATTAACGGATTCAGAAAAACGTGAACTGGTGTTTTGGATGGTCAATGTAGACAAATACAATGGTGTCCCTTTAGTTCAACACATGGTTCCCCAAAATGTCATATATTCCGATGCTTCAGATAGTGCTGCCGCAGGGTATATAGTCGAGTTCAAAGGTCAACCTTGTCACAAACATTGGTCAAATGAAGAAAAGGGTCGTAGTTCCACTTGGAGAGAACTAAAAGCAGTAGAGATAGTGCTTGAATCGTACAGAAATGAGTTACAAAACAGTTCAGTGTTATGGCATACAGATAACAAAAATGTTACAAGCATTACTTCAAAGGGCAGTATGGTAGTCGAATTACAAAATTTGGCTTTATCCATTTTCAATCTGACACAAAAATTCCAAATTCAAATTAAGTTCAATTGGATACCAAGAAATATCAATCAACATGCAGATGAATTGAGCAAGATGATAGACCCAGACGACTGGGGAGTTTGTCCAAAAATATTTGATTTCTTAAACAAAAGATATGGCCCTCATTCTATTGATCGATTCGCAAGTGAAATCAACACGCATTTGAAAAGATATAACTCAAAATACGCACAACCTGGTTCAGCAGGAACAAATGCGTTCAATTTTGATTGGTCAACTGACAACAATTGGTTAGTTCCACCTATTCAAGAAGTGGGACGTGCAATAGAACATCTAGCCGTATGCAAAGCTATGGCAACATTGATAGTGCCACTTTGGAGATCAGCGTATTTTTGGCCTATGATTCATGACGGGAATGCTTTCAAAAGGTTTGTTATAGATCATGTAGAGTTTTGCAACGCAAAAAAGATTTATGTGCAAGGAAAGTTCAATAAAACAATTTTTGGTTCAGATAACCTGACATCACATGTGCTAGCTTTGAGATTAGATGGCAAAAAATATAGGCGTTAATGCAGACAAGTATCTAGAGCATAACAATATTATAAAACGCCGTTGCTGGCATTTATATTGAAAAAACCCTGGGGTTAAATAGTATGTGGTGCCACCGAAGGCAAATATTATGTGATGCCACCGAAGGCTAAAGTTATGTGAATATTGTTGAACATACCGCAATGAAAGATGTTTGATTCATTGTAAGCCACCGAAGGCTGATGTAGGTATGAAATCAGAAAATTGGTTTATGTGAATGGAGCCAAAACTGGGCTGGCATATGTGCAATACAAGTTATATTTTATTACCTTTGTTATATCATCATTTCAAGACAGATATGTAGACGTGTAAATAGGTGCATGAATATTAAAAAATGGCGATATTAATGATTAAAAACCGCTAAAACCAATTCTTTCAAAAGTAAAATATTTATCTTAGAGAAAATGTGCAAATACCATCTAATGTTGAGTAATAAATGTTAAAACTATTTCTTTTAAAAGTAAACATTATATCTTAAAGTAAATGTGCAAAACAACCAATGTCGAGTATAACTATGTTGTTGTAGCTCACGCATTTCTTATTTAAGAAAATTATCAAGATATATTATTTTTCAGACGCAACAGTAGATAGACCACAGCTGTAAAATATTGTTTAATTGTAGGCCAGGGAGCAGAGCGCCATTTATGTTTTTGAAATGTATTAATGAAAATATTAAAGCTAAAGGCTTATATTACGCTTTTGCAGGGTAATGGAACATGGGTTAAAGGCGTTTAGTGATATTAAAGATCCACAGCTTAAATCTTTATCAGTTGATTTGATGAACGAAATTACGACTCACAGCAAAGCAGACAACACAAACAAAAAATACAAGTTCTATCTACAAAAATGGATCGACTGGGCCGCCAAATTTGACGAAATAATGGACATGCCTGCTGATCCTCGATACGTAGCCATATTTCTTTTATCACACTTACAATCTGGATCGTCAATCGGTGTACTTAATTCCTTGAAGGCAAGCATAGCGTGGGCACATACTACAGCAGGACTCTCCGATCCATGCCAATCCTATTTAGTCAAAAACATTTTGGAAGCAGCTAAACGACGCATTAGTAAACCTGTTGTCAAAAAGGAACCCTTTACTCCAGAAATATTAGCCAAGTTGGTGGACACTTTGAAGGACGATTCATCTCTCAAGGATCTTAGGGACATAACATTATGTGTTCTCAGCTTCGCAGCTTTTCTACGATACAGCGAACTCTCTCAAATAAAATATGGTGACGTCCGCTTCGAAGAACAATATCTCACCATTAACATAGCGTCTTCAAAAACCGACGTCTACAGAGACGGGGCGTCCGTAGTCGTTGCAAAAACTGGAAACAAAACATGCCCATTCTCATTATTACAACGGTTCATGAATCTTCAGGATCCAAGCCAATCTTTTGCTCCATCAGAATTCGTTTTCAGAGGTCTTTCTGTAAAGAACGGCATGTCTGTAGCCAGAACATCAAACAAACAACTGTCTTATACCAGAGTCAGAGAAATTGTATTAAATCTAGTTAAATCCATTGGCTTGGATCCAAAGATGTTTGGTGTTCATTCCTTGCGTTCAGGCGGAGCCACCGCAGCCGCCAATAATTCCGTACTAGACAGGAATTTCAAAAGACATGGACGCTGGAAATCTGAATCCGCAAAAGACGGATATGTTAAAGATGACATTATTCATAGACTGGGCGTCTCAATGAATCTTGGTATTTAATTAAAACCTTATAAAAATTTGATGTAAACAAATAAAGCCTTTCATGTATTAATATAAACAAACTGTTATATTTTTAAAATCAACATTTTTACTACAAATTATATTGTGAGATTATATTTCAAAACACATTTGCCCGTTCTCTAGTGTTCTGTAGCGACCACAAGCCAAAGCTTGTCCTAAATTAGAAAAATTGGTTTTGTTAATGTAACGTAATATAACGTAACGTACAGTATAGAATTTACAATCATTTTACCTTGGGGGGGGCATACCTGATCTAATTCTAATCATAAAATGCATGAAGTGTTATGAGTCACCCATGTGATCTATATGTATTTATACCTCGGGTTTCTTTTTAAAGCCTTCAAACTTGATCACAATACCCAAAGCCCCAAAGTCTCCACCCTCCCCCCATGTCACAACTCCAATCTCCACAACTCCAATCACAACTCCCAATTACAAAATATCAAGGGATAGTAAAATTTTCACATCTAACCCTCAGTGCCCCTTTAAATGTAAAATTCTCTGTGAAAAGTATACAACATTTTATTCACTATATCAGTGTACAGTGAAACTTGAGAAGTGAAACGAACACCTCTAAAAGTGGAACACCTCTACTCGTGGAACACTTTTCAGAGTCCTAAGACCAATATTAAATGAACCTCTGTAAGTGGAACACCTCCCAAGCGGAACACATTTTAGAGGTACCAAAGGTGTTCGAAAAAAAAGATACTGTATTTGTTCTGTCCAGAATCCAAATATGCCTCTAGCAGTCAATTTACTTTATTGATTTGATAAATAATCCATCTTTGGTCCTAATGATAGGTCTTAAAATAATGTGATTTCTCTTACTCAAAATAGGGGAAATCTTGTACCATGTGGTTATTTTGTTCAAAGAGTATGAACAAGTCAATCACAATAATAAAAAAAACAAGGCACAGACGTGAACAATATCGTACCTAAAACACAGCATTGTGGTCTTGTTGACCAAGAAAGCAAGATGGACGCAGAAAAGTTAATCAGCTCTAGAACTTATCACTGTGTAACATATGTAAAAATTTGAATGGTTTGGCTGGAAACCTGTAGACAAGCCTCGATAGACAAGATTTTAGGACGGAAAATCCAAAATGGCCACCTTAAAATTTACCCAGAATGCCCAAAAACTAATCAGTTCTTGACGTTGATATGTAGAAACATCCCTGAAAATTTCAGATGAATCCCTCAAATGGTTTGGCTGGAAACCTGTAGACAAGTCTTGAAAGTGAAGATTTTAGGATGGCAAATCCAAAATCCAAAATGGCCACCTTAAGATTTACCCAGAATGCCCAAAAACTAATCAGTTCTTGACGTTGATATGTAGAAACATCCCTGAAAATTTCAGATGAATCCCTGAAATGATTTGGCTGGAAACCTGTAGACAAGCTGAAAAGTGAGACGCCGCCTGCCGCCCGCCCGCCCGCCTGCTGCCCGTCAAGCTGACTACAATATCGTACCTCTTGTTAGGTACGATAAAAAACATAACTGCCAATATATAGAATGAATAATATAAGAAGTTAGACTACAAAGCACAAATACATATACATAAGTACTATAATAGTACAAGTGTTCAAAAGCAAAGTATTAAGAAAACATTTAAGAGCATATTCAGTCATAAAGAAAAAAGATTCTCTCAAACAATGATCTCATCCAAAAAAAGTGTCTAAACTCTCCCTTCTCCCACCTTTCACAAACCTTTGCCAGTGACCAAAACTACAATGCGTTCTTGTAAGACATTCTCTATTTACATTGTTACAGTAGACTCAAATACCGTAATTTTTTGCAAAAACTGAAACTTCGTATTAAATGTTCTGATATCACTAAAGGAAATCCAACATTTAGACCTAAAGATGTTTTTACTTTGCTTTAAGGTGTTCATTTTAGAGAGGTGTTCAGTAACACATGTTTTATTTTTATGTTTCAATGCAATCAGAAAAGAAATTGGATTTAGAACACAAATCTGTTAACACATATCAACATTAATATTCATCATCATTACACAAGACAATTGCATTATTTTCATATCCCTAAATGCTCTAAACTTTCCCTTCGCTATCTGGGTCCTAATCTTTGGAATGCTCTACCACATGATATTAAAAAATGCTCCACTCTAAATATTTTCAAATCTTCATATAAAAAACTACTCATCTATCGATAATGTATAATACCAATATCATACTATACTGTTGATTTTATACTGGTACCCGATTTTTGTAACATTTTTACATTGTACATCCTTAGATTAATTGTTAATACCATTTTTATATACCTACATGTAACATAATATAAGTGTTTTCTTTTATATGTAGTCTAGTTGTCATTTTAATGATTTCTGTTAAACCGCAACATATACCCACTAGGGTGTCTAGCGGCTTGTTTTTTTTTATAGTGTATACATACATAGCTCTATGAGAATGATGGTTAACAGTAACATTGTACATGTTCAGTATGGCATGCTTAATCTATTCTATCATGTTATTGATTTCCTAGACAAGTGTAAGGTCAACTAATTTAATCACATAGATTTCCAGATCCAGATTTCCAATCTTTGAATCAAATACTTACATATTTATAACAGATGCTAACCTCAAAGAAGCAATAGCAGGAAAATTTAGGTACCCCTTGATATTTTTTTATATTATGAGGTATAACTCATGTTTATCTGTATCAGATATAGATTCTATAGATGGTGAAATATCATTTAGCAATGATTTAAGCGTTGAAATCTCAAAATTTGCCAACTGGTTTAAAAACTGGTGTCTATAGGTCTACTCAAATATTCAAACGGAATATTTCAGAAAAAATCCCTGAATAAAAAATCTTAAATCTAATTGATAATTTGATTGCTTCCTTTTAATGCATGCAGCTGGGATAACACCCACGCAGAAGAAAAACACTGTGAACATGTATTTCTCAGTGTACATTTTGGTACATCAAAATTTTGTTCCAATGGGTCACAGAACTGTAAAGTGTTCCTCTTATAGAGGTGTTCCATAGAACAGGTTTTACTGTTCATCCATCTGGATGATGGTAAATCACACAGAACTATCATATTAATTTTTTTTAATTTCTAGGATTTTCACTACATGCATACACTTTAATTAGTATTCATTGTTTAGAATAAGCTGATTGTCTGAAAGAAGCCTTACTATAATCAAATAAGTAATACTTATAAGATAAGTTTACAAATGGCAGAAACTATTTCCCCAATAATATTACCCTTTGCATTCGTTTGACTTCACTTCTTAAAAGAGAGCTTCGTCTTCACTCTTTCAAACTAAAATAAACATGTGAACTCACCGCGCCAATCAGTGTTCGTCGGCCAAATTTGACCGACGTTCTTTATATGGTCATTCCTTCTGACGTCATCGTTGAGCCCGGAATTGACCAATGACATGCGCATATTTAATTAGAACGCATTTGGCGTATGTTTCTTCATGCTCGCTGATTGGTTGAAGGTTAGCGCGTAGGTCAAAATTGATTTACCCAATCTGTCACCGGTACCCATCGTGGGGGCGGGCCTACTAAACTGTTATATGGTCTCTACTAGGCAGAGTGTAGTTTAACTAGACTCTGCACGCAGGGTACAATAATATACAACCTAACAACAAAGTAAGCAGCAAGATGAAAAGCTGATCAACACTGCATAATGTGAAAAATCCAGGTTGCAATTTAGCAACAACTTGTCATTATTACAGCACACATTTGATGGAAATAATTTTAATTGATTTTCTGCAGATGATGGAAATTTTGTAAACAACTTAATAGAACTCAACCTGGGTTATAATATCAATTATTGTTGAATATATTCTCAAGAGTGTAATATTTGCATACTATTATATAGACCTGGTATGTTATAAAATGTTAACTTTCCAAACAGCCAAACTAATAAATATTAATAGATTTCCAGCTTAATGTCATTTTTGTAGAGAGAGGAAAGACTATCATTTTACATTCTAAAATTGATATCCAAATATGAAAATTGGTAAATGAATTATTTTTCTTCTAGTCACCTTGTATCCCCAACATAGGTTTAGCAATGAAACATATCTAGGGCATGGATCAATACCCCTATAATGCCTAACATAGAGCTCTTGGGAATACCATAGCCATGACATAGGATTTACTTTCATGATTAAATACATGCTTTATCCTCTAATGACCGAATAGTTATAATAAATTACAAATAAGGCCACGAAAACTGTTGATCCTCATTCGTAATAATCAATATCGATTCATCCCATGAAAAATTAATTTTACTTTGAGTTGTGAATTGATCATAGACATTATCTGAAAATGTATTAATATGTAGATAATTCTTGTAATCAAGTCTGCAATCAGTCATCATGAAATCATAGAATTCACTCAGATTATAGTACAGTGTAATAACATGCCATTTGAGCAATAGTGTTATCCTATCAACATGATGAATCACATGAATATGTATCATTTTTATACAGGAAATCCCAAACAATATTCTTGCATTAAACCCCTGTATGTTCCAGCAAATATCTGTAACACCAGGCTGAAGAGAATGAAGAGGAAAGGAGTTGATGCTAAAGTACCCATAAGTGTAAGTTTTAAGAAATCATAGATGATTCCCATTATACAAATTTCCCAGCATTCTTATTGCTTGAGTTCTTTTAGTTTTTGTTTAAAACTGATATGTGAACCACTTTATGCATTAATCTGGCCTGAGAGAAAGAAGAGTTTAACCATTTACAGAACTGTTGGGAATAAAATACAGATTAATCATATCTCCTATGACTTACTAAATGCTGTAACGTTATCGCAATTTTGCAGTTTTCCTTTCAACCTTCCAACCATTTTTCTAATTTTTCAAGTGGGTGCAAATGAATTCTCAGGTGGGTGCAGGTCGGTTTTTAAAATCTCAGGTGGGTGCTGCACACCCACTTGCTTTAATCCTGGGGAGATCACTGGAATTGAAATACTACGTGAACTTTTTTCATTTTATTAAGTGAACACTGAGCAATGTCTTAACAATAGGATACAAAGAATGAATGAAGAATATTAAATTGATTAACTTTCATTGTATATTACATGCAATGATATGAACTTGAATAAAAAATGATTAATAAAAAAGTAAATCTAAAATCTCTATACATCAATCACATTCTAAATGTGATTCTAAATGTATAATATGTAATTTAATATCCAATAAATAAACAAAACATGTAGCATGTGTTATGCATTTTACATAAAACATCTGCTCAAAGATGTTCAAAGATGCAACTTCATTAAAATCAATATTGTATAGCCTAACAGACTGTAATTACTATTTTAAAGCTTGGACAACAAATTCGATATTGCACCTCACAATCACACAATTTGACTGATGTGTCAAACAGCCCTATATTAAGTCAATAGCAGTGATCTTCCCAGCACCCATTGGAAATCTGTTTACAAAAGGATGGAATATAATTGATTTTTTAAACATTTAGGCATCATTTTAGACAAACACCTTAGCTTTGAAGAACACATTAACTCAGTGATTACTAGGTGTAATAAAATGTTAAATCCATTAAAAGCACTCAAATTTTCAGTTAGATCAAAACACTTACAGACAATTTATATGGCATTCATTCTCCCACATCTCGAATATGGCAATATTATTTTTGACAGCGCAAATCTAAACCTCTTAGCAAGTTTAGATAGAGTCCAATATAGAGCGGGTCTTATTGTAAGTGGTTGCATCCAAGGGTCAAACTCTGAGAAGGTGATGGCATGTCTTGGATGGAGATCCTTATCCAATCGAAGAAAAGAAAAAAAACTAGTTTTTATGTTTGACTTTGTAAATAATTATAAGATGCCTTCATATGTTTCAAATGTTTTTGAACAGTATAAGAATCAGGTAAACCACCAAAGACTTCGTCGTAGCAATGATTTTAAGATCCCATTCAAAGCATCTGCTAAACTTAGAAAGTTTACAGCTTTATCCAGTATTAAATTATGGGATAATTTACCTGATGAACTGAAACAAGCACACTCACGCAACTCATTTAAGTATAAAATTAGAACATTTTTGAATGGGAAAAAGAAAGAATTCACAACCCCAAAAGTAAACCTATCCAGAGATAAAGAAATTGTCTTAAATAAAACGAGATGTGATCTCATTTTTAGGCAGCATCTTTTTACACATAACTTCAAAAATATTCCAAATGCCAAATGTAAATGTGGTCATTCTACTGAATCAACCAAACACCTATTGCTCCATTGCCCTCTTTTTAATACTCAAAGACTCAATTTTCACAGAGAACTAGGGGGACTGCCATCCTTTAATTTAAACTCTTTTAATAATAGAAAACAGGAAGACAGGGTAGACTTTTTACTTTTTGCAGATCCTTCTCTTGACACAATTACAAATAAAAAGGCTATTGAATTAACAGCCGAATTTTTACACTCTATTGTCAAGGAAGTTAAATAGTCCAATATTCATTAATTTATACATATATCTCTGACCTGTCTTCATGTTTTCAAGATTATTTTCATGTTCATAAATATGTTCTATATCTATCATTTTTACATTGTGACCTATTTTAACTTATATTGTAACTACTTCAACAGGGCCAATAATGCTTCGGCGTAGGCCCTGCATCTGTTTGTATGATGTATTATGAAATAAAGGAAATATAAAAATTGAAAAAAAAAAATTGATTTTTTACCACAATGAGCAAAATTAGGATTTATATTTGAACTTTTCACATGTACATTGTATTTAGATGAAGATTTAAACTTACCTATCTATTTGGTGTTAAACTGTCTGGTGTGCTGTAATCTACTCTATCCAGTTTAATTTGTAATACTGCCTTGATATTAGGTATCAACCAGCAGAACACAAACAGTTTCCTGGAAAGGAAAAAATGCTAATATGATTTGTAAACCTAATTGTTTTCTCTATTGGTAATACATAAACAACATACTGACAATTGATTTCACTTACTGACTACAAAATTTCAGAGGTTTTGATCATGTTTTATAGATAATATCTACTGGGGGTTGCTATTTTGAATTGAAGCACTGAACTATAGTAAATTACATATGGCCACTGATACCTAAGAACCTGAAAAAGTAAATAAAAATGTTTTTTCAGAGATCAAGTCAAAGATCCTACATTATGTATAGTTTATGTACACGATACTGTAATTGCTAAAATACATCTAGGTATCTATTGGGTGGCTGTATTTATATTGTTGTTTTACTCTATGTAAACACAATCGCACCATTCAGCAGAAACATTGGGCTTTGTATAAAAACCTCCTACCTCATATCCGCCTATGTGGGACATCATACAGTCATTGAAGGGTTCAATTTTAAAGATTTTTAAATCTCAAAATAGCTCTAATTATTAACATTTCTACAAGTCTGGCTTTATTTTATGACTTGATGGATGACAGATCCATAAATAAAGGCATATGGGTGCATTGTAATGTGTAATGACCAGAGGCACCCCAGGGGAATAACTAATGACTGCGAGCATACATGTAGGTCCAACAAGGCAGATAAAGAAATTGAAAGAAAGCGTGCTAAATTCGATGCCCAAGTGGGAATCAAACCCAGCTGGGCTGTAGTAGCAACTTGCTATCAAGGGTCGTTACAAATGCATCTATAATTCATCAAAAACTAAGATTTAATAAACTAAGATCTTTAAAATTGAACCCTTCAAAGATTTATCATGTCCAACGTACGTGGGTAGGTGGGTATGAGGTAGGAGGTTTTTATACAAAACCGAAACATTGAAATAATAATAAATTTATCATATCAGAGATAAATATTCTAAAATATCACTTCAAATCATATTCGTAAGGAGTCTAGCAGGCATGCCTAGGAACCTTGGTGTAGTCCACATGTTTTACAAAATTGTCCAATAAATTCAACCCATTACGTGAGACCGAGAATTTGGCATTTTGTCAATGAGAAATTGGATTGACAACAAGATCTACACTACATGTAGGTCGCTATAAGTTGAAAATCTTTATTTATGGTTGCCAAACATGTAATTTTGGAACCGATACTAAGGGAAAATAACTTGATTTTGAAGCTATGATGATTCTCAATCAGCTGGGTAAAACCTGAGCTCAGAAAGAATAAATAAATGATAATGATGAGTGTGCCAGAAAATGTGACCTTGATGTTTTTCACTTCAACAACATTTAATAAACCAATACATTACCATTTTCTCATTTTAAACAATACATGTTTTAGATAAGATACATATAATTCATATTTACCTACTTAGCACAATTATAATCCACTATACGGTGAGATATTGTCGAAAATATGCTTTGTTTTTCATTTTTCGTATATTTTCCTAAATTTTTGCTTTTTTCCGAATGAAACTGTTACGCGCGTTTTGATTGGTCCTTTGACAAATATTACCCACAGTGCTCTTTGTGACCAAGCAACAAAATACATCATGGCGGACCAAGAAGACAGGTACTTTTAATAATTTATTTCAATTTATGATCCTTTATACATCTATATGCACAAAAATGCAATTCCCAATGATTCCTTAGTACTGAAAGAATCTGTAAAACAATACAAAAGCTGTATATATTATGTGTATTTGTAATAAACGATTTTTTGTACTTTCTCATTTCTTGACAGATTTTTTTCAAATTCAGAATTGAATTATGCTAGGGTCTAAGCTTAAGCTTAATTTTTTTGGCTATAGCCTATTTTTGTTGTTTACGATATATCCGTCATTGAAAATTGAATTTCAAATAGTGATTTTTAAAAGGTCCAATTCAATTGTACTAACAAATATATTTAGCTTGGAGGAAATTCGGAATGTCACTCATTTTCATGTCTGCAATTCACAATTCAATAAACATCCTTAATAATATGAAACCACCTTCTTAATTACCTCACTGACCTTCTATTGTTTCTAAAAACATTTCTCTCAAAATTAGGATATAAGTGTGATAAGCAGGGCAATTCTGGAGCCACAAAAATAACGAGTGACAACTTACACTTCCCCTGAATGTATCAAATCCTTAGTTAATTGCTTGTCAAGGCCTAATCTTTTCATTTCATCCTAAGAAATTATTTTTGTAGACCACCTTCAGCAGATGAATCGAAGCCCACTGTTGGGGATGTTGTTCAGGATGTTACAGTGAAAGCATTACAGGAAGTTAGTACTTGTTCATGATATTGGGGGAATGCATCGGACTTCGACATATGGGGTTACTTTGACGTGGGTTGACTGTAATTCAACTAAAGTATGTTATTTCGACCATTGCCAATAATTCAAATTTCCAAGTTCAGCAACCTTGGATTAAGATAGCCCTACATCGAAATAACCCAATACATCGAAGTTCAATGCAATCCCCCTAGTGTTATAGTATAGTCTATCTTATTGCCAAAAAGAAATTTTTTAGAAGGTATTCATTCTTCAGTATGACTGTAACCTTAGAAGACTATTGTAAACAGAGAAATAGTATCTTATGATACAGCTTAGTTAGTCACTTTTTTTCTCCTGAAGGCAAAATACAGTTGTGCTCCAAACTTGAGAATGAATTGATTATCGGACAAAAATTAATTTTGTTAGAACACACATATTATTTTATACTTATTTGTGTGAAGATCTTTTTACCCAAAAAGAAATAAGGGTTGTTATTATTTATCTGGCCCATAGCCAAGCGGATCACTTTTCAAAACATTCCAGAAGGTGATCACGTTTGACTTTGGTCTAAAATCACTTGAAAAGTGCTCAAAATGGTGAAAAACTGCATGATTTTGAAATTGATTGAACACCCCAGACACCCCGTGGATACGGCTGCTTATTTTTATGAATTGATGAATTATTTTCAGATTGATACAGGTGATATGGAAGCAGAACAAAATCCTTCAGGACAAGCCTCGGGTCAAGGTATGCAACAGAAAAATTGAGGTTCTTGTCCTTTGTGTGTGAATTGATTGTTGGTTAATCAAACAAAAACAATAATTTAAATGATCCAATTAACATATTGCACAATGCACTTATACATGTATTTGATTGAAATATGTAATTAAAATAATTAAAAATTCTTGTGTGAATCTTATTTGATTTTGTAATACTGTGTTTCTGTCTGTTCTTGTCATTCTGTGTTGAATGAACATGTATGTTTTTACCTAATGCTTGGATATTTTAACTTGAATGTGTTGAAGTTCTTCAAATGGCTACTTGAAACTTCATGATTTGTACAGATATGACATTGCATGGTATTAATGCACCATACTAACCGTTACATACTAGTTAAACCTTTTGTTTATATGGTAAGATTTTGATTTGTTTTAACTTTTGCGATTGTTGATGTCTAATCTAGGTTCTCGACCTTCATCCAGCAAGAGGGGATCAAAACCTGCAACACCAAAGAGCTCTAGACAGGGCACACCTCAGACCTCTAAAACTCCTACCCCCCAGGGATCTAAACCCCCTACTCCCCAGGGATCTAAACCATCTACTCCACAGGGATCTAAGCCCCCTACCCCACAAGGATCTAAGCCCCCTACCCCTCAGATTTCAAGAACAGCAACACCTAAAAGTTCTAGAACTGGCACTCCTAAGGGATCGAGAACAGGTACCCCTCAGGGTTCTAGAGTTGGTACTCCATTAGGCTCTAAGGAGGGTACTCCTCGAGGATCAAGGGAAGAGACCCCAGTGGGCTCAATACAAGGAACCCCTGTTGGCTCGAGGGTAGGTACCCCTCAGGGTTCTAGAGTTGGTACTCCATTAGGCTCCAAGGAGGGTACTCCTCGAGGGTCAAGGGAAGAGACCCCAGTGGGCTCAATACAAGGAACTCCTGTTGGCTCAAGGGTAGGTACCCCTCAAGGATCAGCCAGGGGGTCTCAGAATCGTAATACTCCAACTGGTTCTAAAACTAGCACCCCAGTTGGATCACTACCCACCTCAGCAAGAGAGGACAAACCCCCTATCCCCATGGGCTCTCAACGGTCCTATGGGTCAAACCGTCCCCTGTCTAAAGAAGGCTCTGAGGTGCTCTCCTTGCAGGGTTCAAGACCAGGCTCAGCCAGGCACCAATTTGAGGGTAAATTTTTGGTGTTCTCTACATGATTCCATTGGGAAAAGCATTTCTTGAGCTAGCACATTACTATGCTCATCTATATATCAATATTTAGATTTATATTGTATATGTAAAATTAATCGTTTAAGTTGTTGTAAGTACTCATTATTCTACATGTTAAATAAGATCTTAAGGTATTGTTTGAATATTAATTAGTTAAGTACAGTTAGTACTGTATGTAAGACTTTGCCTACTTATGGCCAATATCAACTGGTAACTGCTAATGTTATTATAAAATGCAAGTCCATATTTATTTATTAGTTGATGACTCCCAGACCACGGATCCACCCCAAGGTGACAACTGGGCACAAGAAGATGAGGCTACATTGGTGTAAGTTGGAAATTATGTGTGGTCTTGTCATGTTCATCCCCCCAGGCTTTTCTCAACATGGCTCTCAGTCCTAATTTTTCCTGTTTTATTTTGATCAAAATATCTCCATGTATCATAATTTTGACAAAACTCACCAGCGAAGAGAAATTCAATAGAGAGCATATGACTCCAACAATGTGCTGCAAACTTTTCATGGTTACTCACAACTCACTTGACCAGAATAAAATATGGCAGAAGGTGTATTGCAACTTCAGTGTTACTCTAATACTGAGGACATAGGGTTAAGGTGGGCAGAGTAGGACAACTTTTTGTGTATAATTTCACAGTCGTGCTGACTTTTGGCAGGTAACTGTCATTGCTGGTATGATCATATTTCATTTCATGAACAAGGTCACTGTGTACCATTGTATAAGTATCTCTTGAGCATTCAAATTACATGTTTTCTACCTGCTTCTATGAAAGGGATGTTTTTCATTTTTCATTATTATTTTCATCAGGCCTGCAATCCAGCCCAATGTAAACAACATCCTCAACCGGCCATTCACTGACAATGATGCCATGGAGGAGTATGATGATGAAGAGGAGGATGAAGTTGTTGAGGAAGAGGAACCAAGTGATGAGGATAGTGATGGGGAATCAGAGATGGTGGTCTTGGATCCTGACCATCCATTGATGAGACGATTCCAGAAAGCTTTGAATGATCATCTCATCAAACAAGAGGAGAAAGTCACACTTGAACTCAGAGAATTGGTGAGTTTGTTGATATTGTGAGATATACTAAAACGCAAGACTAATTCAAGGCTATCATAGATCACAACTGGCAGTCTGATATTTAGACCCATAGTGGTTAATTGTCTGCTTTTAGATATTATCCGACAGACACTTCAAAACAGTCATTGTTCATTATACATTGTATAATCCAAATCCATTTAAATGAGGTTTTGTTCTCCTATTTTTCAATAGTGTTACATTCCTTAAACCACATTTGGAAATGTAAGAGTTCATTTATAAATTGTTCTCTTTTGGAAGCATGGTAGTCATCAAACAATTTTGCCTATTTAGAAATTTGAATCTCTCATACATTATTAGCTCATTTCTAGTCCCCTTATATCCCAAACCTGCTTATTTTTGGGTCCATACATTATGGTGTTAGGGTTATATACCTAATCATGATTAACTTTCCTCATTTTTTTAGGCTAGAACAAAATCACATTCTTCATGTATGTACTGAATTTCTAATTGCAGACTGAAGGCCTGAGGACAAAGCAGAAAGTTCGTGAAGACCTTGGTGTGGAGCTGTATGGTGTACAGCAAGAACTGGCTCGTCATCAGATGATCTTAGAGAAGAACCACGATGAATTTGCAGCAATTCAACAAGCACGAGATCAAACTGAAGCTGAGCTGGAAGAAATGAGACGTCTTTATAAAAGTCAACAGCTGAATGTTAACAAGGAGAGAAAGAAAGGTATATTTATCTGACTATTACAGAAGATTTAATACTGATGAAATCTTATGGTATCAAAATGTAATTTATATGACCTTTCATGAGAATTTCAATGTCGGCAATACAGTTTCATGATTAGTATCTGATTACACAATATTATAATTGAATGTGGGCTTGATCAAATGAAAGTCTTACTTTAAAGAGGACAGCTTAAATCAACCTTTAGCAAAAGACAGCTTCTTTGTATGTAAACAAATCATATTTCAATTTGCAGGTGCTGAGCTGCAACAAGAAGTAGAAAACTTGGCCTTGCGTCTGTTCTACATGGACAATGCCAAAGAAGATGTCAGATCAGACATTGCCGTAATGCGTCGTGCAGCAGAGAAGGCTGATGTTGAAGTTGAGAAAGCTGAAGTTGAAAAACAGAAGCAGGTAGGTTGAGGTTTCTTTGCAAATTCTGAGTGAATATCACATAAATAATGTCATTTTCTAGTCTTGTATCATGCATCCATCTTGTGTTGCCTTTTTATTGCACTTTGAAAAAGTGTTGTATTGTCATTGTTTTGTGCTGCTTGGTGGGAAAAACTGGGGGTGGAAATTCTTGACATCAAAATTCCAATTTGATTGGTTCAACTGATTAATTTGTTCAGTTTGAAATTTTTACAGATGCTAGATCATAAAACATGAGGAATGAATTACACGATGGCCATTTTGCTCTCCAAATTGTGATATTTGACGCTGTGTGTCTTGTTCTTTTAAGATTATCTGAAAATTGTTGCAGTACTAAGTTTACCCATTGTACACTATTTATTAGTTATTAGTTATCTCATGGGCTTTCAATAGATTGAATGCCCATGGTTATCTGTACCTATTCAAATTTTGAGGAACAATATGGAAAAGAAAATATACATGTACAAAATGCAGTTATAAAAACTCATATGTTCTTTCAGGACTTGCTAGTAGACAGACTGGTTGAGGGAGCTGATAAACTTAAAGAAGATATTGCCATGTTTGAAGCACAGATATCTGCCCAAGGTAAGTTTTATGCCATTTTTAAGGTTTTAAGTCATGGAATATTGTTCATTTCATATTTAGAATTTGATTACAATTTTGTTTCATTATATTAAAAAAAAAAATTCAAATTGCTCCCAATATTTTAAAATCCACATATATTTCACGATCCAATTCATCCAATTCCCTTGAAGTAGGGATAGACAATATATATGTATGGTTAGATTATATAATATTTATGTAATGGTTATTGAAAATATATTAAAATTATTCTACTACGTCCATATAATACCACAATTTGTTGTATTTCAGGTGATGAAACAAAGGCTGCCAAGGAAGCTCTAACTGAGGCCAATATGGAGATAGAATCCATCAATCTAGAGAAGAAACAACTGTTCCAGCAGTGGAGCAGCAGTCTTATTGGTATGAGGAGACGAGATGAAGCTCATGCTGCTATGTTGGAGGCTCTGAAGTGAGTAGTCATTTACTGTCATTATATTGGTAGCAGGGTTTGTCATAGCTCTGGCTCCGAGATCCAAAGGCAGTTAGATTTGATCAGGGCAGCGAATTATTTGAGAGTTGCTTGGAAAAAGTTGTATGTCAAGTTCAATTGCCAAAATAAAGAGGTTTCTAAGCTGAGGTTTTTCTAAGCGACAAATTCTTAAATTCAACAATCCTTGCATCAAGTGGGAAAATGAGAGCTTGATACAAGACTAACAATCTTCATATTCATTACAATTAAATATTTTTTAATTTCCAGCCAGCAACAACAGAGGATCATGTCCCTAGAGACAGAGATAGATGGCTACAAACGTTCCATTCAGAAAGAACAAGAGCAGAATGAGAAGCTGACTCTCATCTTAAACAAGACTGAGGTTGACATAGCAACTGTGCGCAAACTCATGTCTATTTGTCAAGCCAAGCAGGAAGCTCTGAAGAGTGAATATGCGACATTTACAAGGATGTTACATGAGACTGAACAGGCACTTAATAGAGCGAATACAGTAAGTAAGAATGGTTTACTTTTGGCTATTATTCCAAAACAGACTTTCTTTTATCGATGACTAAATAATAAATATGCTTATTCACTATTATAATCTGTTCAATCAATTTTTATAGTAATTTACCAATTCTGTCACAATATCCTTGACAGTTCTACAGCTTTCCCTATATATGGGTTTCTCCAGGTCATTCTGCTATTTAAAAGCAAACACATGTTTAATGACATTCTATTAACAATTCCAACACAAAGTCACACAATGATTTTATTTAATCTCCAGGACAAAACTCTCAAGTTGAATGAACTGACAGCCCTGAGGAAGCAGATAGAGAGGGAACATCTACAGAAGATCCAACTGGAGGATGATATCATGGAAAAGATAAGGTCTGAGCTGACCATGGATAAAGCTGCACAGTACACAGATAAACTCACTGGCAAGCTGAGGAACCTGACCAAAGATTTGGTAAGTGCATGTATGCATACATGACAGACTTGAATGTGTGATGAAGTGAAGGAGTTTTACTTGCATCATCCTTAGTTCACTTCTTTTCAGCGAGGCCCGATCCTGAAGAATTCTTGCATGTTCACCTATATCTTTTTCTGAAGCGATGTAGGGATATGATATATCCATTTAATGTAGTGATTTGTTCAAGGATTAATAATGCATCTTGGTGTTTTCCCATAGTTTCATCCTCAAATTCCATGGCATATTGTCTCATAATGTTGGAATTATGATAACTCCTACTTTAAAATGCTCACAAATGATTGATTTGTCTTTTCTTATTTAAAGTATAATCCATTTTGTTACTATAATGAAGAAATCTTATATTCCAGGAATCACAAATGGCTTCTGTTGAAAACGAGATTGCCCGAAGCTCTCTTGAAGTGTCAAACACAAAGACACGTATTGATAGACTGAATATAATACTGGAAGGCCTTGATGATGAGATACGTAGCAAAAATGAAATCATTACAAAGAGTGAGAACGAGATCGTACGTCAGAATGCAATAATTGAGAGGAAGCAGGGTGTGATTGATCAGTACAACAAGAAGCTGGAACAAATGATCAGCAGTGCTGGGGTAAGAATTAATTTAACACAGTCTCAGAATTCTTGTGTTTGAATATTTTATCATATTTTGAAACTCATTAGACTGAGCAAAAATGGTGAATGATTTGTGAAAACTTTTAGATTCTACTGTAATCAATGTATAATGCAAGCTTTTTCCAAATGCCTATGTATCTTTCTTAAGCAAGGCCTATATGAAAAGCACCTTGCATAGAAGTAAGGTGACACCACGTATCAATATAATTATTATATCTTTGACAGGGAGTAGAACTGGGTCCCCTAGAGATCCAGATTAACTCACTAGCCAAGTCTATTGAGGCCCAGCAACAGGAAATCACAGAACTACAACAGAGGTGGCTGAGAGAGCAGAGTGAACTGGTTAGTCTCTCAAAGGAAAGGGAGTCTAAGTCAAAGGAGGTGGAGACAATGAAGAAACAACTCACCATTTTATCCCAGAAGAAACTACGAACTGAAAGTAAGTGATAGAAAGAAGAAGGTACCATTGATCTCATTAGGAAGAGAGATGTGTTTCCTCTACTGTATATACCAATGTGCCAGATTTAAACTCTGATGTTAAAAGTATTAATTTGTTACTTTTTGACAAAATTAATCTTAAGCTGGATTCATTCATAAAAATGAGGTGTTTTTAATCTAAATGTTCCTCAGCATAAATACATCTTCCCTCAAAATATGAACAAAATCAATCTACATGTATTTGTATTTGAGTTATTTGGCTGCTGTATAGATGGAGGAATTTATTGTATCCCTAATGAACTAAATTCATTGGAATATTCACCAGAAGCTGAGAATGGTCTTAGCCAGAAGGTAGCATTGAAATAGCATGAAACTACAATGACATTTCTTTTTTCATTTTAAGATGATATTGATATGGAAAAGACTGAAACTGGTGAAATTGAACGTAATGTGCGCAACATGCAAAATGACATGCTAAAGTTGAACCAGATGCTACACAAGGAGAAGGGCACCAAGTATGAGTTACAGCAAGGGAATATTCTCATGGAAAATGATTTCATAAATAACCTAAGGGTAAGTGAAATTGAAAATATAAGATAAAAATTTTATTGAACATATTTAAAAATGTATATGCTATAAGTTAAGAATGCTTATATTTTTCAATATCCCTTTATCACTTGCTTCATTTATGATATACATTTGTACAGTATCCTGGCACTATATTAATTTTTTATGTTTCAGGAGGCTGAGCTTCAGTCCATACAAATGCAGGCCAACCTGGAGTCTCTAAAGGAAGAAAAGGAGAGACTGTTGAATAGCTTAGTTGAAGCAGAGTAAGTACAGTATACATGTACAATTATTGATCTTACCTGAGGTGGTCAAAATTATTTCCTGACACTCTAAAGTGAAACCACAGGGGAAATGGACTTTACCTAAGAATGGCAATGAATTGTATCTATTGATACTCTGACGAATCAAAGAGTATTAGGGTTGAGGTTCTAACAATATGTTATATACTTGGATAGTATTCTGCAATATGCACTTAATTATCTTCTATATGGGAAGAATAAAAAATCATTTGTAAACTACAAGGCTTTCAACCAATCATCATTCAAGTTTGTCATTTGTAAGGTATAGTCCAGTTTTGTGGATTGGTGGATTAATGACCTGATATTTTACAATATTTTTTTCAATTTAGGCGACAGATAATGTTGTGGGAGAAAAAGACACAACTGGCCAAGGAGACAAGGGCAGCTGTAGACTCGGAGATAGGCCAGGGTGAGGTGCGGGCAATGAAGGCCGAGATTCATCGAATGCAGGTCCGCTTTGGACAACTGATGAAACAGCAAGAGAGAATGATACAAGAGATGGAGAAAGCTGTATCTAGGTAAGTACATGCACCTTCTGCTATCAATAATGAACTGAGAGTTTTCTTTTTAATCAAAAAATATCTTGAAAAAAGTAACTTTTTAATCAAAAAAGTAACTTGATTTTAGACCAGCCATTTCCTCCTGCACCCAATGAAACTTACTTTTTGTTTTTTTACTTAAAAAGTCAGTATGTTCAAAGTTTCTCTCTGGTTTCAGTATGTTAAAAAAATAATATTACAAACTGCAGCTACAATATGAAATAAAACTAACCTGAAATAGTGATAACACACAGTCTGTCATTCATATACACTTGTAAAATTACATTGATTACACAAAATTAAAGACATTGATCATGTTATGATGCCATTGCATTTTTCCATATTACAGACGTGACACCATTGTTACACGTGGTGATGCACAATCTAAGATGAACAAGAAGATCATGACAAAGGGAACTTTCCAGAGACAAATGGCAGAAACAAAGAAGAAAATTAAACGAACAATTGAAGTAAGTTAATTTATTATCAATCTTTTCCTTCGCCCGTATAATTATATAATTTTCGCATTAATTTTTCACTCTAAATGTAGTCATATTATTCTTGGAATATACAAGGTAGCCACTTGAGCCAAAGTATTGATTGGTTCCTCCAGAGACATATAACAATTTTGTGCATTTACTTGGATTTCAAGCTAAAATCAGAAATTGGAATGGGTTTATACATGTAATTTACAATAGATATTCATTCTATCCATGTATGCATATATGACAGTAACTCATAATTCATTCATTGATTAAAGGATGCCAACAGCTGTGACAGTGAGATCAAGGAGCTGAGGGAACATCAGCAGATACTGAGTGGTCAGCTAGAGGAGAGACAAGTGAATGTGCAGCAATTACAGGGCAGCACAGACACCTTAGATGGCGACATTGACAGACTCATGGAGCAGAAAACTAAGGTAAAGAAACCAAATATTACATGTATTAAGGATATGCTCGTTTCATGGTCTTCAATTTTGTACTACTCTCATAAAAATTCTATTCTGCTCTTGCCAAAGGAATGTGATTTGGCTTTGGTATTGCTCATGCAATTTAATTTTTCAAAGAATGAACTGTTTCATTGTATCTTCATTTGAGTTATCTTTTTGATTTGAGTACTTCATATTTTGAGCAACCCAGCGTCCCAGTGACCTTTTGCATATTGACTGCATCTCCATTCAGAGAGGTATTTCCAGACCTGTTAGTCATACTCTGCCAAAATAGCTCAGTGCCAAATTATTACTGTTCTTTTTTCCTATAGAATCAGCAGAGTTTGTGTTAACTTTATTCTAAAAAATTGACTGCATATTGGGAGTGAATTATTTCTCAGTTTAATTTAATGACGTCTAAGTAAAGGATGAATATAAATAAACCGCCCAAATGAGCATCCTATTTTGAAGAGAAAATCTTGAAATAACAATTGAGTGCCAATTTATTTTGCCCAATGTTTCACATAGCATCCTTGTGTATATTTCAGAACATGATGGATCTAGTGAACCGTCAGCAAAGAGCCAAATGGTACCAACAAGTGAAAGAAGGTCGCTATACAAGAATATGTAAATCAGACAATGCATTAGATGCTGAACTTGAGAAACAAGTGAACAGAATGCAGGCATTGAGTGCCATTGTGGACAGATTAAATCAGGAGTTCCCCCATGCACAGCCAACATTACGGAAAGTTACTTTGCATTTAGCCACGAAAACAGCAATTGATGAGGAAGCATAGACACCTTACATTTATCGTTTTTTACCCAAGAAAATGCGATTCTTTTTGTATTCAGTACACAGATATATTCAAATGCATTGTCTGTACCTTATGCAAAGGATTTACACGATAAAATGCTTGCAAAAATGTCAAAGTTCACTTTCTATTTCAATCAAATGAATATTACATATAAACACATCTTGCGAAGAAGTCTGAGCTATCTGATTTTGTTAAATTACCTCCTGGGCTAATCTTCTAATATAAGTACTTTTGTGACCATTTTAAAATGTATTTAAACATTTTAATTGTAAATATCAAATGTACATATTGAACACTTGTAAAACTACATATGTGTTGCGTATATAATATGGAAGACAACATGGAATAATGATTGTACTCCAATTTGAATTATACATGTAAATAAAAATTAAAAAGTATAAAAACAATGCAAAAATTTTTCTTTTACAAAATATTCATCATTTATTAGAATTCTGTAATCAATTTCTACAAATGTCTCTTTTTGCAATTTGTGATTAATACTGACATATTACCAAATGAAAGCATAATCTATGCAATTATACTTAATTTATAGGCTTAACAAATCCTTATTATTAAAATCATCATCAAGGCAGTATGAGTAATCAGTATAAGTGAATGAAAAAAACAAAACTTCCCTACCACCCCGATAGAAATATCTGAAAGAAGTAATCTCAATGAAACTGTGTAGGTCTCAAATTTCATTCTGAAATGTCACTGCAGTTTCTGTTTTTGAGCATCTCAACTGTCTATCACATAAATCTCTCTGTTCATCTCCAGGTTTTTGAGGACTGAGGCTTTAGAAGTCAATGATTGACCGGATACTGGAAGTAAAATTGAATGAAATATAACATCACAAGGAAATGGATCATTCGCCAACTTCATTATTCTAAATCCCAACAGACCAGATTTTTGTACTAAAATATGTTGTAATGTCCATCAAGTCATTAGTTAGGAATTGCACTATTGTACCATGCCATTCAAAAAGCTCAGAAATTCCCTCATTCAAGCAATCATTTTTACACCAAATTTCCAGAATATGTAAAAGGTATCAACAGTGATAACTTCAAATGTTTACACAAGGGATAGATGCAAGACCTAAAATTTGTTTACAGATCTTTAAAAAATGTTACATACCTTTTACCAGCATGCATGAGGTCAAATGATTCATTGATTTTGTCCAAAGGCATGTTGTGTGTTATAAACTCATCAACCTTCACTATGCCTCCAAGGTAATCCTCTACTAGCTTCGGTACACTGTCTCGGCTCTTGAAACCTAAATTATTTGAATAATCATTTCATAAATCAGTACATCGGCCATTAAGCAGAACTTCTAATCTATACCCAAAGGACCCATGAAATATGGGACTAAGACCATTGGTTTTTCAGTTATTACCTTGACAGGTGGATTCATGTATGGACGGATGCAGTTTTGAACGTTATTTGATGGAATAATATTGTACAAAGCATGATCATCATATGAACCTACCTCCAAATGCAGTACCCTTCCAGACACGTCCTGTGACAAGTTGAAATGGACGGGTTGAGATCTCCTGGCCTGCAGCAGCAACACCTATTATGGTAGACACGCCCCATCCCTTGTGGCATGATTCCAGTGCTGCCCTCTATTAAAGATAAATATCAAAATTATGGAATTAACTTTACAATAAGTAAATTGTTACTTTCTCACATATAAACGACTGTTCTTAGTTTATGGAGGGAGGGTACTAGTTTAGGGAGCTTTGGGTTAGCAAACTTCTAACAATACCCTTAATTATGGCCCCTAAAAATTCAAAATATGAATAAGCTTCATAAAATCTTGGAGCGTACCATTGTTCCCACATTTCCAATACATTCAAATGTGTAATCAAGACCTCCATCTGTCATCTCAGTGAGTACTGTTTGTATGGGTTTGTCATAATCCTTGGGGTTAATACACTCAGTGGCACCAAACTGTTTGGCTGAAACATTGTATGTACAGATTATAATACATGTAAAATTCTGCTCAGCTGTTACGTATGTTATGATGTATGTGCACATTATAATACACGGAAAATCTACCTGGCTGAAACAATTGTATGTACTTACTATATATGTGGGAAAATATGCTCGGCTGTAGTATTGTATGTAGATGAATTATGAATATACAAAAACATGAAACTCCTGTATATTTCATAAAAATTTTCTCACCAATTTCAAACTTGTCTGGGTTGATATCAATTCCAATGATGCGAGAAGCACCAGCTGCCTTGCAGCCCATTAGCACAGCAAGACCTACAGCTCCTACACCCCATACAGCACAGCTTGAGCCAGGCTCAACCTTGGCTGTGTTAATAGCAGCACCATAACCAGTAGAGATGCCACAACCCAGTAGACATACCTTGTCTAAGGGGGCCTTCTCATTCACCTAAATGTGACAATATTTGTGTGAGTATTTGTCAATGAGAAAACTTATACTGGAATTACATTTGGAATCGCCAATTATTGGATATTTCCACATCTAATTTTTCTAAAATGTATTTTTGAAATTTCTCATTTCACATTTTTTCATCAATATCACCTTGAATATGGGTATGATGTTTTTTGAAGTCACTGTGACAACCCCAACAATTTTACTCACCATTCTTTGCCACTATTAAGTGGTGTCAGTTCAATGTCTCGTCATTGTTGGGTTTCACTTAATGTTGTTTAAATGCTTACATGTATGTTTAGGTTGATACTTTCCACTAAAGTGTCCTATTTCAGTGATTTGTAGGCGAGTGGTGGAAATTTTCAAATATTTCTACTTTCACTTCCGGTTCACGGGGTCAAGGTCATATTGCCGATAAAAGTTTGTCATTTGTTTTTCTTAGGAAATTTACCCTGTTAACTATGTTTTATCGCTAATCTAGTAAGATATTCACATAATAGGTAATATTTGCTTTTAAACGGTAGTTTACACTTGGTAAATGGTCCCGTATTGGCGAAGTTATGGCTATAAATCTAAATTTATATAAGTCTATTTTTAGGCTGACGTCACTGCACATGCGCAGAGGTGAGGCAGCCATCAAACTTTTGCGAGAGAAAATCACCCGTGATTTGCTCTGCTGTTTCCACTTCAAATGTCGGTATAGTTGACCATCGAGATGCCGGAGCTATCGCATTACTTACAACAGTAAGTGGTGCATCTGCACGGGGTAATGGCGAGATGTCATTCACGATGCTGGTCTCTAAAACCAGGTTTGAAGTTGAGGTTGGGTCTTCCGTGGCTTTTGCAAATGGCGTCATCAGCCTCCCATATTTGCAAGTTTTGATCTCAACCTTCAAACACACATCGTGCCGCAAGTACCTCATGTGGATTGATAGCCTGCACCTCATTTCGAACCAGGATTGATCTAGGGATCAATGTGTCAAAATTGGCAAGTATAACATTGTATTTAGTTTGAATTGTTTGGTGCAAAAGCACACTGAAACTATTTGACCTAGATTTAATATTGGTTTGTGCAAAGGCACATCAGAATTATTTGACCTAGATTTGCTTTGCAAAAGCATATCATAATTGTTTGAGAGAGTTGTTTTGCATTGTTTATGATCAATACTCATATTGACCATCATGTTTGATTAATTCATTGCTAAGGATTAGTTATTACATATGATCATGTTTTGGTACACTGCGTTACTCAGTCTGTTCCGCAGTTCTGAGGTTCTACTCTGCGCAGTTGTACATTACGCAATGTCGGCTATTTGTGATAGTTAGGTCTTAGGTATTATCAGGTTTTGGTACACTGCATTACTCAGTCTGTTCTGAGGTTCTACTCTGTGCAGTTGTACTTTACGCAATGTATTTGTTGACAGTCAGATATGGTCATGTCTTGGTACACTGCGTCTATTGAGGGCGTTCCGCGGAACTACCCTGCGCAGCTATATACATTATGTAATGTATATAGTCAGTTTATGGAGTTCAAGTTCTTGTTTGGCAACAGCACTGGATGATTGTGTTGAGTTTAGACACTCATGGAAGCCTGGTCTATTGTCAGTTAGTTTGAACTTGAATTGTCTTATTGTTTGGCAACAGTATTAGATTGTTGTGTTGAGTTTAGACACTCATGGAAGCCTGGTCTATTGTCAGTTAGTTTGAACTTGAATTGTCTTATTGTTTGGCAACAGTATTAGATTGTTGTGTTGAGTTTAGACACTCATGGAAGCTTAGTTCATTATTTAAATCTACTTTGACTTGAATTGTTCATTTATTGTCAAAGTGTCGGTTTAGTCGTAAAGTTGTGAAGTCATATTAGTACCATAGCTTATACATTTTATGCATGTATGGCTTTATCAAAAGCACTGTCAGGCAGTTAGGAAATACCATTTGTTCCATCTTGTGTCATCAATGGGAATACAAGTTGTTGTACCCACATCTATGCTGTGGCATAGAATATTATAGGCTATACCTGGGTATAGCCTATGAGTGGTGTTGTATTACATTAACTTGTGTATACTTTGTATGCGATTCCATCGCATACATCATTGATCGGCATTGACATGCACCGGCATGTTGCGTATAACATACACCCACTTGTTACATGACATGTACCCACTGGATGTGGGATTGCACCCACATGTTACATAACATTAATTTTGACTTGCATGTTACATAATGATTAATGTGCACTCATGTATATATATTGGTATTGCTACTTGGTGTGTCAAACACTATATGTTGTTTAAGTTATTGTTATTAAGTTGTTGATTACTTATGGTACTATTATGTTCAACTCTTGTGTCACCATAACTTGTGATTACTTATAGTAATACCATGGTGATATGTATAGTTGGTCTCACAGATCTTAGTGTTTTGTCAGTGGTCATTATTAGGTTCTTTGTGTCATGTGTTACACATATAGGAGCCAGTTGTAAGTGTACTTATTATTCATTGGTCATTGTTAGGGTATGGTAATACAATATTGCCATTTTTATTCCAATGTTTAGTTGGTAACTTGTAAGTTTGATTTTATGTCATATCGCAAGCTCACAAGAGCTAGTTGTAGGTGTACTTATTATTCATAGGTCATAAAGGTTATGGTGGTAATGCATATTGCAATGTTATGCCTATGTTTATTTAGTAACCAGTTATCCGGTTGTGTCACACACTCTCCCAGGTGAAGGTATTGTTACAGAATTACTTGTGTGTATTTAAAGTGAGTTCCATGCACATGAGCTAATTAATGTAAAGTTATAACATAAGAGTCTTAGTAGACAAGTTACATGTTTCAGTATTAAATGTGATATTAAATGCTGTATATTATGTGACCATGAAGCAAGGATATTAGTTCAGTAGTTACTTTAGATTCATCTTTGTGAGTGTTGTTTGAATGCATGTACTCATTGCTATTTAGTAACAATGTACTACTATTATTCAGGATATTATTCAGGTAGATGGATAATATGGCTATCATTCAAGTAAATAACACTGTACAATTCAGTGTATATTATTCAGGTATATTATGCATATATCATTCAGGTATCACAACATCAAAGGTATTTTTCATATATGTTTTCCACTATGTGTGGGTTTGTTTGCACACTTTGTGTGCCTCACTGTATTACCATGTTGTTCAGTTGTTAATAAACCTTTAATCTTTTAGTTTTATATTTAATTTAACTCATCTGTTTTGTCAGTTAAAGTGTATGTTTTATGTCGCAGCGCGACATATTCCGTCCCTTTGTCATTTTATAAGTCATGTCTGAGGACCCTTGAGAGTATTAACAGGCACAACACGAACCCGGGATTTTAATGCTAACGATTCTTTCACCTCACTTAGCCCTTCCCCTTATTCACGCTACCACTTCTGTTTGCTCTGCACCGCCGTGCGGAGAGAGGGGCGGTGAGGGTCGTTACATTTTGGTGGCAGCGGTGGGATGATCTGTTGTGTTTGATGACTCTTCCTCAGTGCTGTGAAATTTACCAGCAAAAACCCCGTATGTGGTAATGTAAGTGCCACTCAAAAGTTTTTTTTAAATGTGCAAAAAAAATGTGTTTCTCAATGCATCAACTCAAAAATGTATTGGGATACCCATTTGTTATGTTAGAGTGTAGGTAACAGTTATGTTAGCCTTATTGCTCTACAGGTTGTCATATTCATGACTATTGCGACTAATTTCAACCTGGGAAGTGTGTGACTTTGCTAAATGTGTAAAGGAGAAAATGTTAATCTCCTAATCGTGACTGAGCTTGTTCTGTACTCTTTATGTGTTCTCAGCTGATCATGTGGTCAGATGTGATGTCTTGGTCATACTACGTATATTGACCAAGAGTGAGTACTCCAACGGTGGGTCACAAGCCAGTGTTCCGACCTAGTGGAGTAGACTGTTTCCTTTTCTGGTAATTTCTTCTGCAAGCCAGCTGAAGAGATTCATCAGACAGTCCTCACTATCACATGGTATCTCACCACTTGTTTTGAAGAGTTCACTGTCTGAGTCATGAGCAGTCATAGTTACAAGTATTAGAAAATTTGTGTGTTGTCATGCCCGACAGGCAGCTCCGAATGTCTCTATTTATGTATCCTAGGTGGAACGGTAAGCCTAGAGGTTTGTGAAAAAAGTATGCAGTTACTTTTTACAACATGTTGCTTCAGCCAATGGATCCGGTGTTGGTAGCTCTGGTTTTGTCATAATGTCCCTCAGTGACATAACTAGCCTACTCCAGCAATGGCCAGGGGTCTCAGGTTATCAGGTAAATTGCTAACTCTGAGAAAATGTATAACGGTAGCCTATTTGTTAATGTATGTAACTACCCAAATTAAGGTTGACCTGCATTCCTCAGGTGACATCTGGTATGATGTTCAAATTTACAATCTTATTAGCTGGGTGAGGTTGTAGGGTTATGACTCTTATGGTCTCCCATTCTGCTTTTCAAATTGCAATTGATTAAGCGGCATCTGTGACCACCGTTGTGATTACAGTTTGCTGGTTGTTGCATCTAACCAACTTATTTGTTTTCATGATTCCATGTTTGGTGGTTGAGTCATGATCCTTGATGACCTGAAACGACAATAACCCTGTAGCACATGAAGTCTTCTAGAAGATGGAATATGTTATTCATAAATGTATGTAAGTTTGCAAGGCTTCATTACTTTTAATAATGTACAACCATGTTGTTTGAATATTCTTATTCCAGGAGTTGTGTTGGTTTATGGTTAACCTTCACATTTCTATAAATGGACTGAGATTGTATTCTATGCATATATCGATTTAGTTTGCTGCATTGGCTGAATCAGGACAATTAGACTATGTTCTAATTTCATATGATAAACTGTGTATGCTGCTTATAATGAATAAAGTGATTTCTGATGTCAGATAGGAGCAGCGGACACAGCGATGTCCCCAACTCTACCGATGTCAGATTGGAGCAGCGGACACAGCGGAGTCCCCAACTTTAGTGATATTTAACCAGCACCTTTGCTGGTGGACATTTATATCAGTGTAATGTATTCAGTACTTATATATTGGGGCTTATATAAATTGGTTCTCATTCATGTTCGAAATTTCTCGTTCATGTTCGAGGACGAACACTTGTCAAAAGGGGGAGTAGTGTGACAACCCCAACAATTTTACTCACCATTCTTTGCCACTATTAAGTGGTGTCAGTTCAATGTCTCGTCATTGTTGGGTTTCACTTAATGTTGTTTAAATGCTTACATGTATGTTTAGGTTGATACTTTCCACTAAAGTGTCCTATTTCAGTGATTTGTAGGCGAGTGGTGGAAATTTTCAAATATTTCTACTTTCACTTCCGGTTCACGGGGTCAAGGTCATATTGCCGATAAAAGTTTGTCATTTGTTTTTCTTAGGAAATTTACCCTGTTAACTATGTTTTATCGCTAATCTAGTAAGATATTCACATAATAGGTAATATTTGCTTTTAAACGGTAGTTTACACTTGGTAAATGGTCCCGTATTGGCGAAGTTATGGCTATAAATCTAAATTTATATAAGTCTATTTTTAGGCTGACGTCACTGCACATGCGCAGAGGTGAGGCAGCCATCAAACTTTTGCGAGAGAAAATCACCCGTGATTTGCTCTGCTGTTTCCACTTCAAATGTCGGTATAGTTGACCATCGAGATGCCGGAGCTATCGCATTACTTACAACAGTAAGTGGTGCATCTGCACGGGGTAATGGCGAGATGTCATTCACGATGCTGGTCTCTAAAACCAGGTTTGAAGTTGAGGTTGGGTCTTCCGTGGCTTTTGCAAATGGCGTCATCAGCCTCCCATATTTGCAAGTTTTGATCTCAACCTTCAAACACACATCGTGCCGCAAGTACCTCATGTGGATTGATAGCCTGCACCTCATTTCGAACCAGGATTGATCTAGGGATCAATGTGTCAAAATTGGCAAGTATAACATTGTATTTAGTTTGAATTGTTTGGTGCAAAAGCACACTGAAACTATTTGACCTAGATTTAATATTGGTTTGTGCAAAGGCACATCAGAATTATTTGACCTAGATTTGCTTTGCAAAAGCATATCATAATTGTTTGAGAGAGTTGTTTTGCATTGTTTATGATCAATACTCATATTGACCATCATGTTTGATTAATTCATTGCTAAGGATTAGTTATTACATATGATCATGTTTTGGTACACTGCGTTACTCAGTCTGTTCCGCAGTTCTGAGGTTCTACTCTGCGCAGTTGTACATTACGCAATGTCGGCTATTTGTGATAGTTAGGTCTTAGGTATTATCAGGTTTTGGTACACTGCATTACTCAGTCTGTTCTGAGGTTCTACTCTGTGCAGTTGTACTTATGCAATGTATTTGTTGACAGTCAGATATGGTCATGTCTTGGTACACTGCGTCTATTGAGGGCGTTCCGCGGAACTACCCTGCGCAGCTATATACATTATGTAATGTATATAGTCAGTTTATGGAGTTCAAGTTCTTGTTTGGCAACAGCACTGGATGATTGTGTTGAGTTTAGACACTCATGGAAGCCTGGTCTATTGTCAGTTAGTTTGAACTTGAATTGTCTTATTGTTTGGCAACAGTATTAGATTGTTGTGTTGAGTTTAGACACTCATGGAAGCCTGGTCTATTGTCAGTTAGTTTGAACTTGAATTGTCTTATTGTTTGGCAACAGTATTAGATTGTTGTGTTGAGTTTAGACACTCATGGAAGCTTAGTTCATTATTTAAATCTACTTTGACTTGAATTGTTCATTTATTGTCAAAGTGTCGGTTTAGTCGTAAAGTTGTGAAGTCATATTAGTACCATAGCTTATACATTTTATGCATGTATGGCTTTATCAAAAGCACTGTCAGGCAGTTAGGAAATACCATTTGTTCCATCTTGTGTCATCAATGGGAATACAAGTTGTTGTACCCACATCTATGCTGTGGCATAGAATATTATAGGCTATACCTGGGTATAGCCTATGAGTGGTGTTGTATTACATTAACTTGTGTATACTTTGTATGCGATTCCATCGCATACATCATTGATCGGCATTGACATGCACCGGCATGTTGCGTATAACATACACCCACTTGTTACATGACATGTACCCACTGGATGTGGGATTGCACCCACATGTTACATAACATTAATTTTGACTTGCATGTTACATAATGATTAATGTGCACTCATGTATATATATTGGTATTGCTACTTGGTGTGTCAAACACTATATGTTGTTTAAGTTATTGTTATTAAGTTGTTGATTACTTATGGTACTATTATGTTCAACTCTTGTGTCACCATAACTTGTGATTACTTATAGTAATACCATGGTGATATGTATAGTTGGTCTCACAGATCTTAGTGTTTTGTCAGTGGTCATTATTAGGTTCTTTGTGTCATGTGTTACACATATAGGAGCCAGTTGTAAGTGTACTTATTATTCATTGGTCATTGTTAGGGTATGGTAATACAATATTGCCATTTTTATTCCAATGTTTAGTTGGTAACTTGTAAGTTTGATTTTATGTCATATCGCAAGCTCACAAGAGCTAGTTGTAGGTGTACTTATTATTCATAGGTCATAAAGGTTATGGTGGTAATGCATATTGCAATGTTATGCCTATGTTTATTTAGTAACCAGTTATCCGGTTGTGTCACACACTCTCCCAGGTGAAGGTATTGTTACAGAATTACTTGTGTGTATTTAAAGTGAGTTCCATGCACATGAGCTAATTAATGTAAAGTTATAACATAAGAGTCTTAGTAGACAAGTTACATGTTTCAGTATTAAATGTGATATTAAATGCTGTATATTATGTGACCATGAAGCAAGGATATTAGTTCAGTAGTTACTTTAGATTCATCTTTGTGAGTGTTGTTTGAATGCATGTACTCATTGCTATTTAGTAACAATGTACTACTATTATTCAGGATATTATTCAGGTAGATGGATAATATGGCTATCATTCAAGTAAATAACACTGTACAATTCAGTGTATATTATTCAGGTATATTATGCATATATCATTCAGGTATCACAACATCAAAGGTATTTTTCATATATGTTTTCCACTATGTGTGGGTTTGTTTGCACACTTTGTGTGCCTCACTGTATTACCATGTTGTTCAGTTGTTAATAAACCTTTAATCTTTTAGTTTTATATTTAATTTAACTCATCTGTTTTGTCAGTTAAAGTGTATGTTTTATGTCGCAGCGCGACATATTCCGTCCCTTTGTCATTTTATAAGTCATGTCTGAGGACCCTTGAGAGTATTAACAGGCACAACACGAACCCGGGATTTTAATGCTAACGATTCTTTCACCTCACTTAGCCCTTCCCCTTATTCACGCTACCACTTCTGTTTGCTCTGCACCGCCGTGCGGAGAGAGGGGCGGTGAGGGTCGTTACATCACCATTAATGGACAACTGTGCATATTTAATGACAAAATCAATAGATCTGTAAAACATAGATAAATAATGAACAACCTTTTAATTTCAAGTACAGTAGTCATGATATATTTTCAGGTACAGCTTATCTTTCTCCGAGAAAATAAAAAATTTCAAAATGATAAAAAAAATACTAAAATCAACAGGAAACAAACGCAAAGCAAATGGCAAAAATGTCTGGTTACTGGACATATGTCTAATGTTACCTTGGCAACAGATATCTCAGCAACAACTGTATATTCACTAAATGTACTTGTACCCATGAAGTGGAACACCTCCTGGCCCTTGCATGTGAACCTGGTGGTGCCATCTGGCATCTGCCCCTGGCCTTGAGTAGTCCTAAAAATCCACCAGACAATACATGTCAATACATTGGTACCCTGAACTCATTAGCTAATAATGTATAGTACTCTTTGATTAACATTTTACAGTTTCACATTCTACCAATCAGAAGTACAAAAGAGCCCCTTATATTAACATGTTAAGACAAACTGTACTGTATAGAAGTGATAGAGCTCTCTCCTCTGAAAGATGTGAAAATTTAACTCTCTAGAGTGATTAGTTACTCAGAAATGTCCTTATGGTTTACATCATTCATAGATCACATTGTATATGGGTAAGTCCACCATCTTAAATGTGAATCTTGGCTCATAGTAATTTTTGCCAAAAGTATCCTTTGGGCTTTCAAAATTAATTTTTGCCACGAGATAAGAAAAAGAAGTTATAAAATTATATATAAAATGTTAAACCATCAATAATTGAGGTATTAGAATAAGGAGATATCAGACTGACCTAATTTTACCACATAAGTTTGTCTTGGGGCTGTTGCAGAATTTACAATTCTTACACTGAGGAATGTACAGTGGGATCACATGGTCACCTGAAAATTGTATTCACTTCCTTATAATGCCATTTACTAGTATGTGCAATGCATACAATATTATACAAATCATCTGTTATGATGATTAAAGATACAAAACTGAAAATAGATAAGATCAGAAAGAACTGTAAAGCTTAAAAACAGCACAATAATTATGAAATATTTGGACAAAATCAAATAAAAAAGTTTTTACTGAGATATAAGTTTAGGGACAGAATCGTCACCCTATATCTCTTTTCCGCCTTAAGGTGATTTCATTTGATCCTAATGCTACTTTAATTTGCAAATATCTGATAAGATCACCTACCTGGTTGAACAGATGTGACTCCCTCCCCCACACTCTCCACAATTCCACCACCTTCATGGCCTAGAATCACAGGGAATTTACCCTCCGAATCAAAACCATCCAAGGTGTACGCATCTGTGTGACACACCCCTGTTGCTGTAACCTTAAATAGTAATAAGATGGACATGTCATAAGAATTTCAATGTATTTTGAAAAAAATATACTGTGATATATTGTGATACTGTGACTTAGGCCCTTGCTTAATACGCAAGATATTCACTGATTCCGAACTCAAATTGTTTGAGCTCATACAATGTAGGGGAGTTAAAATTATCTAAAGTTGTAAGCCATAAGTTCTTTTCAGTTGTTGAAACTATAAATGTCTTTAAAGCTCTTGGAAGGTAGTACTTTTATTTTTTTATTCCACCCTGAAGGTCCAGCGGCATCGAACCATATTTTTAAAAGGGTGCGTGTCTCAGAAAATATAGATGGCACAATAAATGGTTGCATGGCGAAAGGCAGCAAATCTCGGGGGTCCTGAGCATGCTCCCCCAAGAACAATTTTTTTGTAATTGAAGATTATTTGGTAAAATCGGAGCACCCCCTTTCTGATGCCCAGGTGGTCTTACCTTAATTCTAACTTCCCCAGCTTTAGGTGGGGCTACCTCTACAGTCTCAATGACAAGTGGTTTCTTGGGCTCCCAGGCTACAGCAGCATTGCATGTGATCGTCTAGAAATAAATAAGATAACATTATTTTATAACATTCATAATTATTCTCAAGTTAAAATGATATATGATGTTCCATAATGTTGAGCATCATTCAGTCACGTGATCTATACTAGTAAGTTTTAAACACTACTTAGCTTACATATTGTTCATGTAACAGTCAGTTAGTTTCTTAAAGTGGTTTTCGAGAGCCTGGCATTCAATTAACTCATTGGCCGCATTGTGTTGGAAGTAATTAAGAGAATAACAGTACACCATTGGAGTAGCTACATGTACACGCAAAGTATACATGTTCATACTCTCAAATTTTCTAACAGAAATAATATATTCTAGATTTATGATCAATAGAGTATATGTACCATAGACTTGTGCTACTTGCCCTTTCCTTGATAGTCACAGAGGTCCTAAAGAACAGAACTAAGAGTTGAAGTTCAAAATCTAATCACAGGTAATTTGCCAAATGGTTGAACATGGGAAATTGGCTGAACAGATTCAAAGCTAGTAATACTAAGCTCCAAATTGAAATGACACGTTGGAGTTAGTCATGAATGGGAATAGATTAGGCCTAGCAAAAATAGATGTCACAGGGAACATCCCCACTTCACTATTTCAGTCACAGAGGTCCTAAATGCATCTATGTACAATTATGACACATCGCGACAACACTAGACCAGTCCAGGCCCCTAGCCAGGGGGAGCGGAGGGAGTGGCCTGAAATTCTTTCAAAATCATGCAGTTTTTCACCATTCTGAGCACTTTTCCCATGATTTTTTACCAAAAATTGTAAAAAAGCTCCCCCCCCTTTAGCAAAAGCTGCTCCTTGGTAAACCGCTCCCCCTGGTAAATCCTGACCACGGGCCTGTAGTCTATTCTCTGTGTTGTATTGGAAGCCCATGATTGAACTCAGAAAATAATGATCTCTTTCAGCTAGTCTTTGCATTACCATAGGCTCTCTTGAAAGCCCATGGCATTACCATTCATAAGCTTTCAATGGTCCATGCCATTTGGTACCTACATTGGCTGGCATTCATTGGATTAGGCTACACCACAGGAACCTGTATCAACACATGACAATGACATTTATTGGTGACCCTATTGGTGACCAAACCCTGGAAATAACCCTTTATCTCTTACAAGAGATATACTTCAAGGTTCTGTCACCAACAGATGTCACTGTCAGGTGTTGAAGTAGGCTCCTGTGGCCTAGACTTTATCAAATGGTTTGAAGCATTCAAACATGATGTTTATGCCATGTTTTAGTCCATTTGATGCCTGGAATATTCATGGATCTATACAACTGATTTCAACCGAGGTGTCCTCTGTTATAGCATGCAAATGACAATTAAAAACGCCCACCTTTCCTACAGTGTCTGCCATTTTTGTCTATGGTGAAGAAGGAGGTCAAAGTTCAGAAGTACATGTAGATCTACCAGTTATGCATTTTGATCTGTTGCACGGAAAGATAATCTCCAATGTATGTATTGATTCGTACACAGTACAAAAAAGGGTATAAGTGAATACAATAATAGTAAATTCAGGGGGAACAGTTAGACATCGACGGGATGAACTTACCTGTAATCAAACTGTCTGCTTTGGAGTCACTGGCTATTTTAGCCTCGATTTCAAATGTAGGTCAAGGCCATCAAAATGGCAAGTGTTGAAAATTCTCGTGTTTGCGATACAAATGGCTGTGATAAGGAGGCTAAAATGCAATGCCCAACATGTATTAAACTGGGTATAGAGGGATCATTTTTCTGCTCACAGGTAGGATTTTGAGTCATTATATTCTATAGGATAAGAGAAATCGTATCTAAAATTTAGAAAAAAAATTTTCTCGACCTGATTCTATCTACAGTTGGGGACATAAATAAATGACAGGTGGATTTGCTGAAGTGAGGATTTCCCATGTTAAAAATAAGAGAATTTACAAGAGGCCATAAATCAGCGGATGAGGTTATACAAAATGTAAAATATACAAATTTTAAGGGATATGTATCTAGACAATATTGGAAATTATGGGCTTTCAGACCACCATAATTAGGAAATGGTGATCGAAAATCGACCTGTCATTTATTTTTGTCCCCAACTGTAAGGACAAAATAAGGAATAAGGCACGGACATCTAATACGCAGTTCTTCGAACTGCCCTGGAACTATATCTATACCAGGACTGGCATCCAGATCCAAGTATTTTTTAAGACCGCCGGCTCTCGTTGGGCTATTTATCCCTATTGACTCAGTTGTTCATATAAATTTACGTACCTTAGATGCTTTGTAATCGACGTAGATAGAAAATATTGTTTCCTAAATTGTTCTGGAAAGCGATTATTATAACTAAATGTACTTTGAACAGGTCGACTGACAAAAAAGCCGGACTTCTGGCACGTCTCGTTCTCGCTCTCAAACAAAACGTGAAGAACGTGACGTCACTTCCGAATCATAGCATTCAAAATAAGTAGCGTTTAATTCCCAACACCATATGTAATATAACGGTGGTCTAGGGGGAGAATCCTCGCTTAGCACGCTGGAGGTCCGGGTTCGAATCCCATACTCGCTCTTTTGTTTTTTTTCGAGGTCTTTATCTTCATCGTCTAGTTTACGAATACCAAATGTCGATGTGATGTTTTAATTGATAAATACAAATTCCTTACATATTTCGTTATCTTATTGTGAAATAGCAAACTAAGAGATATCTTTACTCGCTAGGAATTAACATAATATTATTTGAAGCGATTTTAGAAAATTTTGAAACCGCCATCTTGGTAATATTGATGACGTGATCACCATCGGTCAAGGTCAGGTCAAAAGTCATCCATCTTGCCATTTGCCCGGCGTTTTCTTACCAGTCGACAAAAAACGATGAAATCACGTTGAAAATAAAATATACACTTTAAAATTGAGGCTGATCGAATATGACAAGACTCCATTGAATACAGCTGTGCAATTTACAGTCACCAAGATGAGCTAATTTCGGAGAGATTCGGGAATTGAAAAAGGTAAGCCCTTCCGGTTTCCCAACTTCAAAGTGTTTGAAATCCCAGAATATTCGCCAGAAACATTCTCTCTGACTGTGGAATAAGGATTGAAAAAGTTCTAAGCATTCTAACGATCCTTGATAACATGTTGCTACTACTGCCCAGCTGTAGTGGCTTAGCCTTTATAACTCTCCGTAGAGCATCAGACTTTGGGTCCAAAGGTCCTAGTTTCGATTCCCACACGGGGCATTGAATTTAGCACTGTTACTTTCAATTTCTTTATCTGGCTTGTTACGCTATGCTCGTTAGTAAGTCATACCCCTGGGACGCCCTCGGGGCATAAAATTGGTGTCAGATGTGGGATCAAAGCATTGGTTGTATCATTTCTGCTGTGTGTGCGGTAAGTCACTGCTAGCAGGGCTGACCCAAGGGCGTGGTCCTTTCAAAGGGGGATCATGTAACGACCCTTGATAATAAGTTGCCACTCGACCCAGCTGTAGTGGCTTAATTAAGATCAGGCTGCATGTTCAGAATTTCGCTGCAACCATCAATAGGGTCACATGTTATTTTTCAAATTTGAATCACTTCTTCCCCACAATGTCTACATCTCTCACTTTTGCACAACGAGTGCACTCAAACATTATTCAGATGCTGTCCGACAGTTGAAAATCCATTTATTTTCTCATTTGGCCGTATTCTTAAGTTTTCCCCCCATATATAATAAATTTGGCCCATGACTTATCTACACCTCCTACCTTTCGTCAGAGAGTTGGGTAGAATTATGTCCAATTACATTTTCATATTCTTAATCCTCTAAATTTAAAAATGGTGGATGATTCAAAAAAATTACATGACATGACAAGTCATTATATTTTGTAAACTTGACCATCATACCTGAGATTGTTAATTACATTTATTACATCATGTGAAATTACACTGACTAGGCAAATAGGCACACATTTGACTTCAAAAAATAAGTCATATAAATATGAGTAAGTAGACCAAATAATTCGATTTGAGGCATTTGAACTTTTTCTAAAAATTGATTTTTTGACTGTCAGACAGAAACTGAAAAATATTATAATGTACCAAGAAAAGAATGTAAAGTAGAATGTTTTGATAAAATATATAAAAAACAAGAAAATTTGAATGAAAAAATTTGCTGAATATATCCTTAATTTTTTCACTGAATTTTCTCATTTTCTATACATTTTACAAAACAAATCTTCTCACCAGTTTTTTCTAGGCACATAAGAACACTCTTTGTGCAAAACTGAAAGATGTAGACAGTATGGGGGAGGAGTGATTCCTGTTTGAATAATAACATGTGACTCAATTGAGGAATGCAGAAAAATTCCAAACATGCACCCTGGCAACATGTCTTTATATCTCAGTAGCTCTGTCATCATGATTGGTTGCTCTGTCCCCCGGCTCTGTCCACATTGTCTATGTAAATCAATTATTGCCATAACCAAAGCTTTCTATGAACCCCATAACACATGGATTTTTGATCAATGTTATTATTGCAGTATCATTTTCAATTTCAGGAATGTTTCAAGGAGTTCTGGGGTGAACACAAGAAGGTGCACAAAAAAGCAAGTAAGTAGATTGCTTAATAGTAGTCACATTTTTATTCTTCCTTACTCAGGAATGTGTCTTTATACTATTGCTAGATAGACTTTCAGCTGTTTTAATGATGTGCTTTACCGAAACCAGTTTGAAATTCATATATTTATTAGTCTTAGCATTGCCTTAAAACTGTATTAAAGCTTAACAATGGCCTTGAAATTATAAAAAATTTTATTAACTAAGTTTGTTTATCTAGGAATACATGTACATGTAGCTTTCAAAACTTGTTCAGCAAAATGCCTTAAAACTGCATGTCAGGCATGTTAAATTTCAAACAAATATCAACCACCATTTTTTCAGAGAAGCAGGGTGCGGGAGAGCCTGCGAACTACAACCCATGGCCAGGTTACATTTTCACTGGTTCACTGAGGCCTTACGCTGTGGTCAGTTACAATATTATTATAATGTTGCATACATTTATCTTGCTTTGAATAGCCTATACTAAGTCATTCAAAAAGTTTTACGACTTTTTCAGTGTTAAGAAACCTACTTCATTTGACTTTGTATTGTTTTTGGCTCACACAGTGAGCCTATGGGATCGACCAGGCGTCCGTCCATCCATTGGTCCGTCCGTCTGTTGGTCCGTCCGTCTGTCAACATTGGCCGCACAAATTGAAACTGCTATTCGGATTGAGTCATATCCACATTCATTTTATGCATATCCATAATGCCTATTTGACCTATCATCGCCATTTCCCAGGTTCGCCGGTTTCTGAGAAATTGCTGATTTTGACGTCAAAAAGTCAAATTTTCTGTAAATACTAGTCACTTTGTTGAAGGAAGAACTTTCAAATAACTTGTAGTAGTTGCTTTATATGCAAATTATGTCCTCTGAAGATTTCAAAGCTCTTGGAATTACAGTTCTTGGTGTTAACTCTATAAAATTTGACAAAAAGCAGGACTTTGTAGGAGAAAAGAAGTAATTTTCAGGAAACTTTCTCATGTATAAAGTCAATGGCAGGTTTTGTGATTGACAAGTTTCTCAAAGTTTGCCTTATACTTGATCATTTCTTGCAATGAATTACATCATTACTAGATTTAAGCATTCCCTACATATTGCTCAAAATATGTCAGCATCAAATTTTTACCTTTTTGAGATATTTGACGTCGAAAAACAGGAAAAATAAGTTATTTTTCAACTTGCTTCAATTTGACCAATTTTTTTCTGAAAATCATCTACAAGTTGCCAGGAGTTCAAATCTGACATTAGTTTTAGGATTTGACCTTTACTTGACCTTCAGTGACCTTCGAAAGGTCCAAAAAGTTGATTTTTCAAATTGATTTTTGGATGTAAATTTTGGTCAGCTTAATCACAAAAGACTTTAATGAGCTTTGAATTAGTAAAATTTTCAAGGTCAAAGGTCATCAAACCAGGTCACACAACTGTGCTATCTAAGTCTCAAAGTTCGAGACTACAAATCCAAATCAATATTTTTGTTTGAAAGTCAGGAGAAAGTCAGTACATTCCTCTGAAGGTTCCAAACTGTGTGAGCACAGGACTGTGAGTCCTTTATTGTTCATAACAACATAAGACAATATCCAAAAATAGGCAGAAAAGAATATTGATAATTTGATATGTGTATAAAGCTATACTCAGACTTTTTGAATGACCTACACTGGTTCTTTCAAACTGGCTTGGAACAATTGAATAACAAGGATAAGTTTTATTTTTGACTTGTTACCTAAACTATTTTAAAAACATAATTTTTAGTTGTTGTTATATGACAGAAAATCATGTAACGTTTACATGTACTTTTAGTCTCCAAAAAGACCAGTGCCAGATCACATCAGGAGGCCAGACTATGCAAACCACCCTGAAGGTAATACATTACAATGTATTTGTTAGTGCATCCTATGTTACATGAATGGCAGACTCTGGTTCTTTGCTTTATACAATTTTCAGTTGTGTTCTCCTATATTTTTGTATCTGCTGTATGCTAGTATATTAATTCTCAGTTTTCTTATTTTGGGCTAGATATAAAAATTCTTAACTATGAAGATTCATAAGTCCATAAAGAGTGGTTACCAAAATGCACTCCTGAAGAAATGTTCAAAATGGGCCCAAATATTTCAATATTGTAGTCTCCTATTTTTGTGGACATATTCGATGTTTGGCAGTTAGTGTTTGGCATTCGGCATCCATCACATATGGCAGGTAGTGACATTTCCATATTAAGACCATCATATGTTTACATTGTAGGCTTCCCTCTGACAGAACAGAAGCAGAAGGGCTCTGCATATATCAGACCTCTATTCCATGTTAAGACCATCATATGTTTACATTGTAGGCTTCCCTCTCACAGAACAGAAGCAAAAGGGCTCTACATATATAAGACTTCTATTCCATGTTAAGACCATCATATGTTTACATTGTAGGCTTCCCTCTGACAGAACAGAAGCAAAAGGGCTCTACATATATCAGACCTCTATTCCATGTTAAGACCATCATATGTTTACATTGTAGGCTTCCCTCTCACAGAACAGAAGCAAAAGGGCTCTACATATATCAGACCTCTATTCCATGTTAAGACCATCATATGTTTACATTGTAGGCTTCCCTCTGACAGAACAGAAGCAAAAGGGCTCTACATATATAAGACCTCTATTCCATATTAAGACCATCATATGTTTACATAGTAGGCTTCCCTCTCACAGAACAGAAGCAGAAGGGCTCTACATATATCAGACCTCTATTCCATATTAAGACAATCATATGTTTACATTGTAGGCTTCCCTCTGACAGAACAGAAGCAAAAGGGCTCTACATATATAAGACCTCTATTCCATATTAAGACCATCATATGTTTACATAGTAGGCTTCCCTCTCACAGAACAGAAGCAGAAGGGCTCTACATATATCAGACCTCTATTCCATATTAAGACAATCATATGTTTACATTGTAGGCTTCCCTCTGACAGAACAGAAGCAAAAGGGCTCTACATATATAAGACCTCTATTCCATGTTAAGACCATCATATGTTTACATTGTAGGCTTCCCTCTGACAGAACAGAAGCAAAAGGGCTCTACATATATAAGACCTCTATTCCATGTTAAGACCATCATATGTTTACATTGTAGGCTTCCCTCTGACAGAACAGAAGCAAAAGGGCTCTACATATATAAGACCTCTATTCCATGTTAAGACCATCATATGTTTACATTGTAGGCTTCCCTCTCACAGAACAGAAGCAAAAGGGCTCTACATATATAAGACCTCTATTCCATATTAAGACCATCATATGTTTACATTGTAGGCTTCCCTCTCACAGAACAGAAGCAGAAGGGCTCTACATATATAAGACCTCTATTCCATATTAAGACCATCATATGTTTACATTGTAGACTTCCCTCTGACAGAACAGAAGCAAAAGGGCTCTACATATATCAGACCTCTATTCCATATTAAGACCATCATATGTTTACATTGTAGGCTTCCCTCTCACAGAACAGAAGCAGAAGGGCTCTACATATATAAGACCTCTATTCCATATTAAGACCATCATATGTTTACATTGTAGACTTCCCTCTGACAGAACAGAAGCAAAATGGCTCTACATATATCAGACCTCTATTCCATATTAAGACAATCATATATTTACATTGTAGTCTTCCCTCTGACAGAACAGAAGCAGAAGGGCTCTGCATAAATCAGACCTCTATTCCATATTAAGAGAATCATATATTTACATTGTAGGCTTCCCTCTCACAGAACAGAAGCAGAAGGGCTCTACATATATCAGACCTCTATTCCATATTAAGAGAATCATATATTTACATTGTAGGCTTCCCTCTGACAGAACAGAAGCAAAAGGGCTCTACATATATCAGACCTCTATTCCATATTAAGACCATCATATGTTTACATTGTAGGCTTCCCTCTCACAGAACAGAAGCAGAAGGGCTCTACATATATAAGACCTCTATTCCATGTTAAGACCATCATATGTTTACATTGTAGGCTTCCCTCTGACAGAACAGAAGCAAAAGGGCTCTACATATATAAGACCTCTATTCCATGTTAAGACCATCATATGTTTACATTGTAGGCTTCCCTCTGACAGAACAGAAGCAAAAGGGCTCTACATATATCAGACCTCTATTCCATGTTAAGACCATCATATGTTTACATTGTAGACTTCCCTCTCACAGAACAGAAGCAAAAGGGCTCTACATATATCAGACCTCTATTCCATATTAAGACAATCATATATTTACATTGTAGTCTTCCCTCTGACAGAACAGAAGCAGAAGGGCTCTGCATAAATCAGACCTCTATTCCATATTAAGAGAATCATATATTTACATTGTAGTCTTCCCTCTGACAGAACAGAAGCAGAAGGGCTCTGCATAAATCAGACCTCTATTCCATATTAAGAGAATCATATATTTACATTGTAGGCTTCCCTCTCACAGAACAGAAGCAGAAGGGCTCTACATATATCAGACCTCTATTCCATATTAAGAGAATCATATATTTACATTGTAGGCTTCCCTCTCACAGAACAGAAGCAAAAGGGCTCTACATATATAAGACCTCTATTCCATGTTAAGACCATCATATGTTTACATTGTAGGCTTCCCTCTGACAGAACAGAAGCAAAAGGGCTCTACATATATCAGACCTCTATTCCATGTTAAGACCATCATATGTTTACATTGTAGACTTCCCTCTCACAGAACAGAAGCAAAAGGGCTCTACATATATCAGACCTCTATTCCATGTTAAGACCATCATATGTTTACATTGTAGGCTTCCCTCTGACAGAGCAGAAGCAGAAGGGCTCTACATATATCAGACCTCTAGATGACCAGGAACAGGAAGATCTGAGAGTAGCATGCAAGGTGAGACTCATTCGGAAGCTGTGTATAATCATATTGGGTGTTTAAGTTAACTTCGCTTATTGCAGGCTTAAGAACAGCCTGATTTTATTTAAAATCAAAACAAAACTTGGTAGTGTGTCTAAGTGTAAGTTACAGATACTGTTACAGATATCTATTCAGTTTCATTTTACCCAAATCCTGTTCAAGTATGGCATATGTTATCTATGTCAACCTTTTTCCAGCATGTTTAGGAATTTAATGTGACAACCAGTTCTACCAATTCAGTTCTGACCAGCATATTCAAATATTATGACATGGACTGTTCCCTACTCTTATTGTAGCTTGGCAGAGAAGTCTTAGATGAGGCTGTCAAAGCAGTAGGGGTTGGTGTCACTACAGAGGAAATAGATAGAATTGCTCATGAGGTAGGTATGTTTGTTTAACTTGTATGCAGACAAGGACTGATTAGGGTTCAGTAATGTTCATATCCATTAAAATTGAAAAATATTAATAGGGCATCTACTATTTTTGCCAGATCAAATGATCTCCTGAAATAAACTTGTAAAAATACTTTTTAAAATAGGTGTGGCATGGCATGATGAGAAAAAAATCGGGACACTTTTTCCAAACTTACTCTCAACTTGTATCCCTTCAGTCCCTTTAACAAGATCATTTGCCCCCTGTCAGTCATTTGAATGTAGTGGTGTTTATTAAAGAAAAAAAAAACTGCATGCATCTAGGCGTGTTATAAGTTTTTACTTGACTATTGTAATTTCCATCTCTAAACTTTATAATTAAGATGCCTTTCAAGAAAATGAACATTAATGCAAGTTCATAACTCTTTTGTACAATTAATATATAGGCGTGTGTAGACCGTGATTGCTACCCATCTCCATTGAACTACTACACTTTTCCAAAGTCCTGCTGTACATCGGTGAATGAGGTGATCTGTCATGGAATTCCAGATGGTCGACCTCTACAAGATGGCGATATATGTAATAGTATGTAGTCATTTGTTTTATTAACTCACAGTATTTTTGATTGTGTAAATAGTAAATACCATTGTCTTTAGACAATTTTCCATTTAGAAAGTGGTTGCTCTTTTAATACATGTAAGAGTCGTATGTGTAGATACTTGGAACCATGATGCATTATTTTTGGCAAATTGCCCAATACATTATTTATTTGGATGGAAAAAGTTGATTAAATTGAATCATATTTGTAACATTGTTAAATCCTTGAAATCTGTGTTTGAACTAAGCAACACACTAATACTCATCATTTTGATTTTTCAGTTGATGTCACAACATATTTTAGAGGTTTCCATGGTGATTTAAATGAGACTCTTTTTGTTGGCAATGTTAGTGAGGCCAGCAAGAAACTTGTTAAAGTCACATATGAATGCTTAGACAATGCAATTAAAATGGGTAAGTAAAGTGCTGAAGATATATATACGAAAAGCAAATAAATTGAAACAAACTAATGAGACAACTTTACTGTACTTTTTCTCATAAAAATGAGAAAACATAAATATAATTTTGAAATATATTTGTACAGTCTCCCATAATGTTATAATAATTATAGTTACTTTGAGAATCTGGCAATAACATACAGTAGTACAATTTTTGAGCTGGTTCACATAAAACATGGACATTGCACCACTTCTTCATTAAGCTACACATGATGTACAGTACAATGCATGCACATGTATTTGTATGTATTTTCAGTCCATCCAGGTGTTAGGTACAGAGATATAGGTAATGAAATACAAAAACATGCTCAATCCAATGGTTTCTCTGTTGTTAGGAGCTACTGTGGTCATGGAATAAATCAGTAAGTTTTGCAAATATTTTCTGCTGAAACATTGGAAATTAGATAGGACAATTTGTCTATTGAATATAATGTATGCTATTCTAGACAACTATTAGGTACTCCATTTATGATATAATTTATTGAGTTTTGAGTCGTTCAACATTCAAAATGCCTTATACCCCCTACTGGAACAATAATTAGTGTGTTGCTATGACTACATATATACGTTGTAAAATTCATTTTGATTGGTATTTCCTTAACCAGGCTATTCCATACTCAACCTAGAGTACCTCATTATGCCAGTAAGTCGAATCCTGAATTATAAATTCAGAGTATCTCAAGACAAAATAGACCATTTCTGTATACAATTCTGCGGGTATGATTGGGAGATGGTCTTTTGTCTATGTATTCTACTGCATGGCATGTTCCTAAAAAGAATTCTATCAATTCTTCCTAAAATACTAGACCATATAATAAAGTATTCAAAACATCTTGAACTTGGTTGTTCTGGTCAAGGTACTAAATAAAAGGCCTCATAAAATAAATTAAAAGATGTACATTTTTTCTTAACATCAAAATTTTCGAGCAAAATTTGATTATTACCATTCCAATAAATCTGAATAAAGAATTCTATACAATATTTTAGGAATTTGATAGAAGTTCTAATATTCTGTTATTATTGTTACAGCTCATATTATTTGTAGCTGTTATTGTTGTAGTTCACCTGTTATTGTAGTGGATTGTTCTGTTGTAGATTGTTCCATACTGCACCTAATGTCCCGCATTATGCCAGTAAGTACACATGCAAATCCGTTTTCCTACTCACCTTTCTCTGGATTATTTCTGCAAAATGTGTCTCTTAGTATTTGAGGAATAGTATATCTGTAACTTATAGAGTCCTTGTTTCTTTTCTTAACGTTGCATTGCATCAATCCCTCTCATTGCATTCTCCAATTCTCGCACTCAATCATTCATTTAATTGCTAATTCGGGCATTCCTGTTTCCAGCATGTAAAAATGTAAAAAAAAGAATGTTCTATAATGTGTGTGTTATGCTTGATACTTACTGTGCATTACTCTGCATTATACCTAGTTCAACAAGTTAAACCCAATACCACAGCTTTCATTTATAATCTGAGCGTTCTTGTTGCCGTGGTTGGGTTTAACTTCCGTGCTATGCTTTCATTGGTTGCAAATTCTCACTATCAGTTATTAATAGAATGCGCATAGAATTCTATTCGCTGCCATAGGCCATGATTACAATTTTTTGCATCAAGGGCCGAATAGGCACGGATGTTAAACCTAGGGCGGGCCACAAGAAATGTCAGATAAGAAATAAGGCCCAGACTAGGTTTAATTTGTTGAACTACATTATACCATGCTTTTCATGTATAATTGACATTGTATTATAGTGTAAAATACCTTAATTATCTGATATCATGTCAATTCCAATACAGACATTTGGGCATCTTTGACCGGGATTGTTCTTGTTAATAATCCTAACTTTACAATACTAGTGGTATCTGATACAGAGAGTAACTTTTCCCAAAATTGTGCCCCAGTATAAGTTTTCACTTTCAAATCTTTCTATGAAATGAATCACTCAATGTGCCGATGCTAATGATTAAAAGTATATTATTATTATTTTATAGAAAATAAAGCTGTAGGAGTGATGAAACCTGGTCATACATTCACTATAGAACCTATGATAAATGAAGGTAAAGTACTGTCTCATATTTCATACTGAATTCTACATGTATTCACATTTGTTAACCTCTTGAATCCCAGTCTCTAAAATCTGTTGAAACCAGAGAATTTTTCATTTTTGCCACCTTTTGATATTTAACTACATATACAACTTTAGATGCTCAACTTAGTAAAATCAGACGGCGGGGATCATTTTTACAAATTCTAAAACAAGTTTTGTTTAAATTGGATGAAAATTGTTCAAATAAGAGCAATTTTAGTGAAAAATTTTGTGACGGATTTTCTCGTCACCCTGGGTTTCAAGGTCATTTCTGAGGTGACAAGATATCTCGTCACTCCGGGTAGTCAAGAGGTTAAATAGAGGTAGATGTTTCAAGATCATTCATTCACTAAGTACTGCAAGAATCTATTGAATTCAGAAAAATTGCCCTTTCAAAAATAATTTTTCAGAAACATGGTTGGGTGTAGCAATTGATTCAGTGTAGAGGTTTGGTGCAAAACCATTGAGATAACCTCTATTGAAACATGATATTGTAACTTATATTTAGAGTTTTATGTTAGCAAAACATCATTCATGAGCTATTACAATGGAGGTCCTTAATAGCAGTTTATGTATATTGTGGAATGGCTCTTCATGTTTGAGATGTGTATCATCTAGCTACTGACTGAGAGCTGTCAATGATATGCAAAACTCTTCAATTGTCTTTTTCATTTCAAATGTGTTACAATATGTTGTCATATATATTGTTATGTACATGTATATATTATGTATATATTGTTAGATATTTCAAACTATAATTTTACAACATGGAACATCGTGATGACAAAATTCAAAACAAATGATGACAAAATTCAAAACAAATGATGATGAAATTCAAAACAAATGATGATAAAATTCAAAAAAAATGATGAATGATGACAAAATTCAAAACAAATAATGATGAAATTCAAAAGAAATAATGATAAAATTCAGAACAAATTATGATAAAATTCAATACAAATGATGACTTTTTGTGTTATGACATTATTCTCTATTCACCTTCTTAGATTGACACATTTCATATTTTCCAGGTGTGTGGCGTGACAAAACTTGGCCCGATAATTGGACCTCGGTAACAGAGGACGGCAAGAGATCTGCACAGTTTGAGCAAACATTACTAGTGACTGAATCAGGCTGTGATATATTAACTAAAAGATTAGATGGACAGCCTCATTTTATGGACTCTTTATAATGTGTTGGTTGTTGTTGGAATATTACAGTGGCATTTGAAGCATCTGAAATAGAACAAGAGGTTTTATACATATTACACATTGTCTGATGTTTCTTTAGTGTTTGACTGTATAAGAAATTTCCCTTTCCAGAGCATTCTTTCAAAAACTTTTTAATTCATTGTTACCATATAAACTGTAATACACCTGATTCAATACTTTTTATGTCATCACCACAAATGATGTAACCCAATATGGCATCTATAATCTATACTGTATATGGCTATTGGTTCCAGATCCCTCTTGCCTTCTTTTCAACAATACAATGAGTGTACATGATCATTGAGTTTCTGTTATAAAAATAAAAAACAAGCCTGTTATTCAACTTTGCACATCACTGAGGGTGGGATAATAATTATAAGTAGTTGTAAAATGTCATCCCCTGGTTGTCTATGATATTCAAGATCTGGTTGGAAGATTAGATTTTTATGTCGCCACCAAAAAGTGGTGACATATTGTTATGGTCTCCATTTTTTTGACAGCGGTTGGTGGTTGGCAATCGGTGTCTGTAACAAATTCTTACAACTTCCAATAACTTAACAAATATTGTTTAGCAATTTTGTTTGAATCATCTACAAGTTCTCAGAAGTTCAAATCTGACTTTATATTTAAGATTTGACCTTCAATGACCTTTTCAAGGTCAGAAAGGTCTTTTTTCAATTTGCTTCAAATTGACCAATTTTTTTTCAAAATCATCTACAAGTTATCAGAAGTTCAAATCTGATTTGAGATTTGATCTTCAATGACCTTCCCAAGGTCAAAAAGGTCAAAAGGGTCTTTTTTCAACTTGCTTCAAATTGACCAATTTTTTTTCAAAATCATCTACAAGTTCTCAACAGTTCAAATCTGACTATAGATTTGACCTTCAATGATTTTCGCAAGGTAAAAAAAGATTTGACCTTCAATGACATTCTCAAGGTCAAAAGGTTTTTTGGTTTTTTTAATCCTTCAGTATATCCTAATTTGCCATGTTTTAAGTTCTCATTTATAGCTGTAAATCTAATCATAAATAACCCTAAGATATATTTAATTCATAATCTGATAATGAAATGTAAAAAGACTTGGCTAATAAACTTTTTCTGAAAATATAAATGTTATAAAATATCTTGCAATTATCATGACAAGTTCCAAATTGAAAAACTACTTGCGCCTTTTTCAATTTTAAAGGCAATTTATTCATTTTCTCATTAATGATTTTTAGCTTCATATAATGTTAGTTACATATCATGAATTAAATAAAAATAATTTTATGCAATGTTATTAAAGATGATAATCTCAGATATTAGCCTTTAAAACATGTTGAATAATTGTCTAATTTGTTGTTTTAGAAATGTTACTTCAATTTTACCATGATACTTGAAGCGAACATGAAATATTACCTGCAACTGTTAAATCAAATGTCCTCTTTAAGGCCAGAGGCACGAATAGTAGTCATTAAGCGTAATGATTAGAGGCACATTTAGGATACAATATAACACACTTTCACAATTATTAATTCCAAATGTCCTTAAATTTATAATTTTAAATCATGTAGATACTTAATTGATACTTAAGATACTAAATTACAATCAATCATCAATATGAAACTACAAATTCAGCTTTTATGAGTGCTCACTTCAAATGAATGTAACAAATCTGCAGATTTACAGTATATGGCTATTTTACAAGAACACTGATAGATACATTTTTAACAATATTTTAAATACTAAAATACTTTGGACTTTCTGAAATTAGTATGATTTTTATGACATTTTAAGGGATGATTATATCAATACATGTAAACTTAAGCTAGAATTTTTAAAGAAAAGTTATGGTGCTCAATTATTCATACATAGTCACAATATTACATTATTCCTGTCTCTTAAATACAGAATATTAATCATTTCAATCCTAAATGCATCCTCAATGGCACGTGGTAGTTTAATAGGCACAAATACTCTTCATTACCCTTACAGTAATTTCAACTTAAAATTATGATAATATTTCATATTTCTCTAGAAACTTTGAAAAACTTGAAAAACAATTTGGGCACTTCTGTTGATTTGCCTATTCAGTTTTTGTTTTTTCTGAAATGTCTTTTTGTTTTTACACTTTTCCTGGTTCATGGGAGGAAAGGTGTGACATGGGATAGTTTATGGAGGAATCTGTCTCATCTCTCCCTGATACACCTGGATGTAATTATCATTAAACTTGATTAATACTATCATTAATTAAATTTATTATTTTCCATAATCAACTCATCATTCCAAGGATTCTTCTATGCTGTTAAATTTTATGTTTTAATCATTTGGAATGTTAATGCTGAAGATATAGGAGGGGAAAAATGTTTGGAATGACTTAAATATTTTCAGAGAAATTCTTAGTACCAGTTTACTTTAATCCTCAGTTTGATATTTGGTTACTATAGTAACCATCAGTTGTCATGGCAACAGAGAAAGCTCAACAGTTTTTCCTGGCATGGCTCATGGTATTTGGAGCACTGGAGAATACTACATATAGCCAAGGGCCAAAGTCACTTGACCACATCAAAAGTAAGTATTGAAATCATTCATTAACATATACATCATAGCTTAATATGTACATTTTGTAAGTGAAGGAATCAAGGATACATTAGCTCATCATGAAGTTTTCTGGAAACAGGAATGACCAAATGTTTTTTTTATCAAATCTCAGAAGTTTACCAATCTTCATTCAGGTTAAATAAATGAACATACATGTACAGACTACAGAAAAAGAAAACCATTGATTTTTATGTCACCGCAGTTTTTTAAAAGTCTCCAATTTTTTTGTGTCTGTGGTTGGCGTTCAGAGTCTGACATCTGTAACAAATGGCAGTTGGTGACATTTTGCATGTAATTGCTGTGTTTTCAATATACTGCCACTTGGAAAATGTCTAATTGATTAAATTTCAAATGTGTTTTAGAGGGCTTACTATCCAGACAAGGTGTTGGTTACCACCCCGACCCTAACTACAAGCTGGGCTACAACACTAAACCACAGCTGAAGAATAGTAGGTCCTCATCATATGAGGGACCCAGTAATATAAAAACTAAAGGGCATGACTTCAAGGGAGGTTATGGTAAAGAGCATATGGGGCACCCAAACTCTAAATACAAGGGCCCTTCACCTGATTATGAGGGTCCAGGGGCAATCAGTAGACATAGCAACTATAAAAAATTGCCCCCACGACAACCTAGAAAACCTACAAACTATAAAAGTAATATAAAACGCAACCCTCTAGTATCAGGGTATGACAGTTACAGAAAACCTGCTGGTAAAACTGATTCTTACAATAGTAGGGGGTCAGGTTATCAAAAACCAGACCTTGGAAAAAATGGTTACATAAACTATAAGCCTCCTCCAAGTGTTAGAAACCGCCTTCCACCCAATCCCTCAAAAATAGGTGGTTACCATGGTGATAGTGGTAACCAAGACAACTATGGACCAGATTCAAATTACCATGGGGAGCATAAGGGAAGTCACTACCATGGTCCAGGACCGCAAGGCACCAGGGATAGAAAATATGGCGGAAAAGGTCAGTACTCGAGAGGCCCTGGGTATGAGCCAAGAGGAAAAAATTATGGGCCCAGCTTCAAAGGAGATAAATATGGTCATGGCAGAGGTGGAGACAGTTCTAATTATAGGCCAAGTGGTAGTGGAGGGCCTAGATACGGCCCAAAGGGAGGTGACAGAGACTTTCCATACGGTTATGGTGAGAGCAGCTATGCACCTACTGGGAGGGGACCTAATTATGGACCTTCTGGGAGGGGTCCTAGTTATATGCCTTCTGGGAGGGGACCTAGTTATGGACCTTCTAAGCGAGGCCCTAGTTATGGACCTCCTGGGAGGGGACCTAGTTATGGACCTTCTAAGCGAGGCCCTAGTTATGGATCATCTGGGAGGGGGCCAAGTTATGGACCTTCTAGAAGGGGACCTAGTTATGGACCTTCTGGAAGAGAAAAAGACTATGGACCTTCACGAGGGACAGATTATGAACCAAATCCAGTGAACAGAAGGCCAAATTATGGTTCAGGAAATGAACCAGGTTACAGATCACAAGGTAGCAGGGAGGCAAACTATGGTCCACCTCCTAGGTCAAGATACCCACCTAGAAGAAGATACCCTAACCAAGACACTGATCAATACACAGAGCCTAGACCAAGAGCTCCTAGATATAAATCCACACCTAGAAGATATGGTAAAGATCCATATGGTCCAGGATCATCCTCTCATGAACAACCAGAGCCACCCTACAGACGAGGAGGCCCCCACAGAACACCAAAACACGACTATGATTCAGGGGAGGAAGTGACAAAGAATGTACGTGACAATAAACATTACGACACTCAAAATGATAATGACAATGAAGAAACAGACGATAGTGAGCAAAATGAAGATAAAAAGCGTACGAAAAGATCTTTGTATTGGCTCAATGATCCGCACCACCACTCCAAGAATTTCTATAAAAACCATGGCTACCACAAAAATCATGGCTATTACTATGACAGTGATCATGAAAAAACTAAGAAGCACTATGGACACAAATATGATGCAATGAAATTTGGCTCATTTGGATGGTGGAAAAAAGAGAAGGAAAATGGTAAAGTCAAGCATGATCATAAAGTTGGAGATGAATATTGGTACGGCAAGTTTGGGAAACACTTTCAAACAGGAAAACATCGATATGTTGGAAAACCACATTTAGGATAATAAAAATGTCAAATTTTGAGACTAGAGACTACCAATGAAATCAATTTGAAGATCTATTTTTACTGCTCATAGCAATGTTACAGTAATATTATAGAAAATCACAATTGCAAAATTGATCATCAGTTTAGTATTAGATGGAGTACAGTACAATAATGATAGATATAGAAAGAATATTAATATACCCTTTTGTGTAATTGTTATTCAAAAATTCTTGTAAATATTTTTTTAATAGATTCTTAGCCAAAATAGTTGGTCATAAGATTCAGTTTTATAATGAATTTCTTTTTTCTGCCTAACACTCAAAACACAGTACAATTTTTCTTTAGTAAGCAAGTCATCTTCAAAAAGTATAGGTTTTGGAATAACTGGAACAAATGAGCCATTGAGAAATCAAAATTCCAACATATTTTAGCACAGGAAGTTGTCTCAGGTCCTTTTCTGATCCTATGGGGTTCTTGGGCCTCCTCAGACTCAGTACATAAATAACCCCATAGAGGACCAAAAAGGACTTGATACAACTCCACTTGAGTTGACCTTATATGACTTGGTGCTTGTAAGAATGGCTGTATTTTGAGAGTGGGAAGTTGGTTACTAGTTGCATGATAATATGGTGGTGTCAGCTACCGGTGGTGTACACAGACTGCAGATGTAAATAGCTCAAATATTTGATTATCATGCATAGAACTAAGGTCTTGAATTTAGTTTTGTTAATATTATACTATTTATTTAGGGAACTCAATTCTGACAATGATTTAGTTCATTCAATGGATCAGTGATTCTTAGTGTCAAAGTATACAAACACAAAAGTAAAACAAATATTGATTAATCATAATTTATGTTTATGTAAACAATTTTTATTTATTGTACAAAAAATTAACAAACCTAATAAGTTAAATGCTATAGAGTAAAATGAGTAATATTAAAAGCTCTATGGATATAATATTTCATAGTCTGTATAAAAAGTAGAAAACAGAACAGTAGTTTATAGTTTGATACACATAATAAATATAACATCATATAATTATATAATGAACTGATTACCTTTGTAGTTTACTTGCACGTAAATAAATGTAAAAAAGGTGTAAATATTTATCTAAAAAGCAATAAGGAACACAAAAGGAGTCAGATTAGTTATACACTAGAAAGTAGTACACTGTATTCAAATTTTTTAAACAATCCAATATTCCACCCAGAGACATGATATGAAGAGATAAGAATTACCCAAGATCTATAAAAAGACTCTGAAATGTAAAAAAATTTAACAAATTCAGGGGCATCTGACAGCCCCTCTCTACTATTGCACTTAATCTAATCAAACAAACTTTTCATCAAAACAAGATCTTTCAACTCTCTAGGAAGAGACAAGTTGGCAACTTTATCATGTGGCCTTTGACCTATCTGCTTCCTGATAGCCCCCCTACATAATGCATGCAATGGCCATACATTCAGCACTTGTTTAAACAATATCGAGAACATCATAGTCGCTTTGTGGGTGAGATTTGCATCACGGGCATAGCCCATTCTGAAGATAATATCCTGAATGGTTTGCAGAGTTTTGAATGGAAGAGAATGTTGAGACATTATGAGATACTTCATCAGTTTGGCATCATCATGTTGTACAGCAGCGAATAATGGTTCTAGCTCCAAATGTGGATGTGCATCTGTGTATAACTGACAACATTTCGTGAATATGCCAGGGGGTCCCTGTGGAGCTGTTGGGCAGGCCCCCCACTTTAATAACAATTTTACAATGCTTATTTTCTTCCTTTCTGCAGCAAAGTACAATGCAGTTTTGCCTTCATGGTTAGCCTGTAAAATAAGAATGAAACCATAAGACCTAGGTTGAAAAATATTTTTCAAAAGTTATTCAATGGAAACTTGTTTCCCTCCCACCATTTGTTAAAATTTAGATATTGTGTAATCTATCGCATACATTATAGGTATTTCATTAACTCAAAAATTACCATGATATTAACATTGAAATGACCAGGCATTAACTGCATTGAATTTCTTAACTTTTTATCCATTTGCCCTGGACTATAAACAGTCCTAGTACTTTAACTCACCTTGTCAATATCACACCCTGCCTCAAGAAATGCCTCAACGACTGTGAGTTCATCATTCAGGACAGCTTTGTGCAGAGGCACGTGTTTCAGGCCTCTATCTAGGTCTATACCAGGGTGTTCTGTGAGGGCTTGGATCACTTCAAACTTGCCATTCTCACATGCCATGTACAGAGGTGTCTTACCATCCAGAGTGCTGAGATTAGGGTCACACCCTGGAATTTAGAATAAGTGAAATAAAGAAAAGGCGTCAGGAAATAAAATATATATTTTCCGTGTTTTCCCAACTTTTATTAAAGTTCTTTTTTCCATGAGTAGAACTTTCTTTATCCCATATATAAGACTTCATGAGGTATTGGCAAAAAACTCTGCTGATGGATTTATTATCAAAATGCACACGCACACACACTTCTTAACTACTGTACCTGCTTTGAGAAGAAGTTTGACAACCTCTAGGAGGTTATGTTCAACAGCCATATGTAGGGGTGTGTGACCATATTGGTTGTCTTGGTAATCTAGTTCACTCCCTGCAGATATCAGCCTTTCAATCATCTGCAACAACCGATATATTGATGATGTGATATGAGTTTGAACTTTAAGGATATACTACATACATGAATATTGTACATAGCACAATGGGTTTGTTACAATACATACGAAAGTCAACAAACGGTGCCAAAAAGGGGCCCCTTACATAGGCTTAACTGAAAATGAGTACTATATGATGACAGTATACATTGAGTTTTTCATTGAGAGGAAATTTAAAACGGATCCTTACATCTATCTTCGCCCTCATCAGTACAGCTGTATAGATGGGAAGTTCATTTCTCTTGTTGACCTGGTTAACGTCCACACCTGAATGAAGAGCATACAATTAATATGCGACTCATTCCTGTTGAAACTACAGAAAGGAGAAAAGACCTGTTCAAATCAACAAGACACCGATCCTAGCAGTAATAATAAGAACAAGGCATAAACATGCAAAATGTAACCACCTGCCATTTGTTACCACTGACACCGACTGCCAAAAGGCTACTGCATATGTCACCACTTTTGGTGGTGACATAATAAAAACTGGAATAAAAACTTTAATTTCTAATACTAATTTTGTAGTTTTGCTGATTTTACTTCGTCTGAACAAAATTTCAACAATGTCCTAATATTGAAATCAAATTGAAATAACTAATAACAACTGTACCTAAGTCCAGAAATGTGTTAAGAACATCAAGCTTATGACCTAAGACAGCTCCATGCAGCATGGTTTCCCCAAGGTTTGTCACAGCAGTAGGTAGAGCACCCTTACTAAGTAAGTAGTCTGTCATGTCTGGAAAAGGCGAGTTTAATACATAATTTCAAGGGACATTTTTCATCAATGGTTGTTTTCAGCTCTTACAAATGTTAATTTCTGTTGAATGGAATGCACTTTTATGATATCCCTTATCCCCACAACCTTAATTTATAATTTGTTCAATTTTTTTCTATTAAAGAATATGAAATTCTGAAGTGTCCACTTGTTGCATGCACTAAAATATCTGTTGAGGGATGTTTAAAAGTGAGTACTAACTAAAGAGGGGTATCGTCTCATGGTCACTCACTAAGGGGGTGTTTACAAGTGGTTACTCTGTAAAGAGGGGTGTTTGCCAATTGGTGGGTGGGATAAAGGTGTTTCAATAGATATACCTTTATTGCCTGCAGAGGCTGTCTGGTAGAGAGGTGTGGCACCATCTCGATCACCAAGATTCACTTCAGATCCTGATTCAATCAACAGTTTCATCAACTTCACATTCTCCTCAGACTTTCCAAAATATTTAGTAGCTGAAACAGATATAGATTATCATTAAAGAGCGTTTCAGCAACACAGGGGGTAAACACAAGCCTATAAATCAAAATATGTGATCACTTTGATAACTCATTTTTTGATGCCATTTTCTTTATTCCCCAATGTTTAAATTTTCATTGTCAGATAACATCTCAGTCTTAAACATCTGATCGTGAAATGGGTCATGAATTCTTGTGGCACAATACAGGCCCATTATACAGTTTCTGTATTTGCTTACCTATTCGAACAACCTCATGCAGAGGGGTACATTTCTGAGAATCTGGTTTATTAAGGTCAGCACCAGACTGTACCAGAAGTTTGGCGATGTCAAAATGTTGTTTTCTCACACTCTCTAAAATATAAATCAGAGTATGGTAAAAAGAGTATAAGCTAAATAATTCATTTTATCCCTAATATAACAAAAGAAATGTACACGTATTACTTCTTTTTAAACAAGAGCTTGACAGGTGAGCCATAAGTTGTGAAAATCTCGAAATGCATTTACACTTTAAAAACAGGGTGATCCAAAAAGTGAAACCTCACATCAGTTATTACCAGCATTAATAGGTCTCGCTATAAACATATGAAAATATTAGCCCATTAATGTGGAAACAAAGTGAAATGGCTTGTTGCAAGGGTTTACTTTTTGGGGCACCCTTTACTTTGTTTTATGTTTGTACTTTTGATTTCTTGTATATGTATGTGATAAAAAATGTTCATGTGCACCTCTTGATGTGAACACAATGATTTTTAATGTATATTACATGTATTACACATTTCATACACTTATGCACATACCTAAAAGGGGTGTAACCTTCTTTGCATTGTGAGCATTAATATTTGCACCAGCCAAGAGTAGGGTCTTCACTATTCCAATGTGACCTTCAGATGCAGCATACCATAAGGCAGTACTGAAGTGGCGATCCTTTAGCTCTAAATCACAACCTACATGTAACAAAATTAACAAATTAACAAAATAAATTTTATTAAATATTGAACCAATATTGAACAACGTGTACATTTTGTTTTCTGTAGAAAATGTGAAAACTTGGCAAAAGTTTTCAAATAAAATGGACATATATTTAGGAGTAAAGCCACGTTGATTGGTCAGAGCATGGGCTATCAAGACATCTCTTGAAAGCCGATGGTCAGAGGTAGGGATGTGCTGGAACCAGTTTGGAATATTTTGGAATCAGAATCGAAGCTTAGTCAATGTATTTTAACATTGGATTCCTGTGGTATTGAACTCATGACGGTTTAATTTCCTTACCTGCCTTGATTAGAATGTCAACAACACCTTCATGGTTGTTAGTGGCTGAAACAATAAGTGGTGTCATTTTGTTTGCTTCGGTGTGATTCAATTCACACCCAGCATCAGTCAAACAAGCTGCTATCTCTGCATTGTTCAGCCTAGCACATGAAGACAGTGGAGACTGGAAATCATTGTTGTCCATATCTACTCCAGCACCAGCTGCTATCAACATCTTGGCAATTTCATTGTTGCCTTTAGATACTGCAGTATTTAAGCATGTTGATCCATTCTCGTTTTGAGCATCTAAGTCAGCATTGTTATCCATTAAGAGTTTGGCAATAGCGGTGTATCCTCCCCAGCATGCCAAATTGAGCAATGAATTATGGGAGGCAACTTCTTTGTTAGTGTCAGCCCCATTGTTTAGTAATACTTTGCACATTTCCTCATTGGCATTTTTAACTGCAATTTCTAAAGCACTTATACCTTTGTAACTGAAGTTCAGATCTAATCGTGGATGTATGAGTGTTTTCACCTTCTCAATGTCATTCTCACGTATTGCATCTTGGAACAATTTGACCTCCCTCCTTGCAGCCCTCTTAGCAGCATTGGCTGAAAATTAATGTAAATTAGCATTCAAATCGATATTTACAGTGCCTGGAGACTTACAATAAATGATCTTTTATATATCAAGATTCCAATATATAATAAGATTTTAATTTTTTTGAAGAAAACAGGGTTTGGAAAAAGGGATTATGGGAAAAAAGTGTGTTGAGTTTAATCTACATGCAGGGTTAAGATATGCAGAAGTGTACCATAAAGTACTTTGAATATACATGTACATAGTCATTGGCATAACGTGGATATTTTGTGAGTGTACGCCATGAGTGAGTGAAGCGAACTAGCTTTGAGGGGGGTGGGCTTGGGCGTTCTCCCCCTCCTAAGAAAATTTGAAAATGATATTGCATTTGAGGCATTCAAGGGCGTTTTAAAACACGAAAGTTCAACTATATAATATAGACTAATAACATGCAAATTATTGGCCATTTTTATCTATTTGTAAAGTGTAGTGCGATTCAATATAAAAATTCAACTTTTCTCTAAATTTTGAGAGTCTTATGCGTATATGACGCTACGCCATTGATAGTGAATAGATAGCATGGTCATTCTATCAGATAGGATGTTGCCTCCCATTTGGCTGGTGAGCATATCCAAAGTGTTCTTGACAATTACTGTACTCCCGGTATTTTTCGCGTGTGATTTATTTTCATGCTTTTCGCAATTATGGTAAATTCGTGAAAATTAATCTTCGTGAAATTGTCAATTAAATCCCCGGGGATTTGTAAAATTTCATGTTTTGTAAAACCTGATAGAGCCCATGGATTCGACAATAGACGTAATGTGGCACATTACATGATGACTATCACATTTGGGAGTATGATTTCAAAATCTCAGGCCTCGCAAGTCTTTGAGGGGTGGATGGAGCCAATATAAGGCTGAGAGAACAGATTTACAACGAAGTACCTCTAATAGTACGTACAGTTGGGGACATAAATAAATGACAGGTGGATTTGCTGAAGTGAGGATTTCCCATGTTAAAAATAAGAGAATTTACAAGAGGCCATACATCAGTGGATGAGATTATACAAAATGTAAAATATACAAATTTTAAGGGATATATATCTAGACAATATTGGAAATTATGGGCTTTCAGACCACCATAATTAGGAAATGGTGATCGAAAATCGACCTGTCATTTATTTTTGTCCCCAACTGTAGTCTACAACTACAAGTCTTGGGGAAAAGTTTAGTATGTATCCAACAGACTGACTAGAAGTCAGTCTGTTATGATGTACTACTTTCCTGTGGAAATTGCAGTGAAATTTTTTGCACAAAATTATCAATTGGAGGAAACATTTTTTCAATAAAATAAACATAACAAAATTTCAATTAAGTAGTAAGGTACAATTAAATGCAATAAAAAGTAACACAGCATATTGTCAAGTGGAAATAAAGCTAGTTGAAGTGAAAAATGTGCAAATTAATTTTACCAATTCGGCCATTTTGAATAGCACTTCCTATGTAAACAAATATTTAAAATTGCCAAACTTTAACATAGGTGCCTTATAGTCTGAATATAATTCAGACTAAATAGGATATAGTCTAGGGAAAAGTTTTGAACTTTTTTGAAAAAAAAATATGAAAAAATGTTTTCCTTTGCGATTTTCTCTAGTTTCTGTAAATTTGCATTACAACACATGTAACAGCGCTTTGAATCTCACATGATTGTAATATGAACCAAAAACAAATGATGAAAAGCGCTTAATAATGAAAAAACTATAAAAACAATTACCTTCACGAGAATCTGACATTTTACCACAAATGCGCCATCTATAATGGTCACTAATTGAAGACCCCTTCTACAATCTCTACATGTGCAGTATGCCAGCTTGCTGCAGGTAGACTGTTGATGATGGATCGTCAGCAGCTCAGTCAGTATAGCTGCTTATTCACTGAGTCAGCACTATCTATATACTTGTTTTTTCATTTTTTTATTGCCTTTATATATTATAGGCCTGCAAATATCCCAAATTATGTGCTAAAAAGGGGTTGATTAATAGACAAACTGGTACACGGCTCATTATACAGCAATTTAAAGCTGTTGACGTTGGGATTTTATGTTTTATATGAGGAGATAGAGCTGACTGTGAAAGTTGATTGTAGGCCTTTATTTGAATGAGAGTCTTTAAGCTTACATGCTCTGATGAATGTCAAAAACTCCAATGGTCCAACTCATAAGGGCAGGGCAAGCAGCATGACGAGCCGCATGTACTTACTACTAATGAGTTTCAATGTACTTTCTATTACCTGATATGCCAGATGGATTTTCCATAAAACACTGGATGTCAAATGAAAGTAGGTCTAATTTCACTGGCAGGTCCAGAAGCTAGCAAGGGGGCCCCAACTTTCGAAATTTTTGGGCCCTAAAAACCCAAAATCGATTGGGCCCGAATTTTGAAAATTTAAGGCCCATTTTTGAAAATTTGACCAAATTAAAGGCCCATTTTTGAGGCCCTAAATAATTTTTCTGGGCCCATCTAGCCCCTGGATCAGCCAGTGAATTTCTGGCCAGCATTTAATTTCGAAATTGTGAAGTTGATTTGATATTTCATCATCCAGGATAGAATTTGGGTAAACCAAACATTTATAAGTGGTACATTGGCCAAGCGAGGATATAATATTAGGCAATGCAAAATTTGGTAGGTGAGGCTTTAAAGTAAGAGGAATATTACTCCCATTGGTCTTAATTTCTGAAGTTTTAGTTGAGGAAAACTTCTGAACTATGTTTAATTTCTGTTGAGGCAGTTTATTCACCTGCATTGTGGCTTTGAATGGTCTAATACAAAATATCTACTTTTCACCAATTAGTTTTCATAGATGGGTGTTGAGCAAGAAATTCAGATTCAAGTTTTGTTTTAGCTTGGCTAGATATTTTGTTACTTCATGAGCTATTTTTACTTAGACAAGATCCTTTAAAATGACCAGGCAGACGTTTATCGGGAGTCAAAAATTGAATATACTTTGTATGACATCACCATTATTTATTTTTTCTTTACTTTATCAGTCTAAATTCATCAACATACAACACTCACAATATGGACCCCAATATCACATTTTAGAAATCAACATAAGAAAATATTTCACTGTTTTTACAAATATTTTCTTTATTAAAAACTCAGTTCTCAAAAAAATTCTTAATTTTTTCCTTCCAATGACTTTAAAATACTGTCAGGACTTTTTGCCCAATGACCAAAGAATATTTAAATACTTTACATTTCTTGTCATACTGACATCAATGCAATTTCATTCTCATTTATAAGCATACATATAATACATATAGTACATTGTAATGTACACATAGTGCACATACCATTTACCAGACTAAACTGAGGAAATTTTAACAAGATGCAAATCTACTCCATCTTCAAACGTTCAATAATCCTCCATACAAATACAGGGCTACAAAACTTAGCCAACAGTTAAATGTCTCAAAATGAATAAATTAAATAACCCCTACATTTCAATGAAGATCTTTAATGTATATACACGATCTAAACTCAATTTCATTTGAACATTTTATTTACTGCCTTATTCATATTTTGAATAAAGTTCTAGAGATTATTAACAGCTTCCAAAATATCATTGGTTTAAAAGTGAGGCCCAGCATTTTTTTACAAAATAAAAAGGAAGAGTTAAAAAATATTACAACTCAGATTTTGCGTGATTTCCAGATTCTATGCTGGTGTGGATTAAGCTTTCTAGTCAGATGATAAATAAATACATGAATAATTGTAACATAAAATAGGGGAAAACAGATATAAATATACTAAGTCAGATGTTTTGTATTGATTGTTACCAAATGAGCAGAAAATAGTTCCTTGAAAACAGGAAGCCCGAGATATCAAAGTCATTGACATTCAATCTTAAATAGCTCTTTATATTCCTTCTATCCCCGATTCCTTTATTTGTTAGACAAATTTAACATTTATTTTTTGATCTGGTAAAAGGTACCAGCTTTTTCAAAGATCTTTCCTGTGAAGTCCCTTAACAGTTGGATACACTTTTAATATCTTTAATGAGAATAACAATACTTGGCAGCTTTCCACTCCATAATATAAAGTGTAGATTCTGTGATTAACGTTTTCATAAAGGAAAATTGCACACAATATGTTGGAAGTTTATGAGGTTTCATACATTTCTGCTCTTATCATTTAAGCCACTATGGTATGGACATCCCGCCTGTTGCATGGTACAAAGTTCAAAGTGAACCAATATAACAGTGAACAGATTTCTCGTAATAAGGTTACATCCACATTTAGCATCATTTCCACCTCCTATTTATAGTGTTCAGGTGGAGTCTCTTTTATCAGTTTGAGCATTCAACCTCATTATAGATGGCACATGCGTTTGTTTCCATGAAAAAGTCCAGCATAATTAAGTATTGGACATATATCAAGTAACATGACCTATTATCTGACTCATAGTTTGTGCATGAAAAATAAATCTTGGCACTGTTCCAACGGGTTATGCATCAGACTTCAATCAACTGTCCGAGAGAGAAAAGCGGGAGAAGACAACGGTGACATCTTAAGCCTAAGACAGAATCCAAGACATGGCCCAAATGTTGGAATAGTAAGAAGCATCTTTAGTTGGAGCTTATTCCCTGATTTTCAACACCTTTCCTATAGCTATAGATTTTCCTGCAAACAGACAAGAATTAATTGAATACACAGTGAGACAGTTATATGACATACAAAACTTACATACACTACCCTCCATAAGTTTGGCAACCTTTTTTCCCCATTGAACTACGTGTTAAAGCCTCTTTACGTTTGAATTTTTATTTACTTAACCGGCGATGAAATAACTTATAATATTGATGGAAACGTAACTTGACTTTATTTCCAATACCTCCAAATTTTCTCAATTTTTTTCCTCAATTACAATAGGTCGAAAATTGATGATAAATTTGATGAATGTTTGAAAATCGTCATTCCCATGTAATCCAATGGGAAATGGAGGGTTCGGGGCAAATCAGAAATCAGGATATCTTTTCAGTAAAAGATTCAGCAAAAAATATTTTTATATAGAAAATTGAATTGTCTAACTTTCTTGAACACTAAGTGTTTAGTTTATTTGATGAATATTAAAGTTACAGCGCTTCAAAGTCATTTTTGAAAATAATTTTCCGCCTCCTGTGTTATTTCAATGGGAGAGGTTTTTTGAAAAACAATTTTGACTTTAAAGCCCTATAACTTTGTTGAACCTGAAGAAACATATCAATTTTTTGTTAAATAAAGTTAGCAAATTCAATTGCCTGCCTAACTCGTATTTTTTGCAAGAACTCGGACGGATGGATATTCTGTCATATGACTTGCAGCAAACCTACCATTTCCCATTGGTTAACATGGGAATCTCGATTTTCAAAAATTCATCAAACTTATCATCAATTTTCGACCTATTGTAATTGAGGAAAAAAATTGAGAAAATTTAGAGGTAATGGAATTAAAGTCAAATTACGTTTCCATCAACATTATAAGTATTTTCTTTGCAGGTTAAGTAAATAAAAATTCAAAGGTAAAGAGGCTTTAACACGTAGTTCAATGGGGGAAAAAAGGTTGCCAAACTTATGGAGGGGATTGTATATACAATATAAAAGTCAGTTAGAGTACATTTGCATAACAAAATTGGTCGCAAAATTCTCATTTTCACAAATTCTTCTTAAATTACTCTCAAATGGATGCAAATGAAATGTAAATTTCTTAACTGAGATGTTTCAATTAGTCATAGTTAATGATCCCATATTTTTGGAAATTGTATGTTTCAAAACTATGACCCCAGTACAAAAGCATGACAGATGTCAAGAGCCCGGGGTCAACTCTCATGAAACGGTCTACACTATCACCACATATAGGTCAGATTCAGAACTAAAACAGTACTGAGTGACCCAGGGAGCATAGCATAGTTGCTCTACCACAGGTGTAACACCAGATTTCCATCGCAGGAAAACCCAGTTGACTTCCTATGGAAAATGTTCTATAGAACCACTTTTGAGATGGTGTGACTTTAAAAATGCTAGATGTAATTAATAAAACATTTTAATGATTTAGATTCATGGTAACCAAAATTTTGGCATTTGACACTCTTATTTTTTACTACACATGGTCAAAACCTGAAGCAGACAACTGAAACCTGAAATGCAATGATTGATATAAATGTAATATTTGTCTCAAAGATGTGATTATATTTAAGACAGATTTTCAGAAATAATCCAGAGGTATATTTTTGAATTAAGATCTGATCGGAATGACCATTACCAGGTCTGAGTATGAAAAATTTAGCACTAAGTCACACATGTAATTCATTTCATTTACTGCTAGACCACCCAACAACCCTTTTCATTGAAACAAGACATCCAAAACATAAATATTTTTGCTGAAAAATAGATCCAAAAAAAGATGATTTTTAATCATGTAGTTCTCAATTACTGAACAAGGGAGCCTTTTACCTACCACCCACCATCCCACCCAAAACTTGTGATTTTGTGTAGAATTTAGCATGAAATATAAGAGATGCTGCCAAAGAGGTTTTTTGCAAAATTTTCAAGGTGCTCAATCTGTAAAACACAAAACAGACATTACAAGACTAGACATAACAAACGGCGCACGGAATATGAAATGGAATTGATTTTTATATGGAAATACCAATCCAAATCCCACTCTTCACTGGGAAAATCCCTCCCTGTATATGATATAATATTAACATAAATGATACTAATTATACAACTTTATCCTATGCCAAGTAGAGTTTTAGGGAGATAAGTTGGTAAGATATATCCCGTATCCTGATTTTGAGGTTTCCATATCCTGAACCTCCATATCTCCCGCCAAATCTCCCGCTCCAGGGCATATCTTCCCGCTTCGAAAAAAAATAGAAAAAATAGAAAAAAATAAAAAATGAGAAAAAATAGAAAATTGAAAAAAAAAATAGAAAAAATTGAAAGAAAATTAGAAAAATGTGAAAAAATAAAAAAAAAACTGAAAAAAAATTGAAAGAAAATTAGAAAACTCTACTTGGTATAGGATAAAGCAGTTATGTACGGTCAGTTTGGATATTGGGTTCCTCCCTAGTGAGATATGCACATCTACCTTCGGTCCCTACGGTCCCTCAGGTAGATATGCATATCTCCCTCTGGATAAACCCCATATCCAAAACCTCCCAGTACATAACCCTTATAAATCAATTCTTCCTTTTAAATCAATATTCTGAAATTATGTGTGCTTCAAAACTATGACCCCAGTACAAAAGCATGACAGATGTCAAGAGCCTGGGGTCAACTCTCATGAAACGGTCTACACTAGTGCCACATATAGGTCAGATTCAGAACTAAAACAGTACTGAGTGACCCAGGGAGCATAGCATAGTTGCTCTACCACAGGTGTAACACTAGATTTCCATCGCAGGAAAACCCAGTTGACTTCCTATGGAATACTTATTCACGACAATTCACTTTGAAATAGGATGAAGATAACTCTTGAAAGCGCATCATTCCTGCTTTTTCCTACCTTCGTCTCGTAAGGTAAATCTGCCCATTTGTGGAAAGTCTTTGAATGTCTCCATACATATCATTCCCCCATGAACCTCAAATCTGGCTATAGCTATTTGGTCTTGTTTTACAAAGCGAGGTCTATTTGGTGACTTTTTTCCTGTTTTCTTATCTATTGTACAAAGCAATGACTGAAATAAAACAAAAACATGTTAGAAATGATTTTTTTCAAATGTTGTAGTGGTCTATAACCTTGTTCTCATCAGCAGAGCATAGCTGCAAGAAAAATGTGTGCATTCAAGTCATTTCTTGACGTCATCATGCACTTGCATTTCTATATGCGTCTGCCAATCAACTTACCACACAAAAATCATTATCATTATTTTTCATTCAATAAGGAATTTTGAATGAAAATGCTTCTCAGTCTGACGTGCTGTATCCACACATTTCTTGTTAAGACAGGGATAACTTAGTCATCATTGAAACATTAGACCAAGACACATTTTGAAACTAGACAACAGCAACGCCAAAGCGCAGCAAATCCCATCGAACAGCCATGGCTGGCATTTTTACAAAGTATAAAGCGAAAATGGCAGCCATTTTCAAAATGGCCACTGTCTACCAAAAGTGTCATTAGAAATAGACAGTGTGCCATGCTTATAGTATTCACATACCAAATATGAACAAAATTGCTCTACTACTTTTCGAGTAATAGTAAAATGTGTTAAAATGGCAGCCATTTTTCAAAATAGGCACCTTCAACCAAAAGTGTTATTAGACAGTGGGCCATTCTTATACTATTCACATACTAAATATGAACAAAATCGCTCAACTACTTTTCGAGTTAGAGCAAAAATCGTAAAATAGCGCGTAAAGGCAGCCACTTTTCAAGCTTGATTAATGTCCTATATAATTTGCCGCCTTCTACCAATAGTGTCATTAGATAGTGTGCAACACTTATAGTATTCACATACCAAATATGAACAAAATCGCTCCATTACTTTTCGAGTTATAGTAAAATGCTTTAAAATGGCAGCCATTTTTCAAAATGGCCATCTTCTACCAAAAGTGTCATTAGACAGTGGGCCATGCTTATAGAATTCACATACCAAATATGAACAAAATCGCTGCACTCTTTTTGAGTTATTGCAAAAATCGTAAAATAGCGAGTAGAGGCGCCATTTTTCAAGATGGCTGCCATGTTCTTCTTTAATATCTACATTCCTAGCTTTATTAATGTCAAATATAATTTTTTAACATATTAGTTTTACATATTGTACCTAAATTACTGTAAATCGGCACTAAAATGGCGGCCATTTTTAAATAAGTGGCCATTTTGAAAATCGGCTTCCAAACAGAACTTCTACCCCCATAGGGTATATGTGTACAAAATAGGAACAAAAGCGGGCCAACGGTATTTGAGTTTTTGCCCACACGGACGGACGGAGGCATTCCCTATATCCCTCCGAACTTCATTCGATGGGATAATGAACATCTGAGATGTTTGATGTCAAATACATATGGCTAGTAGTCTCCTACATTATAATATTATCTCACTATGACGAGGTACCATGAGTTGAAAGTGACTGAGAATGTAAAATTGTCCTCACCTTTATGGTAACTTCCTCAGCACAAGTATGTATGTGAAGTATAGCACTGTACCCTGCACATATAATATTCTTATATTCTAGTATCACAATCTGAAATATATGATGAAAATCATTGTACTGTACGTCTATGCTTGGTTCGGAATAGTTCTGTGTTTTAAGGTTCTAACGGTTTCATAATTTCCTCAGTTCGGTTGGTTCACGGTTTTTAGCTTTTCAGTTTCGGTTCGGAGTAATAAAAACATACTGTTATTACTGCTAGACTATGTATCACCATACCAGCTTTTATTTCACAGTTTGCAGAGATCAGTATTTTAAAAAGGGAACTTCGTGCATTTCTTGAATTGAACCTCTTTAAAACGAACATAATGAACTTCTTAAGTCTATTGACAATGAGGGTGAACAAATAATACAATGTTTTTAATATACATTAAAATAAATCAATATATATTATTCAAAAAATATATCTCTAGAATTAATTTTAAGCAGTTGTAAACAGGTGTCAGATTGTTATTAGTTATACGAATGAATTTGGACTTCAAAATATTTTCATGAAGTTATAAAGATAGGAGTGCGATCAATTCGAAGAGTACTTAGTACTAAAAAATCCTAGCTCCGTAGGTTTCTGCTCAAAGTGAAATTTAAATGATCTTTTAGTGTATTTTTCCAAATACTGATGATTATCTGGCTATTTTACTTCAAATTGCTTTTCTCTAAGGTAGGTGGCTTTATATTCTTCTATTCAGATCACGTTTTGAATAGAAGAAAAAGCTTTATGAATGGGATTCATCACTTTAGTGAACGTCAATATTTTTGCAACAGCCATCTTTTTCTGCATTAAAGAACTATTAAAAACCGAACCGTAACGCTTTCAAACTGAATACACCAACTGAGGCCTATAAGCTGCGGAGCCCCGCGGTTTCGATGCACCGTTAGACCCTTACTGTGCTTGTAGTAAGCACGTTTGAATAGGACATGCAGTCATTTCTACATTTAATATTTCTCCATACGTCTTTCACAAAAAATACGTCCATGTGCCATTATTGTCAGTGATCTTATAATAAATATATGCAGTCTCATATATTTTTGGATACAATCTTTCCCAGAAAAATATTTTTGAGTGACTGCAATAGTTAAAATAAGCATGACATATGGGCCATGCTTCAAAATAGGCCAGTGAGTTTATAATCTTTATTGTACATCATGAATCTACTCATCATTTCTCTTACCTGAGCATCAAAAACTCTGCTAGTATTGCAAACGTTCTCAGGTGAGCATAGTACAAAGCCTGGGGAGACATCCTAGAATACAAAAAAAACTCACATTAAAAATATTGAAATTAAGTTCAATGTAATCACAACTTAACTTACAAAATTGCAACATATTTAGATATCCCAAGAAAATGATATAAGTAAATCAATAAATTACATGTTTTCAAGGAATAATTATTTGTTACAAGTAATTTCATTAAAAGCAAAGATCTTACATTTGTGCATTTCTCAGTCTGACGTGCTGTATCCACATATTGCTTGTTAAGACAGGGATAACTTGTAGTCATCATCGAAATTTCCCCCCAAAAAATATGAAACATTTTACAGAAGAGTGTTTCTCTTTAAAATGAGGAATGTTAGTCTTTAACTTACCTCTTCTTCCACACCTTTGAGTTTCACTTTGACGTTAGCCCCACTTTCAGCCACATCTGTCTCTATTTCATCAGACCATAGTTGCATTACTTCAACAGTCATCTGGAACACATATTACATCATGGAATAGAATATTAAAGGGATGATCAATAAGTAATGGACGCTTTTACAGACATGTGCCATTGCTTTGAAACACAAGGCATTAACATGCAAAATGTCATCACCTGCCGTTTGTTACAAATGCTGATCATAAAACACTGTCCACAAAAAATTGGGAGACTATAACTTTAAGTCACCACTTTTGGCAGTGACATAATAAAACTAATCACTTGGTCAGAACTAGCAAAAGGATCAGAGCAAGACAAGCTATTATAAGGCAATATAAATTCAATTATGTCTCTAATATCATAAGGAAACAAAGTTCAAAGAAGTGTTTATGTTTTACTTGTTTTGTTTCTCAGTCTGACGTGCTGTATCCACATATTGCTTGTTAAGACAGGGATAACTTGTAGTCATCATTGAAACGTACCCAAAGGAAATGTGATGAAAGTATAGGGTTGAACTCAATGAATCTATAATGTTGGGCATAATGTACATTTCTAAATTCTAAGAGATTCAGGTAAGCTGAATGAACACCATGAATTGTTTATTTTTCAGTTTTACTTTTCATATCCAATTTACCAATTAAGCCAATCCATGAGTGTTCGCTTTAAACAGGTTTCTGACAAATTACAAGTTCTTACCCTATTTGGCATTAGTAAATAACTCATCTTCTTAACTGTTCCAGATTCTACCTTTCCTTGAATAATTGTTCCCATATCCTGAAATTTAAAGACTTGTATATACAGATTAACAATTTCAATTTATTTAACGATCATCCAATTTTAAGTAAAACATGTATACATGTTTCCCAAGACACATATTTCTAACCTTCAGAGTCATTTTTTATCACAATTGAGGAACTGACCTCAACACTGACTGTAAGTATTATGAAATTAAGACATCTGTATATCATATATCCGTTGTTGAATGAAGCTTCTCAGTCTGACGTGCTGTATCCACATATTGCTTGTTAAGACAGGGATAACTTGTAGTCATCATTGAAACATTAGACAACAAAAAAAAACATGACATCGCAACAATAATCACTTGATGTTCTATGGACATACCTTATATCTATCTACAATGGGAAGCCGTAGTGGGCCCTCACTATTGCGATTCAATAGAGGCAGATCATTTAGATATGTCAACAAGGGTGGACCACTGGAAATAAAACAAAAATTTCGTTTCAAGAAATGATCAGAAAAATCAAGGTGTAATCAATCTATTGCTTGTAAAAGATTCTCAGTCTGACGTGCTGTATCCACATACTGCTTGTTAAGACAGGGATAACTTGTAGTCATCATTGAAACTTTAACCACAAATAATTCTCAATAAATTTCTTGTAAGATGTTCACAGTTCATAAGCCAAAATTGTTAAGTAAACAGTGCACAGCAAACATCTTTCAAGATTTCAGTTTTCTATATCTAATCCACAATCATATTCTCAAAACTTCCAATAACACTTGGCCTTTTAGGGTTCGAGACCTGTTTTACTGTACCATAGCGTACAATCGCAGCTAAATTCAGGAAAAATGTGAGACTCAAGAATGGAAAACTTACTCATAAAACTTGCATTGAGGATCGGGCTCCTTGAGGAAGGCACCTGTGATCCCTGATACTGGCAGGAAGTGAATATCTGTTTTAGGGTTGAACCCACACTTTTTTAAATATGGGATCAGTTTATCTTTACACTCTGTGTATCTGAAAAAATAACATTAACTTTTATGTATTTTCAAATGTAGTTCCATATTTAGTTTCACATGTTAATCATTTAAATATTCATATCAAAATATTTCTCAGATTTCTGTATACATTTAAGATGTTAAATCATTTTAAGTTTTAAATATTTTATTTATACAATTCTGAAACAAAGTCTGACAATACATTCTTCAATCTTATCAGAGAGACCCATTGACTGATATTTAAGGTTAAACAGTGGGAGGTTAAAAGAAAATTTCTATTTCTTACCTCGTTTCATCCCAATTGACAGTTGGATCATCCATTTTATTTATAGCTACAACCAACTTTTTTACACCTGCAGTTTTGACTAACATAGCATGTTCTCTAGTTTGACCCCCTCTTTCAAAACCTGTCTCAAACTCTCCCTTACGCGCTGAGATCACCTGAAACACATCAAATACAAAGACATTTAGTTTTGCAATAGTTTCTCCCAAATAAATTAGATGGCAAAAGCTAACAACCAGTCCAGGTAGGACTACTGGGAGAGAAAATAGGTTTGTTGAGTGATATGGACCAAATGATTATTGTCTCCGAAACAACCATCTTGATTCATAAAGATACAGATGGTCCAGGGAGTTAGTAAGATTCAGTTTGGTTTTCTGCTATTGGGTTTGTGGACAAGGCTTGATACATGACTATCACAACACTTCATTTTGTGGTATAACCACAATTTGAGACATGTTCTAAAGTGAAACAAGGCAACAACATGCGAAGTGTCACCACCTGCCACAGACGCCAAATACCATCCCCAAAAAAATTGGAGACTATAATAATGTCATCACTTGTGGTGGTGACATAAAACAACTGTGTCCGAGATGTGTCCAGTGGAGTAACACATAAAGTATTAGAAACAAATTGGACAAATCTCTGTTAATTTGGCATTAGAATGAAACATTGGTAGGATGGTAAACCATTCAATGTCACTTTGTAATGCAATATTCGTACAGCATACAATGGAAGACTCCTTACCAGCACTGCAAGATCAGCTTGCGATGCTCCACCAATCATGTTAGGCACAAAGCTCCGATGACCAGGTGCATCTAATATAGTAAAATGTTTAGTTTCTGTTTCAAAGTATGCTCTGCCAACCTCAACAGTTTTTCCTTTGTCTCTCTCTTCTGTGTTTGTGTCAAGTGCCCAAGACAAATACCTGAAAAGGCATTTTTTATTGTTAAATCACATAATTTATAAGTTTTGACCTATTGAATTCCAGCCTCTAAAATCATTTTGAAACCAGAGAATTTTTCATTTTTGCCAACTTTTGACATTTTACTTCATACAATGGGCGATGCTCAATTTAGTGAAATTAGTTGACAAAGATCATTTATACACATTATAAAATGAATTTTGTGTAATTGGATAAAAATTGTTCAAATTAGAGCAATTTTAGTTGAAAAGTGTTTGACAGATTATCTGTCACTCTGGATTTCAAGGTCATTTCTAAGATGTCAAGAAATTGTGCAACTCTGAGTAGTCAAGAGGTTAGTGAAAATACTTTACCAAGGGTTATCACAATGTTTTTGTGTTGATGGAATAGGAATTTTGAACTAAATCACATAAATCACATCGTTTAGAAATCTCAAATTTCTAGAGGTGGAATAAAAAAGTAAAAAAAAAGTATGCCTATTATGACTATCATATTGAACAGAAAAAAAAAATTAATCCGCGTTTCTCAGTCTGACGTGCTGTATCCACATATTTCTTGTTAAGACAGGGATAACTTGTAGTCATCATTGAAACATTTAGACCAAAATTGGACATCAATGATACTGAACGATGGATTATTCTTCTGTTCTTGAGGGCATCGTGGGCATCGTGTCTTAGCCTTGCCCAAGTCGATAAATATCAATCAGAAATTAGTGGATGCCGGAGCATCGATCAGATACCCGGAGGTGAGAAGATTTCAACAAGATATGTTGAAACGAACGCTGAATTCAAATGATCGAACATCAATCACTGAATCAGATCGACGACTACATGACCGGACTTGGTCTTCGTGCATTTTCTTCGCTAATTCAGTTTTAAATTAACATTACATCGCATGATCTAATTTATATTAATGATTGCTTACATTCAAATGTACATTTTATTACATAATATATTGTAACTCTAAAGAAACACTCGATCAGATCCCCGGGATCAGATCATTGAATTTCAAGTCGTTGGTAGACGGGTTGTTTGCTTTGTTTACGCAGGTCAACCTAACGTTTTGATTGGTCAGTCAGCCTGAAGTCACACGTTGTGTCCATGCCATCTTGTCAATCAATAAGGTTTCACTATACCCCTGGCAGCGTACATATTATGGAAATCTCGAAACCACTGAATAACCTAGCATAATATCAGCGGCAATGTATTGGATTGTACAAGGTGGTAATAATTCAAGATCAGATAAGTATAAAAATACCGACTTGGGCAAGGCTAATCGTGTCTGTTTTCTTTAAATCTTAAGAGTATCCTCGACTTGGCCTATATCGATCCAAAACCTGTTTGTCAAAACCTTCATAAATCACCAGGAAAACTTCATCTTATATTGGAAGATTTTATCAGCATTATTCAGGGTAATAATAACATCATTCACAAACCAGGTTTCTCTGTTTTTCTCCTTTGCTTCTCGTTCATATTTTTCTAGTGTCCTTTTATCAACCATTCCAGTGAGATACCTGCAAATACAATCAAAGGTCCTCAAAGGTCAAATTAAAAAGAGGAAATATAAGTTCTGAAACAAGTCAAATGGGCAGTTTTGTCCGAAATATGTCCAGTATAGCAATACATTAGTGTATTACAAAACATTGGGACACACATCAATTAATGTGGCACTAGAATGAAACATGGATAGTATGATAGAACATTCAATGTCACTTTGTAGTGCAGTTTATATTCAAAAACATTTTCAATGTTAGTCTCTCAAATTAATGTTTGTGTTTAGGATTACTGGGTATATCAATTCTTATCGAAAGAGAGATCATACTCTAGCCTTACCACACCACCCTTATTTACTTTGGTTAGAGATGCAATATGTAAACAATATATGTCAATACTTAAATGGTCTTTATAGTGCATGTACATGCCTTACACGATCAATACTTTTGACTAATTACAATATCATGTAAACACATATTGTCAGTGTTCGCGTTGACGCCGTTTTTTGCCATTTTTACGGAAATTTCAGAAGGTTGGACGTAAAAATCAAAATCAACTTACGTCCCTAGGACGCAAAAATTATAAACTGCTTCAAGATAACTTTTACTGCAGCACAGTAGCGGTGAAACATGATTTTCATCAAGATTTTCAAACTCACTACCTTGATATACGAGCAATGATCCAGGTATACTTATATCGACAAATCTGATTGGCTATCATGACTACCGAAGATTAACAGAGTTTCCAGTATGAGACATGGATTTTGATTGGTTCCGATATATTCCGGAAAATGCCGCAATCGAAATGGAAGATCAAAACATACAATATTGCAGAAATCCCCTGTGGTTCCCCACAAATTGAAACGATTGTTTTTTACGATTATCTTTATTATTCCCACTAGAAACCATTATATATTGTTCTAATGTTATATATCAAGATAATTGTTTAATGATAGATCAAGGTTTTTCATCTAAAAGTCTTCAGAATAAGGAGAAATGTTAATAAAAAGAAGCAAAAGTTCACGACCTTGACATGACCTTCAAGATCGCAAGTTTGTAAAATGTGAAAACAAAACTCTTAATTTGAGCATTTCCTTTATTCATTTCAGACTATTTTGGTATAACATTACTTAAGAATTGTGTGAAAAGGACCCAGTGATAGATATTTATCGGGAAGATGCATCAAATTACAATATATGTCATTTTTATCCCATTTTAGTGTAAGCACTCTATTATCGCCCACTTTATTTTCACTTTCACAATATTTTCTTGAACTTTGTGAAGAAATAAGAGGGACGCAAAAAATAAGATGGGGACTCAAATTTTTCAAATGGGTTGCGTCCCTGGGACTCAAAAATTTTAATGGCTAGCGCGAACACTGTATTGTGTATGTTCATATCGTCTCAATCGTGCCCAAATTGCATTGCACATTTTACTAGATATAATTCATCACAACTTACATAATGTGACCTCCAATTGTTGATTTCCCAGCATCTACATGGCCTATGAAAACAACATTGACATGGTCTTTCTTTACTTCAGTTTCTGAGTATCTTTTAACTCTTTCTGCTGCGGCTTTGACTGTAGCTCCGCCCCCTTTGTCAGATTCTTCTGAGGGAGTAGAACAGGTGCTAGCATCTTTAGAGGTCTCCCAATCATCAGGGGGAGTTACAGATGTGTCTGGAATTTAGGGTTAAATAGTTAGTTATTGTAAGTAGTTACAAAGTAACAATATGTTACCAAAGCCTATTGAAAAATGTCAACTGCCAGCCCATGGTCATAAAAGTAATGGCAAGAACATGAAAGTTATGTATTTAGTTGGTAAGATTTGAACGGACAAGATGTACAGTACAATTACTAAAATAACATAAATGTATCACAATGCATCAGACAACACTAAAAAAGAAACATGGATCGATATGCCATAACATTAACTTTGAACCTTCAAAGTTGTTTCTTATATCTAAAAGTAACTTACTTTCTTCAACCTCCATAGATTCATGTGTTGGTGCACTGTCAGCAGTGTTTTCTGTAACAATACATACATAAATATTAATCAAATTGTACCACAAACATAATCTTAGATAATGTTTATTGCATAAAACATTCCCCACTACAGTTATCCAATTAAACAATTGCTATTAATCTAAATCTTACCAAGTCTCAATTTTAATGAGATCAGAAGAGATTTGCATTTACCAATAAGAATTTACATTTTCTCAAATTTTATGATATGTGTGAATTCAGGACAAAATTCCTTTTCAGAAGAATTTGCATGATCATTTAATTAATCAATTTCTAAGGATTTTTAACTTTTCTGAAAAAGTTGGGCTAGATCCCCATTGACACAATGACACAGAAAAACTCAAAAGTTGATTTATTCTTTGTAGAATAAGTAATTTTAAGGATAAATTACAATCCACATGTCAACAAGATCATTTTGTATGCCAGGACTTTTACATTACATTAAGAAATATTGAATAAATCAAGTGACTTTTTCAGTTTCCAATTGTAAATGCTGGTATTTTATCCCTAACAACATGATTGACATCTATAGTTACATCTACTTGTAAATATAGAAAATGATCCATTAGATCGATTTTGTAGCTTGGTATTTCAAACTTTGGCTAGTAACCCGTCTCATCTAATTTCCCCTTCATCACAATATTAATGACAAAAGGATTTGTTTAAGTTGATCCAAAGCTCCATGAATACAAGATTACATAGAAAGAAAAATAATATCAAAATATGTCCCTTTATTTTATTGTGTATCATGCTTGATCATATACTGGGTATATAAATATTTCAAACACCATGCCCTCGTCACATATCAACTCTCCAAATGGTTTTGGGACATACAAAAAAACTTATTCATGTACATCCCTGCCTGAAAAAGGTTATTTAGACTCCGAACAAGTACATGTATGTTTTAAATACTGCCTAACAAATGCTGATATCATTATAGTGGTGTAACGAGTGACTCGGGTAATCGACTAGAACTCGAATGAACATCGAAAAATGATCAATCGATTGAAAATGTGAAAATCGTGATCCTGAAAATTTCTGAGAAAATCACGATTTATCCTCATACTACAATTAAGCAAGGATTGTAGCTGCCTTTACATTGTTTCTAATAAATTACATACTTCTGACTATATTCTGAAGATTGTTTTGTTGATTTAATGGTCAGTTGATGAGACAAAAGTATGAGAATCGTATTCATTGCTTTTTATGTTTGTTTATATCCAGTATATCACATGCGCATAAGCCGCATAATTGTGTATTTGTTTAGAAAGGATCAGATCTAGCAAGATCCAGATGAGTATTCTTGATAAAAAATTGTTTCAATTTTAGACTAATTTGGGCTCATATTATACTCAAGTGTATCTGTGATGGAAAAAACAATGAATAACAACTGATGCTGTTGGGATTACCTTATTCCAAGGCCATCTCTGTATATTCCAGCCTTGCATCAGGTAAACGTCTGCTTATGTATTTGCTAGTTCTCACTTATGATTTTACATTCTTACTATTTATGAACAGAATTATGTTAAACATAGCTTTTTGTGCCTCTTTGTAGCATGTGAGTACCAGTGATCTCCCAAGGATTTTTTCTCAACATGGTGCAAAATTTTAATTTTCACTATTCAGATCAAAATTGGTCAAAATGTGCCAATTTTTCATGATCTTTCTCATTTTCAAGTGGGTGCAAATGGATTTTCAGGTGGGTACAAGCATATTTTCAAAATCTCAGGTGGGTGCTCCGCCCACTAGCTCTAATGCTGGGGTGATCACAGAGTACATATCAATGTCTATATTGGTTATTTGAGAATACAGTTTCACTTTTTCCTCTTACCAGTCATGACCAAGCTGCATCCCCATTAGATGACAATTTCACAAATATTTCTTAAATAATATTCAAAATGATAACAGTCCATTTAATATTTCAGTTTCATCAATATAACCCGAAAAATAATGTATCAAAAAATAACAGTCCCTTAATATATGGAAAAATATATTCATACTATAATAGGAATAACATTTGAAAATTTCATATAAAGCTGCTGTTTGCCCCGAAACGCAATCTTGGGTTGTTTCCGGGGTGAACTTTATCATTTTGAGCTTAATGAAAGATTATAGAATGATGAACAAATGGGGCAAATCTTGTGTATAAAAACTTACAATAAATGTGTAATTTCAAAGATTGTTCATCGAATTGCTTCGATTGGTGACGACGAAATGATTTTGGAATTAAAAACGTGACGTAACCGTAAATCTATATTAATTAAGTCTCAAACATTTTCCTCACATGTTACTTTAGGAGGTACTTCCTAATAGAAATTCTAATAGCTGTGCCCCCATCCTCATAAGCAGGTGTCCAGAATCTGTACCTCCTTCCCCCTGCTATAACCAATTTGGAAGCACCCGATTAAACTGAATCATGTGATCTAATTATGCACAATGACTTATACACGATTTCTGTCGCAGTGCGACAGCCAATCAGATTGCGAGTTCGGCTCATTTTCCACAGATCTAGATCTAGTTGTATGTGTTATAAACCTGGAAGAAGCCTTCCTCACTTAATGTTACTTTAGGAGGTACTTCCTAATAAAATTCTGATATCTGTACCCCATTCATCACATTTTCCTTACTGAACACAGCTGGCTCAAAAGTCAGCTGATGAACCGTTAAAATTTACCGTCTTGTGAAGTGGTTTTCTCCAACTTCCAGCAGGCGCGGTGGAATAAGAAACGGTATTTAAGAAGATAATTGAATGTAACTTGCTCTTTTCATGATGCGTGGTGACAATAAGTCCTACTTGTTGTGTAATTGCAGTTAAAGTGGAGAAATTCCAGAACTGACACGCACCATTTTTTAACTTTTAGCGCATAAGTGCACATGCGCATTGTACTTTTTATGCGCATGGGTATTACCGCTGAAAAAGCACGTGACTATTCATATTTAGAGTCCATTTCACTGCTTCATTTCGTCAGTAGAACGGCAAAAATAAGAAATTGGGAGACCATTGTGCAATAATATATGGAAAAGTATATTCATAATGTACATGAATGACATTTGTATATCTTGGATTGCTTCTAGTTTGGCTTATAAAGTGTGTGGCCTCTTATATTTGGATGTTTCTCTGCCATGTTATTTTCAATAAGATTAACATGGCTGAAATTCTTCAAATTACAAGACGGCACAGGCTTATTGCACAAAAAACTAAAAAATCTGAAATATGCAAATGTCATTCATCACGCGGTAGTATCTCTTCGGGACGTATCGAAACCACTCCGTCCCGAAAAAACCGTTAATTTGAATTTAAAACCTACCCCTGTGTTTGAAAATCAAGGATTGTGAGTCTCACACTTCACCGTTTTTCTTCAAACTTGTTCCGTACAAAGCTTCACAGAAATACCTTTCGGTCGATACATTGTTTTCGTGTACAAAGTACCTCGTTTTAGCGGCGTTTTGGTCCCCAGCTGTGAGATAAAGCAAATTTTCATAACTTTCTACTGTAAGTCAAGTTATCTCGCCAGTCTTTTACCCATTCTCGCCCATAATTTCAGAATGGACTCCCATTACAACCTTCCATCGCTACGTCTTGATTTTTGGGCATCAAACGCAGCAGTTTCTAAATCATCCACACATCTCTTCAAATTTGACCAATACGTCCCGTCATCTTCCACTACGCCCCGCCGAGTCTATCACTATACACGTAGAGTTGCATTCTAAAACAATTTGTCCATCGATGTGTCCGTTTGTAGGTTGCCATTGTCGATTCTAAATAGTAAATACCAATCGGATTGTGTTTTAAGATTTACCCATTCTTGTCCATTTTCAATATACCTATAATAGGGTGGTCCAAAATCTCCCTAAAATTTAGATTTCCCGATATTGCAATATAAAGATTTTAATTACTGAACAATTGAAAATATTTTTAGTAAACGTTTCAAGTGCCCTATCCTTGAAAAAATGTTTAAATGCGAAAGGATGGGTGATGTCAATTATATTATTTTCAGCATAACAATAGAAACATGTATCATTTTATATGGTACACGTTTCATAATGTAATCCAATGGAATCATACAGAAGAAAGGTTGACACACAACAGTTAAAATCTTTATATTACATTATCAGACCAAGTCAGTAGATGTTGTTTATATACCAATTAGTGTTGTATGATGATGCATTCTTTATATGAATCTAGAAACGTTTTTGTGCCAATATTGCTCAATTTTGATAACATCTCCGTTATTTTGAAATTAGCTAAAAAAGTGGTGCCTGTAGGGTTATTGAAAATCATACATGAAGAAAAAATACATATTCCTGAAATACAACAGTTTAATTTTGAGTTATAAACTATTTATTAAAACGGCATATTTGTCAAAATTACCAAAACTTCAAGTGAGACGCGTGGAAAAATTTCCCAGGGGTCTAGAGTGTAAATATTTGTACCAAGAGTCAATTTGTAACTAGAATCTATCAGATGACAGATTTTTGGAAAATTTTGCAGATTTGGACAACCCTAACCTATAACTTTGTTGAACCTGAAGAAACGTATCAACTTTTTGTTAAATAAAGATAGCAAATTCAGCTGTCTACTGTACCTAACTTGTACTTTTTGCTAGTACTCAGATTGATGGATATTCTGTCGTATGACATGCGACAAACATATCAATTCTCATGGGTTTACATGGGAATATCGATTTTCAAAAATTCATCAGATTTATCATCCATTTCCGATCTATTGTAATTGAGGAAAAACATCAAGAAAATTTGGAGGTATTGGGAATAAAGTCAAGTTATATTTACGTCAATTTTGTAAGTATTTCCCCCGCAGGTTATGTAGATAAAAATTCAAACATAAATAGGCTTTAACACGTAGTTCAATGGGGAGCTAAGGTTGCCAAACTTATGGAGGGGACAGTATCATGTAAAAGTATATTTTGTCACCAATTACACGAAACCTGCTACTGCATTATTGAAACTATTATCCCGGTAAAGGACCTGTTTCAGATTCTATTACCGCCTCCCCATGAAAAAATATAAATTCATCTGATATTTCAAAATCGACCAAGGCAAACCTATGTAAAATTACACAACGATGAACAAAATGTTTTAGAATACAACTCCACGTTTGTAGTCATAGACTCGGCGGGGCGTAGTGGAAGGTGACGGGACGTATTAGTCAAATTTTAAGAGATGTGTGGATGATTTAGAAACTGCTGCGTTTGATGCCCAAAAATCAAAACGTAGCGATGGAAGGTTGTAATGGGAGTCCATTCTGAAATTATGAACGAGAATGGGTAAAAGACTGGCGAGATAACTTGACTTACAGTTGAAAGTTATGAAAATTTGCTTTATCTCGCAGCTGGGGACCAAAACGCCGCTAAAACGAGGTACTTTGTACACGAAAACAATGTATCGACCGAAAGGTATTTCTGTGAAGCTTTGTACGGAACAAGTTTGAAGAAAAACGGTGAAGTGTGAGACTCACAATCCTTGATTTTCAAACACTGGGGTAGGTTTTAAATTCAAATTAACGGTTTTTTCGGGACGGAGTGGTTTCGATACGTCCCGAAGAGATACTACCGCGTGTTCATGTACATTATGAATACACTTTTCCATATATTTGCTTCATTTCGTCAGTAGAACGGCAAAAATAAGAAATTGGGAGACCATTGTGCAATAATATAAGGAAAAGTATATTCATAATGTACATGAATGGCATTTGCATATTTCAGATTTTTTAGTTTTTTGTGCAATAAGGTTGTGCCGTCTTGTAATTTGAAGAATTTCAGCCATGTTAATCTTATTGAAAATAACATGGCAGAGAAACATCCAAATATAACGTATATATAACGTATGTGCTCAAGACCAGAACGTAGAGATGGCACTGGGTAACATGTGTGGTTAGAAGGGGGAATTCCACCTTGGTGGAGGCGGCAAATTAGACAAACCCCTCGATATATATTGTACTTGTGTCATCAATGTCTACAAAAAAATTTACTTCCGGCGCCATTTTTATAAACATATGCGTCATTTTTCAGTTCATTATTGTGAAGTAATTTATTTACAGATTTTTACCAATTATATCTCATCTTATATGTAATACATTAAAGATCTAAAAAATACTCACGGCTTGTATCTGACGAAGTCGTAGCAAACGAGGGGACAAATTCTTTGGCGTTGTAGTTCAGTCCCGGAACGAAAGAAGGAGCTTCGACGTTGAGTTCAGACATAGGTTTTGATAACTGATTAACATCAATTGGATCACCGAATCCCCCTGAATCGTTCTGATCCCAGGAATCTGGAGTGTTATTGAAATTGTTCGTGTTAGCCATGTCGGCTAGAGGTCCGTTTAATTGTCTAATAATCACTTCAATATTTCGTACAAAATCCAGATGGCCAAACCTCGTGTGGATGTAAATGACGTCACGCCTGTCTTGCGCATGCGTTGTTGCGCAATTCCATATTTCCGGAAATATACGACTATTTTAACTCTACTATTTTCCCTTTGAACTTGATTTTCAGCTTTATAATGTGAACTTCGTTTGTATATATGTCATATATAGCGTTTTGTGATAAAATAATACGATTGTATTGGATTTATTTCATAATAACATTTCACTCGGTTTGCTCACGTTATATTCCAAAATGGCTGCCGCAGCCCAAGCCGCGCTTTTGGATGAATTGATGGGCAGAAATCGTAATTTTGCCCCAAATGATAAATCTCACGAAGCCCACTGGAGTGATGACCAGGTATTTTACTCGCAGTATACCAATTTTGATTATGTTTGACCCATGTGCCACGATAAGTATTAGCTAATAAGAATGCAGCAAATCTTTTCTTTTCAGTTTTTTTTTAGAACAATTTTCATTTGCACAGATTTCAAAAGTGCAGAACAGTCAACAGAAGAGACTCTTTCAACAAAATGGCATGATTGCATGAAGCGTCATCTGCACCGACCCGGGTGGTGTATGGAAAATCTTTAACACTTATATAGTGAAATTTACAGCCCATTTCATTGTTTTATTTCGTCAGTAAAACCATGGGGATTCAATAGAAGGGTGTTCAGAAATTCTTGAAATAGAACGCTATAAAAACCATTCGACCTATTGAGTTCTAGGTTGAGATTTGTAAGTTTTATACTCGCATAGTAAATGATGTGTCCCAGGAAACGTTAAAACAGTTACTAGAATCTGAACACAAATTCTCGGTAGAAGTTCATATGGTGAAAATAACGAAATAATGAAATGTTACCGTGTGTCTACTTAGCAGTTTGTTCTATGTCATCCCTCCTGCAAGATTACATTGTTGAACTCAGCCAAACACGACAATGAAGGCAGTATTCTGATGTTATAAAATCTAAATAGTAAAACTTTCCCATTTCTTCTTCTTCTGCAGCCCCTTGGAGACTTCCGGAATTGAACAAAGTAGCGAACGTTGCGATCTTTCAACTTTAGTCCGTTGTTTTTCACCACTTTATGTGTAGTGTTTTCATTTAGGAGGCGGTCTTATTTGAATGCATCATTTCAGGTCTTTATGAATCAATAGATCAATAAGCAGACTAAAAATACAATTTTTAGCAGTTTCTTTCATTGCGTACTGGGCCTGTTAGGCACGAAATACAATTTAGCAGTTTTGTTCGTTGCGTAATTGGGGGCCTTCTATAATCAGTCTGTCAGTAGCAACTAGCAAATGCTCGGAAAACATTTTCCAATACTTCCGTTTTCCTTGAAGACATGGTTGGGTGACATGTCATTGACACGTCATTAAGTCACATGATCGATACAGTAACTAGACACGTGATCAGACACGTGTCACGTGACGTGAGCTTGCAAAATGGACGATCTAAATTTCCAAAAATTCTGCTAAGAACAACATCGACATGTTGTTGCCTTCATTGTTGTGTTTGGCTGCGTTCCACAATGTAACTTAGCAGGATGGATGACATAGAACAAACTGCTAAGTAGACACACGGTAACATTTCATTATTTCGTTATTTTCACCATATGAACTTCTACCGAGAATTTGTGTTCAGATTCTAGAGTCCATTTCACTGTTTTATTGCATCAGTAGAACCCCAAAAATAAGAAATTGGGAGACCATTGTGCAATAATATATGGAAAAGTATATTCATTATGTACATGAATGGCATTTGCATATTTCAGATTTTTTAGTTTTTATGCAATAAGCCTATGCCCTCTTGTAATTTGAAGAATTTCAGCCATGTTAATCTTATTGAAAATAACATGGCAGAGAAGCATCCAAATATAAGAGGCCACCCACTTTATAAGCCAAACTCGAAGCAATCCAAGATATACAAATGTCATTCATGTATAATAGGAATATATTTTTCCATATATTATTGCATAATACTATTTTGATTTCTTTTTTTTTTTTAGCTTTTACTGACGCAATTAAACAGTGAAATGGACTCTAGCCAGTACACAAACTGTACAAGGTCAAAGGGAGGGGGGGGGGGCAATCTGCTCAAAGTTCAGTTTTTTTAAATTTGAATCATGGGAATGAAATAGCTCCATTCATGCGCAAAAATCTGAATCAAAAATTGGAACCTTGCACAGAATGCCTCTCGGCAAAAATGGCTTCTATTACTGTTCTTTTTGGACACCCAAGAGGTCGAAGGTGCAGGTTAAAGGTTTTTTTAGAGCATTCTGTTAGAAATTGCTTGTTAGAGTCACAGGAACCTGTATCAACACCGTAGATTTTACTAAAATATACATTTTGCACGTATTCCTCAAAGTATTTACATACCGTATGGATACCTGAGAAACTATACATTGTATAGAATTAAATATAATATGAGAAATGAGATCTTCTACGCTTGATGTAGACAAGATACTGCCATAGTATCATGTCTGTCATTATAACACTTTCACTTTAATTAGCTCTAGAGCTTTCAATTCTAGGCTCGGTTTCAAATCTAAAAAAATTTGGGAAAGAGGAGGGGGCGGTCGCCCCAAGCCCTCCACCTTCCGACGCCAATGACTTCCTGGAAGTCCCCCCTTCAAATAAAAAACGATTTTAGTGTAGATTGTTTCTAGTAAACAAGCATTTCAATAGCACAATATTGATGAAGGATAAGATAGCAAAGATAAATAATTTTGCAATTCTGGCCTTATTTTATGACTAGACAAAATAGGTAGAACTATGAGAGATACATGTAGGTCTGGCTACGACACAAAGAGTCAATCTCCCCCCCCCCTCTATTATAGATAAATTGGTCTATAACTGTAACAGAAGGGGTGACTGACTCCCAGTGAGGTACAAGTGCATTAAGCATCTACAATTCAGCATAGATGGAATAATCTTAGAATTTAAAATTTGAACCCTTCAAAGACTATCATGCCCCACGTGTTGTACGTGGGTACAATGCTTTTTATACAAAGCCTTATTTATCTGCTTGTACCTTCAAATTATCCCCATTCTTTCAAAACATATTTAATGACTTGAAACACCCATATCCATTCCTAACATTTTGTTTATTTATCGCTAGTTTTGGCACAAGCAACAATCTTTAATTATTTGTTTGAAAATATTTTTAGATTTAACACCAGATACGAAAACATTGCAACTTACACTGTTCAAATGAAGTAAAACACATAATTTCAGCCAAAGATAAATAACAATTCTCTTATGCCTGGCATAACAACAGATCTACTCCCTTATTCCTGGCATTAAAAGAGATCTACTCCTTTATGCCCGGCATAACAACAGATCTACTCCCTTATACCCGGCATAACAACAGATCTACTCTTATACCTGGCATAATAACAGATCTACCCATATGCCTGGCATAACAACAGATCTACTCTTATGCCTGGCATAATAACAGATCTACTCCTATGCGCCCTGGCATTACAACAGATCTACTCCCTTATGCCCAGCATAACAATATTAACAACAGATCTACTCCCTTATACCTGGCATAACAACAGATCTACTCTTATGCCTGGCATAATAACAGATCTACCCTTATGCCTGGCATAACAACAGATCTACTCTTATGCCTGGCATAACAATAGATCTACTCTTATGCCTGGCATAACAACAGATCTACTCTTATGCCTGGCATAACAGTAGATCTACTCTTATGCCTGGCATAATAACAGATCTACCCTTATGCTTGGCATAACGACACTCTTATGCCTCTTGAACCTAGGTCAGTAGTTTCCCCATACCATGTTTGCTGATGTCTGAGTAAAAGTAGAAATCTGAGTTCAAAAGTCCGGTGTTAATGTTGAAGTATTAATGGTGTTTGTGTTTCAGGTCTGCAAACATTTCCTTTGTGGTTTCTGCCCGTGTGAACTGTTTGTCAACACAAGAGCAGATCTAGGTTTGTATTTTGTTCTTTTTCATGCTTCTAAGTTTTATTTTATAATTATATAATTACATTAATTAGATGTTTACAAAAGCTAAGCTTGTTCTGCATTATTGTAGGTACTTGTGAAAAGCTTCATGATGACTCACTCAAAAAAGACTATGAAAACAGCTCAAGGAATGGCAAAATGGGGTATGAGGAGGACTTTATTAGGTACTTACAGAGTCTACTCTCTGATGTGGAGCGTAGGATACGTAGAGGGCATGCTAGACTGGCACTGAACAGCCAGAACCAGGTGAGTAAGATAGAATGTGTATTGGGATGAAGGAATTTCAAAATTGTTAATATTTTCATGGCATTCAATTGAAAGCCCATGATATATGAAGGAAGAATATATATGAAGTGATGATTCACATTTGTATTTCAACTGACACCATTTCATACAACTAACTCAAAGCTGGAGAAAAGTGTGTCTACATGTACAATTATGGCTAAAAGAAAATCTGACAGTGCTGGTATTAATTCCATAAGTCTTTGATCATGTGGGCCTAATATTCATGCTTAAAGAAGAAGTGTGAAATCAAACAGATGTAGCTAGATTGACAAAGGTATGCTTAGTATTGGTTACTGATATATGGTCTAATAAACGAAAGATAAGTTCAGATATATTTGTGTTTTTCAGACTTCCTCTGGGTCCCACGGACGAGAGGAGAAGATACAGATGTTAACTGGAAGAATCAATGAACTTGTAGAGCAGGTGAGACACCATTCTACCCTTTTCAAGAAAATTCTCACAATCTAAACTTTATGAGACACCTTTCTACCATTTTCAAGAAAATTCTCAACTTCATGATAAACTTTTGAACTTGCTTTGCCAATCAGATCATTGATATTTCCTCAGCCATTTATACTCAAATACATGTAAGTACAAATATGGTCATATGTGGTGCCCTAAAGTTGAATGCTAACTGTAAATGATAAGTCCTTGTCATAGGTTAGCATATGTACTCCTAGTAACCCAAGCTGGAGTCATTTCTTTCCTTCATTTCTTCATACTATAATATAGCGTGTATATTATATAACTTAATCTTGGCCTATAATGTTATAAGGCCAATGTTGCCAAGGCTTTAGACTTTAATACGTGAAATAGATATCTTATTTAGCAGTTATGTCCCTATCATTGAATATATGCCTAACGTCTGTCACCAATATAGCCCGAGCTTGCGAGGGTTATATTACGACAGACCGAAGGCATATATTCAATGATACAGACATAACTGTTGTATTACATACTTTTATATCATGGCTACGTTATATCAATGACGCCACGTGTCTGTGTGCGAGTGAAATTAGTAAGAAATGAAACATGAATTCCCGATGACGTCATAAGATTGTCATGGTAAAAGGTTTGGCGGCTATACATATAGCCGACCTTCAGCTCCATTGACTTCAATACAAATGCTTCGCTGGGTATGTAATACTGTATTATAAAAAATCTTTTGAATTTCTGTTACAATATCTGACAGAATCTACATTGATAATTCACTTGTAGGCAGAGGAACTTGGCTGTGAGGGGAAGGTAGAAGAGGCTCAAGGTGTTATGAAACTCTGTGATCAACTCAGAGAGGAGAGACAGCAGCTAGAGTCCGTAAGTATCAGTGTTTGGCCTGTCTCGCTCGTTAAAATATTGTTAATCACAATTACGAAATTCAATATCTTTATACCACATTGGTTTTGTCTGTAAAATATGATAAAGCATATCATTGTCTTAACGCTGTTTTCAAGAAACCAACTGCTATGTAATTATCTCTTTGTCTTCAAACAAGGCATTTTATAGAAGGCAAGCACCACCTTCCTAAAAGGCAATAGGGATGACTGGATTGCTAAATTAAGAAGTATGGATGGAATATGGTGGAAAATGAAGATGACTTATCCTTTAAATAAAGAGGGGTGCATATCATATCTTTCTTTGCAGTTTTGAAAGAGGAATTGAGAAGCAATACATGGCTGTTTGACAATATTCAGCTAATACAGTAAATTTTATGTGATTGAATATGGTGGGAAATAAAGGGGTGCATATGATGTTTTTCTTTGTAGTTTTGAAAGTGGAATTATTCAGTGACCCTGAGAAACAATAAATGGCTGTCTGACTATATTCGGCTAAATAAATTTTATGTGATGAAATATGGTGGGAAATAAAGGGTGCATATGATGTTTTTCTTTGTAGTCTTGAAAGTGGAATTATTCAGTGACCCTGAGAAGCAATAAATGGCTGTTTGACTATATTCGGCTAAAAAATTTTATGTCAACATGTATGTCGACAATTATGTTTACAGGGTGGCTCTGAGAACATGTTAGCTCTTAAGGAAATGGAAGTCTGCAACGTGTGTGGCGCATTCCTGATTGTTGGTGATGCCCAGCAACGTCTAGCTGAACACCTTATAGGAAAACAACACATGGGTTACGCCAAAGTCCGTGCAACCATCGAACTGTGGCAGGTGGGTGACCTATATGTACTAACATTGAGTTTATGTTGTAGGGACCTTCAAAAGGCTTCCTCCCCGAAGCCCTGAAGGAAATGACTGTGTGTTCTGTCTGTGGGGCTCTGCTGGTTGTGGGTGACGTGGCCCAGAGGGTAGATGAACATCTTATGGGCAAACAACACATGGGATACGCACAAGTCAGGGCATATGTGGAGTCATCCCAGGTGACATTACCATACTATAAGCAAACTCAGTATTTATGGAAATCAACAATTTACACAAAAATTAATGGAACTGGGTTGGTTACTTATTTGGCTTGATATAAGGGCTCTGTTAAAGGCCAATTTGTCATCATGTATCAAGTTGTGTCTCAGTTGATTTGTCTTTTCATTCTTGTATTTATAACCACTTGGCATCAGGTTTACCTGCCTTTCTAGTGTAATAATACCATGCTCATGTGATTAAAGAATATGCTTTAACATGGATTCACCAAGTAGTAGAACTCTGGCGGTTTCATAATTTCTCGGTTCAGTTTTGGTATGGGTTTTCGATTCTTATGGCACTTTAGTGAATAAATCAAATAATTCAAACTGACACTACATTCGTGAAAACATCATCACTTCATCTATCAAAAAAAAATTTTATTTGTACCTTTTCCATTTATCAGAACAACTTTTCACAACCTGTATATCATCTTTTTTCATCTGGGACAGCGTCCATCATTGGAAAGCCAAAATATAGCTTTATATGATTTAGAAGCATCAGTAATGCTGAGTTCTTGTCTCTGTACAATGCTGTACAATGCCATTCATTTTTCACTTTTGTCAATGGCAATATTTTCACAAAAATAAGTACTGACTGAGCCCTAAGAACCGTAGTGCACCAGGATTTTGGTTTACCGTTGTATCCCTACCAATTATATGGCTAGTATTTCAGTTAATATATGAAAAACCAAATAATGAATTTCTCTTGACACACTATTTCTCAAGTGCTGATGTTATTCAAAGTGGTTACTACAGTAGTACATTGTTTCAATATATTTTAAATTTTGACATATTTCTTCAAAGAACCCCATTTTAAATATTGAATTTTCTAGCTGAACATTTGGAAACTGTATAACAGTGAAAAGTTCTAAACATGATAGATTAAATAGGTTGTACACATAACCAAAGTAATTACCTTAAAAATTCAACTCTACACTTTCAGTAATGGCATCCCCTCATGTAATGAATATAAATTAGAATATTAATGGACTTTTTATGTAACATTTTTATAGTTTATAAAACTTGTATATATTTTCAGAACAAGAGGCGCAATGAGACAGCAGAGAGAGAAGCTAAGTTATTGAAAGAGCGGGAAGACAGGGAGAAAGAGCGAGAGAAAGAACGAGAGGATCGTCAAAGAGAAAGAGAAGAACGAGAGAAAAAACGAGAAGAAAGAAGGAAAAGATCCCGCAGTAGGAGCAGGAGGAGTCGCAGTAGAGACAGGTTTGCAGGAATTAATCAACTCTTATTTGATCCTTTCATAAATCTGAGGAACTATTTTGATTTTACACAGGACTATTATCATTAATCAATTATAACAACTGGGATAAGAAATTTCTATGTTGAGGTATTATATTGAGGATGTCATTGTTTATTTTCATTTATTTTTAAGAAAGATTACTTCAGGGTGAACTTTGTATAATTCGTTAAATAACAAAGGTTTGGCAATAAATAGTGAAAATCATTAAATAATAAAATGCTACTATTTGTAAACTAAAATATAAAATAGTCTTCATTTCACCAAACAAAGGTCACACCTTAAGTACTATTCAAATCCCACTTCAACAAAATTTAAAAAACTGCTTTTACAGAAGACGTAGATCAAGATCACGAAGTAAAGGACGTAAAAGAAGATCACGCAGCAGGTCACGGGACAAAAAGCGATCACGCAGCAGGGACAGACGACGATCAAGAAGTCGAGACAGACGGCGGTCAAGAAGTCGGGACAGGCGATCATCCAGGCGATCAAGAAGTAGAGATAGGCGACATCGTTCAAGAGATCGTTCCCGGGATAGAAGACATAGATCTCGTGATAGATCCAGGACAAAAGACAAAGAAAGATCATCTCGGGATAAAGATAGATCCTCGAGGGCCAAATCTAGGGATAAGTCTAAAGATAGTGCAAAGGACAAAGCAGATGGTGATAAAGCAGAAACAAAGGAGCAGGAGGAGAAAACAACAGAATCTGCTGTTACAGAGAATGGAGATGGTGAGCACTGAATAAGACTTACAATTAAATAAATCTTGATCGGAACTCAAAACATTCTTGGTATGAACATCTAGTAATAACCATTTTTGTTGATCAATAAAAAGCAAACCTTGTAAAGGCTGCCTGAACAAACTATTGCTTTTAGGTAAAAGAACAGTGAATAAACAATTTTCTTTTTTATCAGGTTCACCAAGTAAAGAATTATCCACCTCAACAGAAAAGCCCACAGTAGGCTCAGATTTCCCAGAAGGCAGCACAGAGGAGGCAATGTCCCATGAGTAAGAGGCACCTCTACAGGTTTAATGTGCATACATATAAAGGTGAGTTGTGTTGGCATCGTGTCAAATATGGAATCAATTGAACATTTATCTGGCAAATCAATATTGAATCATATCAATTGAGAAAGTTTTGATTTGGAAAACATCAATGTTATTTGCCTAGATGAATTGAAGTTAATTCCGATGTTGACTAAATTCTTAGTGTTTTCAGACCACAGGTGAGTGATTATGTAAACTACTTAAAGAGACATTATGCATATTTATGAAGAAAAATCATTCGTATATATTCACCACCTGGTGTTTGACATAGGAAAAACTGACACAAGATTTTGACAGATTGAAAATATTTTTGATAATTTATCATAAGCTACCATGTTTTGAGCTGTCTCAGTTTTCAGTTGAAAGATTGAGTTCTTACCAATCCATTTGAAATACAAAGTGATGAAAAGTTTTTATTTTGCTAAAGAACATTGAAAAAATATGCATAGAGTCACTTTAAACAGAAGTTCAAGTAAATATAATGGTAACCGGACAACTCATCCCCTAGACAACTCATCTTGAGGGGAAATCTGGAAAATTGTTTAAAAAACTATGATATACCATGGTACTACTATGGTATTGTCAAGGAGATTATCAACCAGTTTATCTGTAATTTGTTTTGTAAATATTAACCTTTAATTTTACTTTTAATATACAATTCCAATATTATGTTAACATTGATTGAAGAAGCTCCTTTGATGTCATAAGCTCCTTTGATCTCATTATATGTGTGTTGTTCATTGTTCAAATATTCTTCAATCAAAAGATAATTTTTTCACAGCAGTCACAGATGAAGTGAAAAATAATATTTAGAATGATTCAAAATGTATTTAGTAAATATTTATTTTCCAAAGAAACTTTACAATTTGGCTTCATGTGATGAAGGATGAGTTGTCTAGGAGATGAGTTGTCTAGGGGATGAGTTGTCCAGGGGGATGAGTTGTCTAGGGGATGAGTTGTCCAGGGGATGAGTTGTCTAGGGGTTGAGATGTCCAGGGGATGAGTTGTCCAGGGGATGAGATGTCCAGGGGATGAGTTGTCAAGGAATGAGTTGTCTAGGGGATGAGTTGTCCGTAAGCCAATATAATACCATATAAGGATATGTCACTGAGATGCAACCAAGAATAATTTATTAGTTAATATGACATCCAATCAATTTGCAAGCTGGCTAATCGATATTCCAACTCATGTGCTTAAAAAATTTTGAAATTGCAGATGTGACAGTTATTGCTGTTTATTTCACTTCAACATTTTCAGTTCTAAACTAAGATGACAAGATTGCAATTCCTTTTTCCATACATTATTAAAATGATAAGTAAACTACAATGGATGCTCATTCCAGGTTACTTAGTGCATTTCAATGGCATCTCTGAAACTGGGAAATCTCCTCTTGATCTTCCAAAGTTAGGTCTGAATTTTTGAACTGACAGCTTTGTATTCGTAGACTTCTCTTTGTTATTTCTCGACTGGATTAAATGTTTTTCTCAATTGAATTAGAGGAAATTCATCAAAATTACTGTCTGGAGCTTTGTTTGCTATGTATATCCTCAATGAAGCATCGTTATTAACACAGTGCCTTGGTCTATATGGCAGATATCTCCCTGAGCGAGCCACTATCATGGCACCTAGTGCTCCAAGAGAGGATCCTATGCAGACTTTTTATCAACAATATATGACATAAAGACATAAGTCAGGTATTGCAGCCAGGTATAATCTTCTAGCTATGAGCTATATAGGTGTGCTCAAAAATAATTTCATCTTATTTTGTTATATGCAACTTACTTCAATACTATGTACACCTGTTTTTCACATGACATTGCACATTATACAGCCAGTTTTTCCATGATATGACTTTTATTGATGGCTAATGTATATTTTATCCATTAATTCAGTTCCAGAATTTTGTACTTTATTTGTAATGAATGGGTTCGATCCAAATATTTGCTACTAATCTTAAGTTACTTGCTAGGCCTGCAGTTTTACATCAGCCTAATTTAGGGGATGAACGATGGGACACCAGCCTTGAACAATGAAACTGACACTGGGAACATCATTCAAGGTGTAAAACAAATGCAAATGGAAAGAGGTAAAAAAGAGGTACCAATAGAATTTGATTTATTTTCTGTCTACTGTTGGCATACTTTTTCATACATTTAGATATTTTTCTTGATGTGTGTGACATATTTGGATGTTTACATTTCTCTCATATTATGGTCAAGTGCAACTTGGGATGAGGACCTAGAGAGCCATCTATTTTGAAAGACCCATTGAACTGGAACAGCAGGTCAGTCAGCCATTTGTTGTAGGTGTCCTTTAAGACCCCTTCTAACCATTGTGAACTGACTTGTAGGAGCAGCACCACCCTTACAAAAGGTAGCATGGGGACTTGGGGAGTCATGCAGAAACAACCTTAAATAAAAAAGCTTGTATTGGTTTGCAGTCTTGGATAAAATTTCTATATATAAACCTATTAAAAACCCTTAAAGGCAGTCCATGACCTCCATGCTTCCTCTTGTTCGCAGGGTAAAGTGGTTTATTCTAGGTATGTTTTGGCTGTTATGCTCTGCACTGGTGTTGGCATTGTTCCTCGTCCTACTATATAGTAAATATTTTCATTTTCACTGCTTTCCCGGAGAGAGGAGAAGAGAATTCTAGTTTCATCTATCAGTGAAAATGATGATATTTCAAGTAATAGTAGTTTGTTTATAGGTGTACACTTCAATAGCAAACGAAGGTTAGTGAAAACACATACCCAATTTTCATATTTTAGGATTTCTACCTTAGAGAGAAATCAGAAGAGTAGGGTTAGCAATGCTACATTAGATGCTTCAGAGGTTAGTGCAGTAGTTTTATTTCAGGAGGTTGATGCAGACATTAGCAAGCAAATGTAGAGGTTAGTCTATGTATGTTATCAGTTATAACTGGATACTGGACTCTTCCTATCTGATATGCTGATTTTCCCAAGATTGCATTGACATATATAAGATGGTATTTTTTTTTAATTGACAAATTTTATTTCTCATACTCTGATTCACTGATAATCAATATGTTGAATATTCTTGGGAAGAAAAGCATTACAATGACATAACCATCAGAAATAGCCTTTTATAATGATAATTACATGGCCAGAGTGTGAGGAAGCTGCCAAGGGTTCGCTGCAACTACAGACACTCCAGGTACACTAAGAAATCCACACAAGGTGAGCCTTATATTTACTGTGTTGTTCACTATTTCAGTCATCTCCGCGTGAACTAGGAATAATACAACGTGTATGCTGTGACAAAAGGATCCAATGGACACTTTCACTTCCACTGGGACAGAGGCTGCTATATTTGCAGTTTGGAATGTATCAACCATGAACAAGGCCAACTAACAGCAAAGCTTGGAAACAGCTGGGAAACATTCACCTCACCTGACCAGCAATGTATTCAATTCGCCAAATACTCCCTAATTTTCTTAATCCAGTTTTTAACTTCATTAATCTCAAACATACCAAAGAAGTGATGAAGGTAAATTTTCAATTGTTTTGACTTTGTATTCAGTTTTAGCCGAAGCATTACCTAAAAGCTTCATTTTCAAAACCAGAAATAATTATAAGTGAAATACAATGAATTTGTAACAAACTTATTTCATATTTTATATCATTTAGTGTTAAGATTTTCTAAAATTTCATATTGTCAAACATTCATCAACCACTGCTGATGACTTGGTGGAAATAGTTTTTCATTGAATATGCCATGTTATATAGGCCTAGATATAACTGTTCAACTGAATCTTAAAAAGGAACGTTCATTCTGATTTAAATTGAATGTTTAAACTTACTTGTTATTAAAAAGGATCATCCTTGGCAAATATGTCTGTATAATCCAAGATATATTTATGTAAGGATAAGCCTCATAAAACAGACTGTGTCATCAACCATTTCACAAAGGCTTACTTGTTATTTGAGCACTACACAACATTTGATTGGTATTAGTGAAAAGCGAAACTAGTGATCTTTGGTTGAAGATATTAATGTTGTTAATTGGAATGTCTGTGTGTATATAACTTGATAATGTAATGTGACAATGTGAACTGAAGTATGCTAGAAATAAATACAAAGCATAATTATAAACATTAATTTTATTCTTTGATTGTTTATTATTCAGTAGATTTCTATCAAACCCAGTTCTTTTTGGTGTCTATCTCATGTAACACGCATATAATAATGGGATACGGTGATCTCTGTTTTACTTGACACTGAATGTTGACAGTGGTCTTCCTAGCAAATGCACACTGCACTCACATAAACAATCATTTGCATCCACTTGAAATGAGGAAACTGAGAAATTAGTTGACTTACATTTAGACCGTTTTTGGCTAGAGTTGTGAAAATGAATATTTTGCACCCCTTCAATAAAAAATACCGAGGAGAACACTGACTGAACATTGCAGGATACTTATGTGTCACCATAGGTGAATTACTATTCAACACAAGGTGGTATTGTCGTGATTGAGTCAATAGAATGATCAATAGAAAGAATACAATGTTCTGCAAATATTTCATGAGAACATAGTGCTAATATCCACATGCAGCTCCATCTCCACGTGGATCAGTTCCTGCCCACCATACATTTGTGTCATTCACTGCGTCATCACGGCCACTCTTTAGAAACCACGCCCCTTTAGTGATCACGTGACCCCTACCAAAAAGTAATCTGTCTGTACCCTGTACGGGACCTTCACATTTATGTCCCATTGCTTTGAGCTTTTCTAGAATGTCTGCAGGAATGCCATCTTCAAAGTAAACACTGCCTGAACAACCCCTAAAACAAAATCACAATGGTAATGATGCTCCCCAAATGAGAAAAATAATCGACAGCAAAGAGTAGAGATACCCAGACAGTGTGTTAATGTTCACAGGTAGGGATCAAATTCGCCCCTTCCCGTTCATACCGCCGTTTTCCGTAGAGGTTACCGCGCCTTCGAGTAGAAATACCGCCCCTTCGAGTAGAAATCACGGACAGGTAGGTCATAGAACTGCATCTAAATCGTAATTTACAATAATTATCCGATCTGTTTATGGTCTAATAAGTTGAATCACATATTTATCTACCATTTCCACCCATGTCCCACGCCAGCTTACCTCAAGTTTCTTCATAAACGGGCGCACAGTCGGGAATTATCATTCGAAAATCTCTCGTGGCCAGTTGTTTTGGTAAAACTCGTGTTTGTATTAGTTCCCCCAGCTACCACATATAATTGGAATTGTGCCATGAATGTTAAAGATAATATCCTTTTGTTCGTTCATATAATATTCCATCCCATTTGACGATCAACACAATTTGACACGAAGCTCCACTGTTTCTTTGTAACAGTTTCACACCTTATTAGTAGGTGTACTGTACGTACATTGAATATGCCAGTTCTGCATGGGATCCATACCGGCAAAAATATTGATATGTTGGAACAGGAGCAGAGAAGAGCAGCCAGGTTTGTAAATAACTGTTTTTTCAATGGTGTGGAATAGCACTATATTGGGAAGGAATTCTCTATTTTGTACACATATGATGTTAGTTTCTCGCGTATAGGCCAATGGGCGTTTATTTGAAAGTGGGGTGTATGAAAAGGTTTTTCCCTCTTTAAAAAGGTAACTGGTCAACTCAACCCCAAGTCAACTCAACCCAAGTCAAGTCAACCCTTAGTCAACTCGACCCCAAGTCAAGTCAACCCTTAGTCAACTCGACCCCAAGTCATCTCAACCCTTGGTCAACTCAACCCTTAGTCAACTCGACCCCACCATATTTAAATATCTATAAAAACAATTAGATGTACCTTTCATTATGATATTGATGAATTTTGAAAGAATTAGGGATAAATTAGAAACTAGATATAAATCGGAAATGTTAAGTAATTTTCTGAATTTATTGATTGTAAAAAAGTTAGGTGAATTAATTCTAAAAGATTAAATCATATTGGTTTTATCTAGAGAAGTTTATGCTAAACACTTTTAATTTAACAATTTATAATTTTTATGAATATGACATTTATTTACCAAAATAATACGTGATTAATATGAGTATAGTTTTAACAGAATTAGCCTAGCCTATCTTAATAGGGCTATTCACGATGCTATTCATATATTTCACACCTTCAAGGTAAATTGGCTGGCTATTGGATTAACTTTCCAATATAAATTTGTTTATTAAAAATTATTTCAAATAAATGCCCAGTTGGCAAAACATTCGAGAAAAGGGATGAAATTGCGAATAGTACATATGTAAGGTAATACGTGATTAATGTCGTTCAAGTACAAATGATTAATAAAAATGAGGTCACATATTGGTCAAAGTTTTTGCCCACGTTCGTGATCATACTAGTGCGTGAGTATGTGTATGTGTCAACTATACAATCGATAATATCCCCCTAGCTATTCCTCTAAATAAACGCCTATCCTCCTTGGAAAATTGTTTTCTCCCTCTTAATATAGGCCCATGGGCGTTTATTAAAAATTCTTTCAAATAAACGCCCTGTGCAAAATAAACGCCCGTATGCCTATTCGCGAGAGAGAGTAAAGAATAACTTGTAGATTTGTGATCATAACCACTGGCGAATCCAGAAGTTAACAAGGGGGGGGGTGTACATTTCAAATCCAAAAACTTTGAATGCCCATTTTTGATAATTTGACCTAAAAAGGCCCACTGCAAAAATTTTGGGCACACAATTGTTTGTGGGCCCCGGTAATTTGGCTCATTAACATAAATGTGACGACGTTTTTGCACTTTAACCAACCAGGACAGCAGAGGTTTTGATTTTCGTGGCCTCTTTGTTTAAATGTTTACGACATAAAGGTGAGAAGTTCTGCTGTATTTTATTGCAATTCTTTAAAAATCGATGGGCTGCGATTTGAGAAATTCTAATCTATTTACATAGACTATGATTTGTATCGTTTGTATCGTTCTTGAAAGAACTCTAAAAACGACACAAATCACGTGTAAATAGTTCTCTGTGATCTGAACTTTGCCAATTTAACATTAATCTGAATAAAAGGAGAGTTCTACCTAACTGAAACCAAAATACGATTAAGGTGCGTAATCCAAAAACGAAAACGGCGGAATTTGACAGAAACTGTAAAGTCGAAACAATGCTGGTATAACAGGTATATATTCTTATACATTTAGCCATTTAAACAGTAAAATCAATCAAATTTTACGTTGGACGAGGTGTGAAGGAACAAAAATGACCCCAAATCCAAGAAAAACGTACTTAACTGAAATGGTGGATGTCAGGGGGTAATTTGTGTGCTGTCCTACGAGCAACCTAGACATATGTAAGTACCCTTAAAAACGTAGATGATATGAAACACATTCCTCTAACTGAATATACTATGAAGAAAGGGATAGGTTGACTGAATTAAAAGATAGAGCCTTTGTATTCGTAAATTCTGTCGATTATCTACTCGAAGGAGCGGCAACCTGTACGGAAAACAGCGGTATGGACGCGAAGGTGCGATCTGATCCCTACCTGTGATGTTGAAAACAATCTTCATACACCGTGCTACTTTTCCTCGTGATTATATTAAATGGGAAGTTAGGCCATAAGAAGTAGGTTCCTTGTTTTGCGTCCTTGCAAAATCCAAATCATGCAAGGGTACAAGGAAAACAAACACAAACTCAAAAAAAACACAAACTTATTTGCTTAAGAAATGTATACATTTTATGAGCATAATAAGGGATGACATACCAATTTACAGTGATTACAAAGACATATCTATACATCATATACAATATATTTAAACATAGCTATTATTCAAAAGTAACCAAAACAAGAAAGTACACAATGTATGCCAAAGTAATCAATAACACTGTCAATTTCGATACACATCAAGTTGCTTGCATTTCTAATTCCGATTGAACAAAATGCGATGGTACTTCCATACCCTCGTGATTGCTATTTGGATGTGTTTGTTTTTTCTGATTTACTCAAAATCGTGCAAGCAAGGGGACGCAAAACAAAGAATCTACTTCTTATTGACGATTTAAGATGCAGATCTGTTATTAATTGAATTTTCAAAATCAAACCAAATAATTATGAAAAAAGTGATTACAGCTCACACGCTCTGAACAATATTTCAATAGACTATCCAAGTCTTTGTTGCCCCTTTTAAAATGGAATACCAATAAAATAACTCACGTATGACCTGGGCCAATGCAGAATCTTGGTTTATCAAGGGCTTCTTGGGGATTCATTCCAAACTCCAACATATTGAGCAATACTTGTACGTGTCCCTGGGGCTGCATAAAACCACCCATTACACCGTAGCTTGCGAGAAGATCCCCTGGAAGAAGTTGAATAAGTAAAATATCAAAAGCAGCAGATCTATCTGGATCGTTTATTAACAACCCTAGAAGTATCAGAGATAACATTTGAATAACATTCTGTACCTGTAGCTGAGGTGACCATTGCTGGGATGATTGTGTGGAAGGGTCTTTTATTTGGAGCAACTACATTAGGATGGCCTTCCTCAAGGGTGAAGTTACAACCGCGATTCTAAAATAAACAAAAAATGAGGAATACATTTGATTCAGGTTTCATTAGGGTTAAGCTTATCTTTTGTTTCAAAGTTGTAACTTTAATATCTAAATGAGATCTTTCTTAGTTTGTCATGCCTTTCGAAAGAAAAATTCTTTCATCTTGCTTTTCAAATCAGAAGCCCTGGAATATATGATGGGCAAAGATCAGCTGCACACCCGAGAATATTAATCCTGCAGGACCTGCCCTCTGGATCTCGAGGTATTTTTCATTTTAGATGAGTGGATAGCTTTCTGGTGCATTCGTATGTTTTTTTTGTTGATAAATATAGTATCTACTAACACTGACAGTTCATAGTCATACATCTCATGAAACTTCTTGCACAGACATTCACGGACATTTCAACAAATGATTCAGTTCATAACAATTGAGGGTACCTGTAGAGTAAAGCCGCAACCCAATGGCACAAGTCCACTCCCCAAGCCCATGTAGTTACTCTGGATGAAGGAGCATGCGTTTCCATATTCATCAGCAACTGTAAAGTAGACCGTGCTACTATTGTTTTCAGGATGTCCCCTATCTACCCCTTCTATAGCTCTGAAATATATCTGATATTTGGGATTTGCAATGCCTAGGCACATGTTCATTTTACTCTAACTTAAGTAAAATGGCATGTTAAAGGGTGACGCATATCGTTTAGCAAATCGAACGCTCGTTTCTGGTGTTGCTCACCGTTTAGTATAAAAGGCCCGATCCCGGAATAATACTCAAGGGTTCTCAGGTTCGAGGTCGTTGTGTCAACACCTCTAACTGTTATATAGCATAAGTATATTATAGATCGTCACACATTTATAAAAGGGTGATTTTTATTTTGACAAATCAATTCCACATTTATGGGTGAAGTTTCAGGATCTTCTATTTGTGTATAATAAGGAAAAATTGGCATCTAAATTTCCCCATAACGTAATAGCACACAGCTTGGCATATGAAATATCCTACAAATGAAACAAAGCAAGACAAACCGGTTTCTAATACAAGGATTTATATTGGCTGTTGTACATGTATTCTTTGAACGCAATCACTCTTTGGATTACGTTTTCAAAATCATTATAAATGGATTACTCTTTCTCAATTTCAATAAACTGGATTTTACAGAACTCCCCTTATTTCTTAAAAATGGACTGATCCAGTTGATTCGCCTGGAGCCGCCATATTGTTTTTATACGGGATGCTATTCGGAACCCTTTAAATAAACACCAATTTACTAAGACTAATTTACTGCCCCAATATTCCAAAAATGTATTCAAAAGAGTTTGAAGTTTATCATGATGAATAGTTGATCTCAGATATTCATCACTTGAAATGGAGCATTCGATCTCGATCGTATGATGAGGAACGTACAAATCTACAAGAAAAAGGTAACTATACGATACGTGCTGATACCAAAAGTGATAAAACATGAAAATGTTGGTCAGATGTTGGTCCTCTTACTTATCTGGATGCATTAGAGTTCTCCTCTCATTTGCATATCGTTTACTGATCATGCCATCAATAGGGACGTTAACCTTGTCCGTGTCCGCCACGTACCACATAGCGTCGGCAAACGCCAGGTGAAGCGCATCAATGACTTTATGCAGGTATTCCACACTGTTGTGACCAAGTTCTACATATGAAACATTCCATGCATTAGCACCACTGTGGCATAAAACATATGCTACCTATGCCTGTTCTTCATCACGTTCAGCCACAGGGAGCCGATTGAATGAAGATGGCACACAGGGCATGTACAACAACTCATGAGAGTATTATCTGAGCTCATACAGTACATGATGTAATAAAAAATAGTCTCACTCCACTCACTGTCTAGTTGTTGCTGGAGACCAGTGATACTGGATGAATGAACAGTATCGCGAATGACTTCATCACCCAAGCTTTATTAGCTATTGTATGTCATGTATGTCGCTCAGTCTGATTCATTCTTACCTGAAAGGTTGAACTCTTCTAATATATTCAAAGCCATAAGTGCCACTATACCCTGGCCGTTCGGTGGGATTTCCCATACACGTTTGCCTTTATAGTCCACGCTTATAGCCTCTGGGAACGTTGTTTCATGATTCTTAAGGTCTTCAAGGCTCATAACGCCTCCAAACTTCTGTACAACATCTACGATCGACTGTGCTATACGACCTTCGTAGAATCCACGCTTCCCGTCTGTTGCAACTGCCTGTAGTTAGATGTTGCAAGACATTAGAAAATTGTTTCTGAATTTAAAGTGTTTACTTTCTGTCAAAGGTCTCTCACTTACAATAAGATTCCGCCCTTTGTGTTAACCAAGTATCTTTTATATTGTTAAATACACTGTGCGATAGATCATCTTTAATTTGTAACTTTTACAGACCTACCCTGCTTATGATTTATATACCCCGAATATTATACTTCATTCCTAATGGACTTATTTACATACCCTGAATGTCTTTGCTAGGTTTGGTAGTTTGAGGACCTCGCCCCATTTTGGAGCTCGTCCATCTATCAACCAATCTCTACCGCCCTCGTTTCCAGGATTCAGTAACAAGTGTTTCGCTGAAACATACATTTTACGATTATTAATTATTTGGTGGTGTTGACATATTGTTAGTCTCCAATTTTTTGTGACGGCGTAGCGTCTGGTGGTCAGCTACCAGACTGACGCTTAATACACAATAATCCCGATTAGGGTTACTAAACCCCGGGTACTAAACATACTCATTGTCAATGCCTCTAGACCCCACTCTTTAAAGGAGAAGGAGATGGGGTGGGGGATTCCCGAGGGTGGATTTAAGACTATTAAATCTTACATTTGTCAAGGGAATATGCAGTGTTCTGGCATACAGGGTGTCCCTCCTCTGCTAGCTGAATTGCTGGGGCCAATAGGTCAGACAGCACAATCTGCAAATAATATGCAGACACCCTGTACTACGAATAATGCATGTTTTTTCATCAAAAGGCAACAGTGATTATAGTAATACTTGTATTTATTGCTATCTCTGTCCAAGATAAATTCGTGATGTAAGATCTTTTCGGCTTATGTAAAACTTAAAAGGTACGTCTTGAAAATGAATTCGGATTTTTGTCATGTTCAACAAAATGTATGTTTTCATCATGGACATTCTTTTGAGAATGGGTAATCATTCAACCACATTACAGGGGAAATTTACCTTTCCCGAGCCAAACATGTCAACCGTATCGACCCATGTTGCCGCAGTGCCAGGAACTGTGATGGCATGTCCATGCTGCTGAGGAAACCTTTCAGAGAAGCCATCAGCCAGCGCCTTTTCTAGTGTCAACGCCGAGGGCGCTCTGCCACTGAAATAGATCATTAAGTCATTTTTTCAAACCCAACTGACTCTTAAAGAGGCACTCTTGATATTGGATGTAATTCATGCTTATTTATCTATTTAGCCTACGTGCAGTGCCCGAGAATTCTTTTCTTGGAGAAAATTGATGTATCTGGCAGATACACTGTATTCAAGGTCACAATTCAAGACAGAACTGTTTGAAATCATTGCATTAACCTAAGGGACTCTCTTTAAAATCCTAATTGCAATTGGCAGTTCTCCGATTTGATTCCAGCGTTCTTCGCAATCGTTTTAGGAAGCAGACATTATTTCGTACAATAAGTATTTATTAGCTAATATTTTCCATTCATGATTGTCAATCTCACAAGAGCACCCAGATGTTTAATACATAAATTAACTTTAATTACACGGCCGTGTACAAAACACCGGGCGACATTTATCTAAATGCCTAGGTAGATTTGATAATTAAATGGTATTATGTCACCACCAAAAAGTGGTGACAAATTGTTATTGTCATGTTAATGACCTGTATTCATCGATTTACAATGGCCCCTACAATAGGCTCGTACGATACCTTCCATTTACAGCTTTGACGGATTTCGAATTGGCATCATAAAAAAGACAGAACGCGTCACCACCTATACCAGTTGATGTTGGCATAGTAACGTTGAGTGCCGCTGCCATGGCAACTGCGGCATCTGCTGCATTTCCACCCTTTTTGAGAATATCTGGAATACAAAATGATTTTAACTTACTTAGTGAACGTGGAGTTTATTTGCAATAAAAGATGGAAACGCTGTTCAGCCTTAAAAATCGATAAATCATTGTAAAGGTCGATAACTTATCTGAGGTGCAGGAATAAATGTACGCCTAGTGCACTGTTATGGTAGTATACATTGACAAAAGCTGAATGGATATTATACTAAAACACTTTATTTCTGCGTTCCCAACTTGTAATCAAAGCCCAGTGCTAAACTATACGTATACAATTTACCATTATATTGTGATATCACTGAATACAAAACGTTACAAAAGTCCGACCAAAGTTCTATACTACCTAGACCTATCTGGCTTGCCAAGGATTGCGAACTGGCAGTCACACCATGCAGACAACATAATGGCGTACGTCTTGATTCAAACTTCAATTCCTTCGATTCCATTTTTGAGTTAGAACTGCGCTAACCAGATACTTGGCCGTTATATACGATTTGTACGACTCGTTGTAAACTAGTGTCAAGAGATCTTCAGGGTCTTCAGTACATTTTAGTCTCGGGTGTATGATAACAAAGTAGTCCTTATTGTTGAAATCTGAGCGCCTGAAGTAATTTAAAGGGTAATGTGTATAAATAGGTCAGGTTATATTACTGGACGAAAATTGGACACGATTTAAAATCAACCTGTTAGCACTTTACCCTGCTTTTGTCAGGTTTTGTCATGTCAAATAAAAAATATATTGAAAAGACCAAGTTAATTAATAATTATTTAGTGCTAATCAACAGGATACTTGTACTCCTGGGGGAGAAGCCATTCGCATTCAAGTATCCCTTATTGATTCTCACATAAATTCCTATAGATAAACGCAGGCACTATCAAGATTGGAGTTGTGGCTTGGTTGCAGCTGCAATGTGTTCAATACAGGCAGATCGATAAAAAAGGTTAACGATAGAAGTAACAGCTGATAGTTAATAAACAGCTCATGACGTCAGAGTAAGTGAAATGGCTATTGATTATCCTTCCGCAGTGTTTACATTTACTTGTACAGGTAATTTTTACCATATGCCGCTCAATTCTGGGACTAGATTATTTATCTTATGGACCGTTAAGCACTTTTCCAAATCAGGTTCATTTACTTATGAAGTCGCTTATCATTATTAAAACACAAACAAACAAACTGTGTTTGAAGGTGTTTTGCAGCCACTTACAGAGCTACTTCCTGGATGTAAACAAACTAGCGGATTGATACAATGACGTCGGTAAGTAGGCGATGAGAATAGAGCTCTTAATGACTGTAAGCAGACGATAGATACACACAGCCAATATGTCGGTCCGATAGAGCATTTTATATTTTTATATTTTCTTATTCATATTTGAAGATTGGACGTATCTGGCAACGTGAACATAAAGGAGATCATACTTAAGGTGAGTCCTTACTTTAATACGAAACACAAGTAGAGGGGGCGGATACTTATTTACAAACAGTCATTTAAAGGGATATATTCTACCATATGCTTGGCTAATATCATACTATTTCACATAAGGGCTCATACAGCACAAATGCAATTGGATACCCTTATAGCACTTTACCTATAGCTTAGTATATTGGTCACATGAATACTAAATATACTTGTTCTAATACTAAAATCATATCTCTATTCATAAAAACAGGGAAATAAGTGTATCTATAAAAATTATTAAAAGGTTAGGGCCACTTGTATTTCCCTATTTGCCAGCGGCTAAAAATAAACACCAGAGTGCAATTGGAAGTAAACTGAATGCACTTTCCAAATTGGATTTGAAGAATAGCTTCCTTATTGAAATCACGGTCAGATCTTTTTTATAGCCAGATAAGTATTTTCAGGACAGCTGCTGTTAATGATTTTAAAAATTAATGACGTCACGCTGACGTATTATTGACATTTAGGTTACCCAGGGGCATTCAAGAGACAGAAAATAGACATTTATAATTTATATTCATTTATCTTCCACTTCTTGTCAAACTTTATACTCAAATCTCTAAAAAGGTATAGAATCTCACCATTATTGGACAGAGGTGTCATAAATCATTAATTCAAACCGTGACAACATAAACAAGTATTTAATTTCAGTCTAGTCTTTGTAATTAAATTCCGCTCATTGACAGAACATATGGAGAATAATATATGATATGCTATTTTATTAACCTATATTTGATTGGCCTTATGCCCTCGGTCGACTATTGCATTATCAACAGATTGTGAAAATCATCCATATGGTTGAAATAAACTGGCTAAAATATAAAAGTCCTCAGCCGCGTGCTCTATGTCAATATAAAGATAGAAAAGAGGTAAAGGTATGGGATCTACTAAGAAAAATGCTAAGATGTAAAGATAGGCTTTTCAGTTGTGGTCCGTGTGGCAAATATTCAAGACAATACTCGCTTCCATTACTTAAACATACTGACACAACAAAATGCGGTCCATAGTCTGACTTTCAACTGAAACCATCATAATTTTAAGTTAGCCCCAGCTTTCAACAAAAAGATACTGGGACTATGGAGTGAATACAGCGTGAATGACGATACCAATAATGCAAATGGGAACGTAGGGAATCAACTCTTTCCAGTTCTATGTACTAGTATTTGAACTCTATGGTTCAGATTCAGGCCAATCATTATAATGTGTAGCTTCCATAACTCTGAAATATGGATGGAACCAATTATTGGCCCTGAGCCCCATCCTTTAATTAATCCTTTATTTTGCATCTCAAGGGCTTCATCTGGTATTTTACATCCTTCGAACTCAGGTGTCCAGAAGTCATCCACAAGTTCCTTCCTTCTTTGGAAGAACGAGGCCTGTACGAGTTCTGAAGGCCTGTGTTCGAAAGATGTTATTTTACTGCTATACTCCAGGGGGTTCACTCTAAATAATTCGGGTAGGTATGCCGCAGCACGGCCAACTATGGCTTTGGGCATAAACCATGGAAATTGGGAAATCTGAGAGGAAAAAAAACATGGAAAATTTATTGAAGAAAGTACCTTTTTTAGGTCAAAATTCAGTCTCTACAAAAAATGATATTAAATTGGTTAAATTAATTACCGAGGTCTGGGACAAATCACTGGAAAAGGGATTTTTTTAGTTATTAACAATATTTAGGGAAATTTAGTCCCAGCAAACTCCAGAGGAATATTTGACATGGACATAATACAATGGCCAAGAGGAATAAAACATGGAAACCTTAAATCTTGAGTGGAAATTGACATGGAAAAAATGCTCAAAAAGGGGGTCTTTGGCGCGGCACATAGGTATTTAGAGGTATATTGGAGTGAAACCCCTGTGACTCCAGGATCAGGATACAGATTACAGCACTTCCTAACCGACTGAGAAATCGAAAATCGGTTTGAGTCCATTCAATTCTCTGAAGAAGAGGCTCATTGGATTAGACAATTGAATCCCGCGTGTAGAATTTTATTAAATCAAAATAGAAGGCAGTACGAAATTCCATTGGCAGATTATTAAACCATAGCGATCCACACTCTTCCAGCTACCTCCTCATATCAGGAGGAACTATCATCTTTCATCTTTTTTCTCCAAGTTGGGATATCATCTGTGATTACGAAGAGAATACATGCACGATGAGAAGGCAATGTATTGCTCCATAAGCTACTTTTCTTGATCCGACAACGTCTTTGCACGATCGCGACGAAGGCGTTTTTGCAAAATCCGGATTTTAATATTTGCGAGGGGATTAATTTCAACTTATGCTGTCCTAATTCTTGGAACTAATTGATTATGGTGCTGGATATTATTCTGGCAAAGTAAATATTTTGAAATAAAACAATCACATCTTGGAACACGAGGGACTTATCTGGCCTGTGTGTCCATATTCTGTATTAGCCGTTAAAGAACCGTGAGACAAAAATGAGATAAGTGACCTTATACCTACGCAACAAAATCAACAAAATTGACAATGAGCAACTTTTGGAAAATGACCGTGGGGTAGACAGGAGGGGGGGGGGGGTGGAATGGTCAAGATAATTGAACCAAGCAATGCAGAGGATATAACGAAATTATTTATATGCCCATTAATCAATTGGTTAGATAAGGACAATAGTGAGAAAGGTTGCTAAAGTGTAAATTGATTATTCGATCCCTTCGTCCTGACCGTTCAATAAATTGGGTGATAGCTTACCATGTACATACAGAACCAATCGGATGTTTCATGGCCACCTCTCGAATAAAGCGCATCCCTACCCATTGGTTTTATTTCTGTTTTGTGAATTAGAATTGTGGCGAGAGAAAAAAATCGTCATTATATTTCTCTGGGACAGGAGACCTGGAATCAATGGTTTTATCATTGATGTATTCGCAAAATCAAATCAAGCGTGATGTTGCCACAGAAAGATATATCTAAATCCATTGTGCCACCATAATAAAACGAGTTGTATCCAAGAGACCATAGTTCCTCATCAAAGTCATAAAAACCATGATTACATGGAAGAAGTGAAATACACGGTGGCATTGGGCGTTCGATTCCTTATGTACTTTTCATGCTGAATAAGAACATTAGCTTGCTTCCGTAAGTTGATAGTTTGGAAACAGAAAGTTTTGATGGATATCGTGGTGCAGATCGTTGACATTGAGAGGTTAATGAACCACTGTTCGAAAACCTTGAGAATCAAAAATGAGGTGTTTTCTCCTGCTACTTTGTTTATAATTGATTTCCAATAGGCAGGAAGATACAGTATTAAGCCAATCAAGTAAAAATGAATATGTATTGCTTATATTGTATTGCCAATATGTCAGTACATAATATTTACTTTCATTTTCCTCATGATGTAAAGGCTATTGGCTTTGTGATGTTTGCAGTTCATGCGATAAAATGTCCACACCACAAAATTTTATTTGTCATGAAATCGCCATACTAGGGTTTTCCAAATTAGATTTTCACATCCGGGAATCCCTAGTTACGACTGGAATTTTTAACTATCATTATAAGGAATTTTTATCATCAGTGACAATTTCATCAGGAGTAGAGTTATAATCATGTTCGAAAGATCTAAAGATCTACTTGATTGCATAGGCACAACATTATACAATACCTGCATGTTTTCAAGCATATTTCTTAAGCTCTTGCAAAGTTGTGTACATGTACTCTGATAAAGCATCGCATCTACGCTCCGGTATATTTCGACGCTTTTTGATTTCGCGAATTTTGAGAAATCACAATTTGCCGCTATTTATTTCGCGGATTTCACAAGTTTAAATTTAATTATTCTTTGAACCCTCTAGCTTTGTAAACTTAAGTTACCATTGAGGTTGTAAAAATATCACTCCCTGGCAGTCAATGGTTCAATAATGTACAGTACTACTCATGACTACCCATTGTAATATTTCCCCGGGGATTTTAATTGGCAAATTTCGCGACGATAATTTTCGCGATACCACCCATCGCGCACGTTTTTCAATCCGTCACGAAACATTTCCGGGAGTGCAGTAGCCGATTTAAGAGTAGTTGATTGCATTTTGGGTAACCAGTAGAATCCCTTCTCTCCAGAACGTGCTCAGAATACGAATACAATGCTTGTATTATAAGAAATTAATTAATTTTCATACCACGTTTAACATGTCTAAGGCAAATGAATTAAATCCTGTTAACGTTTGTTTATGATGTCAATCGAGATATTAATATGCAACTTTATTAATCATATTATTTATACTAATATACAAGTCAATTCAAGATCAAAAGTTAAAGGTCGAGATTCATGATATATCACAGTATCTAACATTTCTAAAGCGGAGTTTGTATCATCATGGGGTATAAAATCATTATAATACCAATATCACATTACAAATAAGCATAATTGCATAAATCATCCAAAATGAAACAATCTTAAATACAAAGTATCCAGAAATAAACTTTGAAGGTTGAAACATTGAAGGTTTTATCCTGGCGATCCCCTTCACTAAACATTAACTCAAATATCCCAAGGATTTAGCGATTTTACTTGGGACTTACCATAGACATTTAGATAAGTCTATATATTTTTACTATATTTTTGAATGGATTCACCCTTGTACTAATGTTCAAATGTCTAAATATATTTCATTAACATTTATTTTTTCTAGACTTGGAATTACAGTTAGTAGGCCTAATTGCAATTATGCTTATTTGGAATGTGATACTGGTATTATAATGATCTTATACCCCATGATGATACAAACTCCGCTTGCAAGATAAGGTTCTCAATTTACACAGAGGATACTATTGTCTGCGCCTGCTAGTACTTGTATTGTTAAACTGAGCGTCTGTCAGAACTAGAACAATTGGGGTCAAAAGTCTTCGTAACATAATTTAAGGTTAAGTTTCAGAGGTTAAGTGCCACAAGAATAAGCATATATCTCATCACTGTCTTTCAAATTCACTTGAAATTAATTCCGAAATAGTCCCATCTGAGTTTGAGATTTCCATATTTTTGATACCAAATAATGCCCGAAGTCGGCGACATCCAGGTGTCGGTTTTCTGAGGCGACACCATCCATTACCATTTGATTCTTCTCACATTGCGTTCAGCATCATTTATGTTTGCAAGACACGATCTCTTTATTTGTGATGAGATCTCATGTCATAATGCTCTACAGTATCCACTTGGATTTATAAATATAACAGTCTTATCAAGGTTTTTGCACTTGCGATCAAGCTCAACTCTCCCAGGTATGGTATATAACAGTAGATAACGGTGGGAACATTAACATGTCGCTAAGTTCATATCGCTTGTGTAATGGTTGCATGCAAACAAGGTAGGGTTTCTTCGGTCGTGTTATGTTTTGGGGGTCTTTTCCGGTATCCGATCAGTTACCGTATGGTGTTGGGCTGTTGGCCAATGGTACAAATAAAGGCACGACACGATTACGAGCTCGGGTCAGTAACTTAGGTAGATCCGGAATCCAGAGTAGTCCTGTATCGAGTCCCTGAATAATATATACCCCTCCCCATCTCGCTGCTGTATAATAGTTAAGAAATGTGAGAACCAGCTACTTTAATACAGATATGAATAAAGATAGTTATTGTTCAAGGTCACATGCGACTGACATTTGTTGAAGCAATAAGGCCTAACTCTCAAATAATGACATAACACGAGTTCAGGCCACAGCTAATTAAATCACGTTTTGTCAACTCGGTATAATGTTGCTTTAACATCATGTTCAATCACAATATGAATCACTTCTCACGTAATATTCTCAATCTGATCATCATTTTATCTGACCCTAATTATCCCTGAAACTTGTGAGCGTGTTGTATGAATCTAATCATTAATTGATATGGATTCAAATACAAAAATCGATCTCCAGATCTCGGAGATTACTTTTAGTGTTTCAATTCGATGCAAATGCAATGCATCTTCATCAGTTGAAAAAATTGAAATTGCATCATTATATTGATTCTGGTAATTAAGTACACGTACTGTGTATCTTATTTATTACATCCTCCTAAGCAGGTGCCTAGAATTCGTACCTTTTGTTCTTGTAAAATGAAGAAGATATTCTGGATTTTGAAGCCCTGCGTACGGAGGATGTTTTAATTGTGATCATGTGATTATCTCTGTAATGATGGTTCTTAGTAATGAAACACGACGTTAACTATGGAATCCTTTCTCTGTTTTTCAGACACAAAGAAAGTAAAGCGACAGTAAAAGAAATCATTGAGAGAGATTTACCCAGCATACAAACATATATTGGAACATTACTGAGATTTAAAAAATAATACTGACAATGCACGTGGAAGTTTCAGTGGCTCTCAATTTTGTTATATCCTATTTGTATAACAAACTCCCAAGACGCAGAGTTGATTCATTTGGAGAGGAGCTTGAGAAGGGACTGAAGAAAAAATTTGAAGGTCATTGGTACCCAGAGTGCCCATTCAAAGGGTCTGGATTCCGTTGTTTTATCGTGAGTGGTGATAAGGCAGACCCAGTTATAAAAGAGGCGGCGGATGAGGTGGGTTTGGACTATGATGAAGTAAAGGACTACCTCCCCGAGGATCTCACCATCTGGATTGATCCAGCAGAGGTTTCATACAGGATTGGGGAGAAAGGTGTCGTTAAGGTGTTGTACTCAGACAGGGATGAATCCAGCAGGCTGGACGCTGAGCTACAGACGCCAGGCAGATTTGGGACAGCGTTAGAGAGCCAACCTAAAACAAGAGGGTTCAACCCTGAAGCACAAAGTTTCAAACCTATTGATTCTCTATCGTCTTCGATGAATAGCTTGAATATTTCTCCATCGTCGCCGACCCCTCCTTCCGGCTGGCCAACTCCTTTAAACATGACCACACCGTCATACAACTCAACTTCTCCAGTATCTCCCCCTGGCCCATTTAAAACACAGCAGCTCTCTCCCCAAACCCAGAACCCCCTCGCCAAATCAAATTCTACGCCAATGATAACAGCAGCAATGTTCGCTCAAACTAAATTTGGTTCCACAAAATTGAAGAGTGCGGCCAAACGTCCTACTCGGCTCTCCCCGACTGAATTTAATCAGATGCGTTACCGAAGCGTTCCCACACACCCGTCCCCCCAGTCCCACTTCAATCCCCTACATAACCGCGCACACAGCCTCTCCCCCAGGGACCTGTCACCTAGGGACATTTCACCCCGCTCATTGAGACAGGATTTCCTACTTGACCAACAACTGCAATTACAACAGCGGTTCATCATGCAACAGCAACAACAGCAGCAACAAGCGTTGCAGCAGCAGAACGCGCTGATGAACGGCATGATACAACAAGGAGACATGTTTGCATCTCCCCCGGGGCTCCAAATCCCAGATCTCTCGCCAATACAGCAGCATCAACCCGGAGGGCTACCGGGATTGAAACTAGGTATGAAATCTCCAGGGTTGGCGTCACCATCACTGGAAAATAATCAGCAAGGGGCTAATCAACTTGGCTTGGGACAGGTTGGGCAGATGTCGCCACGGGAGACAATGCAATACCCCAACAACTACCAGCACCTCCTATTGGCGAGTTAAAGTGGTAGATAAGTACAGAGTGGGTTTCATTGCTTGGGTAAGATATTATACTCTGTATGGATTCATCAGAGCATTTTTTAAAAAGTGCAACTAGTCACACGAATTTGACAATAGGAATTGACAAGTCAAATAACTTCTTAGTCACCCTATGTGGAAGGAACAGATATACATAGAGGCTTAAATAATGTAGCTTCCTTTGTGAGGTCAATGTGTTTTATTGTTCTCCCTTTTCATAGGGTGTAGGTGTTATAAATATGTTTATTTTTATATTTATTTCATACTTTACCCTCCATAAGTCTGGCAACAAGAAGTTACAATTGGACTTACGCCTGTTTAGATTTTGACCTTTAATTTCAAGTACATTAAAACGTCAGAAAATCACTGAATTAGTTAAAATCGCATTTTGTAGAGCCTACTGTGGCATCCAGTTGCTTAACTTGCGGAAGGGAGTATACAGTTTTATTAAAAGACTACACTGTCTCATTTGAACTTTTTCTAAGACCAATTTGTATGTTACATTGAATAACTGAGAATTATATTTATAGCTCATCGAGACAACAATCTTATAATTAGTCATTGACACGAATAGATAACATTCGTAATTTCCTGGATATTGAAGTTATACAGAACACCATGTGTTCAGATGTTGCATTTCCCCTTTATTGTAATTAACCTATTTGTATTAATTGAACTCATCTTTTATTCATTAATTACATAATCAAAAATAATGAATGAAAAGTACATTAGTATTTCCCACGACTATAGAATCAAAAGCAAAAATAAGGGCCTATTTGTTATTGGAGAATACAATTAAATCATGCTTAATGATCAATTCCATTTATAAACCAAAATAATGATCTACAAACAATCATCTCGGCTTGTGAAACAATACATGGATTGTGAGATTATTGAAGATATGACACACTCATTGAAACTAGAAAATCAAATCAGTCTACAGTAGGCCTTTGTTCCCTGTGTTAAACATAGCAACTCCGACAAACAATGGAAGAACATACGTATTACATGTATTAGTATATCAAGTAAAACTGTAATAATATCTTCCTGTTGATAATTGAGTGCTAACAGAGGCACTTATGGTAACAACCCAAATTCCAGGACCCTCGTCAAATATCTAACTTATTGTATAAACCAGTCTGGTAAAAAGATACAAGAAATGTCCAACTTGAGACACTCGCACATTCATTCACATGTGTATGATGTGTGTCAATTATCCAATTGTTTATGTTTTCCAGGGGTTGGTTACTACTTTGCTAGACTGCTTATTGACATCTCCTTATTGAACAGTCCAAAGTTATGGTTATATCATTAATAGTCTCATACTATGAATGCATATGATAAGTGGATACAACATTAATATTCTAATTGTACAATAACGTTCTCCAGTGTATTTATCTCCTTTGTTGATTCTTATTCGATTGCCAAATCAGTCCCAATGTTTTGTTTTATCCGAAAAAATCATGATTTCAAATCAAATTTTTTGGGTCTGAGATAAACTATGCCGGGACCCACGGATCAGCGTGTCTGCGAAATATCGGTCAAAGATAAGATAACAAAAAAAACTTTAAAAAACATCTAAATCATGCCACTCAATATCAGGCAATGTCTGTGATGCTTATATAACACATATTCTTAACATAAACCAAGGATGATAAAATTCGTTTCTAGATCTTCATCCGGGCATAAATCAAGTCCCTATGCTACTCCCTCCCCGATTTTAGTTTGTTGAGTCTAGACTTTAACAAACCTTGCCATGTATGTGTTGATTATAAAAACGACATCATATTTTTCTAATATATCTTATCTACTTGGCCCTTTATGCACATTTATCGTTTATTGACTCCTTTCTAGATACTACTACAGACAAAACAATGTTTTATTTTGTTATCTTAAAGTATTATGGGCGATTTTGTGAAAATAAAGCCAGATTTACCAAAAGAATTAATCCTACCTTTCTTATAAAAACATTTGATATTTAAAATTGTCAAATCTAAGACCGAGGCTCACATGAGCAAATTTCCTGTGTCTTCGCACAAGACTGGAATATAACACGTCATTATATTATTAGCATGTATTACTATATGCAATATATTCTGACATGTCTCAACACATGGAAGTGCATCTTCTTCTAACGTACATATACATTATGAAACATCCCAAGGAGGATTGGCTCCCAGAGTGCAACATCGATATTCTGTCCCATATATGGGCATTCGAATTCAAACAGCCGCCATTTTGTTCACTTCAACATTTGAATCGTGAATTTTGGTCTCATTTCCGACGAAAAATTCTAAAAATCACAAGAAATGATAAAGATAATGGTTTCAATCTTTTGAACCGTTTATTTTGGATTTATAGTCTGTAATTTCAGACTAAAATAACGACATTTCGACGTTTTCATTGTTGGAAAATATCGAGTTTCGATCCTGGGAGCCAATCCTCCTTGAAAACATCCTAATAATTGCAATACAAGTATTTATTATCTGCTTACATGAAATAATGTAATTCATATTCCTAAAAGAGAAATTTTTTTGCAAGATTAACTTGAAAATTACCAAAATAGGTCACAAATTTAAATGTAGTGCAAGCAATCTCATAACAACGTTTAGGTTAAAAATGATATCATACAATTGGTCTTAAAATAGAAAAAGAATGGGGTCATAATGACCCAGTTATCATATTTAGATACAAACTTTTATAATAGTTCAAAATAAACATATAGAATACTTAGAATCTAGACTAATCAAATATTTAGTAGCATATGTGGATATCGTTTGTGCTGGCCTTGGCCAGATTTTGTGGAGAATGAGGAAAAATAACTATTTTTACATTATTTAAAGTACAAATAAGTACAATGTATATAATAAAGTTATATATAAATATTATATTGTAAGATGTGCTTGAATAGTTTCTATTTCAAATATTTTGGCAAGATTTTTAATCTAAACGATATTTTATACGACTCGCTGCTATGTAGCAAGATAGTCACTTATTATGAAATAGACTGGCCTTTGCATGTATTCCTGTGGTGACATTCATCATCTCGGTTGTCATGGCAACCCATGCATATGCCTAATTGATATTTTGCACCAAATTTTCAACTTAATTAAGATTGATTTTATGCATTGCTGTAATGCTTTACAAGGCCATTAAATCCAAATTATTTGGTTCCTGGATGTGCGCGCAAATCAATCATCAAGAGCCAAGGAATTTGGGGTTCTTTGCCTATACTTACATTTAATGTTGCAAAGGTAAATGTATATAAACATTATTATATAGATTATATAAAAGAGTACTATTTTTAACATATTTATAACAATTGAATAGTGTATATTTATGAAATGTGTATATTTGATATGCAAGGGTATAGGGATGGTGGATCTAGGCCAATACAATTAATAACAGAAATGCCAAAAAGGTATTTTAGGGGATCCTTTTGACTCATAATAGATGCCTCCCCACAAGTTTAGCATGATAACATACATATTTGTGTATATTACACTAATATGATATAGCACTGAAAGAGTGTACTAAATTATTGGCCTAGATCCACAACTGCTAATATTATATGTAATATCTATGTATGAGCCATTTGTATTGTCAGCCTGTTGTACTCATAAGATATTAACTTTCTACTTTGGGTATGGTATTTTTTATCACGTCAAGATCTCTTGCATTTGTTTACAAAAAAAAAGAAAAAAAATACACAAAAATATTAATTGGTGGGGTGTATAATTTATGATTTATATGCTAAACAGTCATATATAAACTCAGAATATTATTGTAAATTGTATGGTAAAATTGTATCCCTGACAAATTGTAAAATATTTGTCACGAGGCAGCAGAAATGTCTTGAATTTATCATATATCAAGACAGTTTATTATAAACCTTTGAACATGAAATAGATAATCCCCCCGTCCTTGTTTTAATCTGAAAATGTAAACATTTATCTTGGCAGTATTCAATATTTTAGCATTTCTCCAATTCCAAACCCATGAAGGCATTCCAACGTATCAGAACATATTTTTAAGAATCGTGTAGATGCTTCAACGATTTAAATCTACCAATGAAGCAATGTATCTGGGTTCATTTATGTAACCCATAATATGGTATTGGATATGTATAATCTCATCAAGGAATACTTTCATGGGGGTTTTGATGAAGGGAATCTATTCAGGGCTAAAATAGTAAAATTTATGAATGGGTCATGATTGGTTACAGAGAGATTGCCAATGACTTACAAGTTACAACCCCCCAGCATAGTATGACAACTGGAAGTCTGCATTGGATGGCGTGTACTGTTTGAATCCAAATTTTGTTTTAATGAAAATTTGCTGAACTTGTCAAATCATCAAACATAAACACGTCTCTTTAAAATGTCGTCCGAAAGGACTTCCGGCTGATAAAATCTTGTGAGGGGAGTATATATGTGAGACCATGGGCTTCCTTTCTCTTGCATGTCTTGAGAGACCCTGGTCAGATTTGCACAGATTAGTGTAATATCCGTTCTATTGCAAGATCAGTGTGTTGATTCTAGAAGGGGTTTATCCAGACTGAGACAAAGACCTGACGTGAACCACATTGGCAACTCCAGCATATCAATAATTTACGAGGAAATAAATTCCAACGTCACATCATTCAGTGATTTGAGCTCTGGAAATAGATGAACTGGGAATGTAATTACAAGCAAGCCTAAACTAGTTGCTTCAAGAGTTCTTCTATTGAAAATTTTCTATCATTATTCATTATGTTATTCTGACTTTATAACCTTTTCATGGTCTGTATCAATTTTAGAATGACCAGATTCAAAACAGCATATATACCATACTTTGAAAATAAGCTGCACATTCTATTAATAATTTATCATAGTTTACATAGATATGTCGATTCATATATTCAATAGTGCTGAAAATGCTTGAATACTTTTTTAAAGAATCTAAGTGCAATGGCGGTCCTTTAGTAACATCAATTCCCAATATTA